ACCTATTTTATTAATTAAATGCCGTTAAAATGGCTCTAAAACTCCTTATACTCCAATATCTATCTAATGTCAAACGTCGCAAACGTTTTAATCGTGCAAATCCCGTTCAATCTCGACCTCCATTGAAAAAAGGCCCGTGAAGGTCGGACAGGTTATTAATATCATATTATTTATTCGTTTCTCATGACGATTTTATCGCTGAATAAAAATTGCGTTGTAGCAGATTCGGATCTGCACTCAGAATGTCGTCAAGGTACAGAATGTAAAGTATAAAGTACAGAATGTAATGTATCATAAGGGAATGAAGATATAATGTAAAGTGTAGAGAAAGAAGATCAAAAGCTGAGTTGAGCAGCAAATAAAGGCCTATGATAATATAAATTTGAATTTTTTAAACCTAGGCTCATGAAATTCCAAAATACTACAAAAATTATAAAAGGATACTTATCACTAGCCAGCTAGCCTAAAAACCTAGCTTAAAAACCAAATTCGAAAAAATGAAAACTTAAAATTTGTTTACAAAGAAAAATTCCTTATATTAACCATGCTCATGACATTTTTTCGAAATATTTCATGGTGTAATAGTCAGTTTCCGGTGTTCTGCTTTGCATATAAATAAAAAGCATGACACATTTCTTATGCCATCCTAAGCATAAAATCAAAACATACATCAAAGTCAAGGATCAGTAAATTTTGTTACCTAAAACTCAAAAAAATAATAAATTTACTTACCAAAAACGGTTCTCCGCTGGATTTTTTGTGAAAAATAGATAACAGGTTCCTCGTTGAAAGTGCCATCACCAGAAGTCTCGTTGATATCGTTGGATCGTTCTGAAAACGTTATTTTATGTTATTAGCATCTCAATAATTAATCAAATTGAAGATGTCGTAGTCTAAATTATCAAAAAAACATACAGTAAAAAGTAAAAAATAAGCAAATTAACTATTTTTTAACAATAAAAACATCATTTTAAAAATGTCTTACCCTTCAAATAGTCAATCCTTGACCTAACGAGCTTCTGGCTCATTTTAAAAATGTTTTTTGGTTCATCTGGTCAATAACCTAAAAAATTAATTTAAATTGTAAAAATTAGTCATACTTTGCTTATCTTTAAACATCACATCAATTGCAAGTCGAAATTTAATTTTTTTTCAAAAAAAACAAAAAAACTGTTCAGCTGACGTATTTTGTAAACCAAATGACGCGTTTTTTTGGACGAACATTGAATTTTTTGGAATTTTATTGTCTTTACTATTTTTCTTATGCCAAATCAAATGGTATACTGTTGACTTATTCATTCAAAAGCGACGGTTTAGTACCAAGATTTGTCGTTTTACATTTAGTTTCTTCACTTACCGACGTAAAAGTTGAGTTGGAACAGCATCAGACGCTGATCAAGTCCAGGATCCGTGAATTGAAAGGTAAAATATTTTTGTATTATGAAGTTTTCGTTACTATGTCAAACTGAATTATTGTTTCAATTGGTAAATGAAGGTTTTTGTTTAGTATAAGCTATTGTTTTTGTATAATTTTAATAAGAATTGATATTAATGTTGTTTTAGAACGAGTGAACGGTATGAAGAAAACCTCTGAGCATGGTTGCATTATGATTCATCTGGTTGGATTTTCAATGACAAATGTTATAGGTGGATTTTTCAAAGCTAAAGTAAGTAAATTTGTTAATTTTTCTTTGTTTTAGGTAACAAACTGTTTTCTTTTGCGAAACTATTTATTTAGGTAACAAACGCTTTTTTTGTAAAAAATAAAATAACAAGTTTACAAATTTTAAAATGGCAAAAACTTTCTTTAAAAATTATCAAATGGCAAGAACTATCTTTACAAAACAGAAAATGGCAATAACTTTCTTTAAAAATCAAAAAAAAATTTTTACAGTAATTCTTAAGGTTATACTGTACTAAGCAAGATATACCTTCTAAGATATTTAGCAAGCTTTGTTACTTTTAAATTCAATTTTTCTGAAGGCTTTACGCTCGCCAAAACCTGGCCCACAATATTACACATCGTACAACTGTTACTATAGTAACAGTGTTGACTTTCGTCGAAATTTAATTAATGCGGAATTACTGTAGGAACGGTTGTATTTTGAGCACCACACGCAATGTTTTCGATGATAAACTATTGTAATTTTCTACAAAAATTGTCAAATTGTAATTGATAACGGTTACTGTACGAGTTTGGAGCCGAAAAAAGTTGTCGTAATTACAATTTCAATGACTGAATGTAAAGCCACTTGTTGCGGGTGGCCTTTAAATAATGAGTATTGTAAGGGCTTTGTTAGTGTAATATTGGTTTTGGCATTTTTATGATTACATTTTTGTAAAATTAGTGTTAAAACTGGTGTTTCAGTCGCTACTCTTGTGGTGTGCGCCTACTTTTAGCACTTTTTTTCAAAATGCCTATGAAAAATGAAAACTTGTGAGTACTATAATGTTATAGTATGTATTACAAGTGTGTATCTTATCACAGTACATACTTGCACACAATATTTGTGTGTGTATGCAAACAATAAGCGCACATTGAAGTGTAGTTTAGGTAAATTATATATTTGATAATATATTATTTTATTAGTATAAAATGAAAAAAAGTTTTGACATCAATTTACATGTTTTCGTCGTATATGAGCACAGAAAGTGATAAAAATTGACGACAAGGCTTTTTTCGGTAGCTTAATACTGGAATGAATATTGCTTTAGGAAGGGATCTCACTACTGATTTTTCCAGGGAAGGGGATGGGGAGTGGAAGCTAACATTGGTCAGGTTTTTTGCTTTGATATACAAGTGTACATGGAATTTTTTTCAGATAGGTTCCGAGGGTTGATCTCGCTAGCGACGTCTCTGCCTTTAGTTAACGACTTAGTTTATCATTTAAAAGTTTTTATTGTAATCTTTGTATTATGCTGAGCAAAAATTTTAAACTTTTTTATTTTTCGACTGATTTCACGATGCTTTTGCTAAAATCAATTGCAATAACAATATAAAATATAAGTAAATTGTTTAAAATTGGCCACACGCATTGATAAAAAGTAGGCCAATTGACTTCTCTAAAGCTTTATTGGTTTGTGGACATATTTTTGGCATAAAAATGGCAAGAGCGTTTTTTACATTTTATTGTTTTGCTGACACATTTTTAGGTATTTGGCGCATCTCATTGCTATTCTATGTATAAGTATCATTATGTATTAAATGTCATTAGGTTTTTCAAATAATGTTGTGCCATCTCTCAAAGCGAATTGGCGAGATTATGAAGCACAGAATTACTTGAACAACTTAATTCGGAAAAATAAGTTTAAATTGAGTTTTAAAATGAGTTTGTTAGGTAACAAAATTATATTTTTTGAATCCGATATTCTTAACTTTGTTGCTATACTTTTAAGATTTTTCATGTTCATATCTTTACCCTAAAGCTATTACAATAGCATATCTAATGTTTTGTCACAATATTATGCCTTCAAACCTGGACCATCCTTTAGTTTTGAGGGTTTGTCACTGCGGGTGGTTTACATTAATATAGCTTTGCTTTTCTTTGAAATTATGTATTTATAAGGTAATTGTCTTAAAATTTGAATTAGGTGTCTAAAGGATATTGTTAAAGAATTGCTATTACTTTTGTTTATATTTTGGTACTGTACTATCAAAAAATTGCATGGAACGTATTTTACAATATTTTTATGACTGAAATCTCAATTTTTTAAATTTCAAACTGCCTCTTTGTCTAAAGTAACACCTAATGCCTAGTGAAATGTAATTATCGAAATTCTTCAAAATTCGAAGCCATTAATGAAGCCACCTGCAATATTATTGACATGAAACTTATACGAAAAAAAGTTAAAAGTGCACGAACCAATGAGTTACAGCTGATGTAAATTCTTATCTCTGCGTGTGGTCAAACAACTATCTGTGTCGTATTTTTATACATATGATGGTAAATGTACACACATACGTACATGTGGATATTAGGTAATGAATTATGGTTGCTATGGCAATAACTTTGAAAAAGTATAATATTAGAAACGGATAGTATAGGGCTATAGTAAGGGTAAGGTAGGGCATGGTAAGGCAAGATAAGGTATGGTATATTAATGTAGGGTAGGGGCCGTTATAGAAAATGAAAAATTATTTTTAGTTCTTATGGATCACGTATTTTACATCAAAAATAAGTGATTCAATTAACTTTATTAACTATATCTCTAAATAGTAGTAATCGTATCACACAAGATACGGCGATACATAGTACTAGAAATTGTATCATGTTCCGTATGTTAATGTCAATTAATCCAAATAAGCGCAGACGGTATATTTTTCGTTTTACTGAGTTCAGGAACACTGGCATGAAGGAATATACCTAAAATGAAAATTTTTACCATGTTTTGAAAATTTGTTTATATTAGGGTTTTCAATTTATTCCGTGCCCTTAAGTTTGAAAATTTGCTTTGAGATGGAGCACAGAATTTATTGAACAGCTAATCTATTTTTTTAACGTTTTTACTTACTGCAATGCACTATGTCTAGTACTATAAGAAACTATGCCTACTATAACATACTGTCAGAGAAATTTGTTAAGTATACAAATCTTCAAAAAAGTAAAAAAACTCACCCCTTCATGTAAAATCTTGCCACTAGCTGATAATGTCAAAAACTCTAAATACAATTTTTTAAATGATCTTCGAAATGCCGAAACCAATAAAAAGGTAATAATGATGAATGACAAAGTATAAATTATAAAGTATATCCCAATCCCAAAATCCAGCCAACTAATGTCAAATCGAACAGTAGAACACAAGTAAATGAACAATAACACATTGCATATCAAGTTAAAGGTTTGGTAATAACTGAAAAATCAATAAATTAGTTTGTGAAACTTCGTTGTAATAGCCAATAACTCTTGCGACATTTGGTTAAAAATCGATAATTTTTGTGACATTTCGTAACAAAATGCAGAAATCCCAAAACCTTAAAATTTAGTTATTGAAACACATATTTACCTCATAACTCTATTAATAACCGTCCACAATCGCCATATATTGTGATGAGCATGTGCGTAATGGGTAACGACCGGTAATTGAAAGGTATTGACATCTTCTCTGAATTCAAACGCCAGCTTGTCATACTCAGCACAAATTACTGCAAAATGAATATATACAACTGACATGGCATTCGTTTGAGCTACAAGTGCGAATATTGTTGTTATGATTAGTAGTACTGTTGGTACTACTGGCACATAATCGATGGTGTCTTTGGACATTGGAGTATTGGCTTTGAAGACGTGTAGCAGTTGGAAGGTGGTTGATATTAGGATTGTTATGAATACAAATGATAGGAGGGTTACCTGAAAGGAAATTATTGAAATTTTACGACAGTAGCTTACTGTAATACTTACCGTACCAAAAGAAACTGGCAGTAAAATCACTTACATTACACTTCTCAATCATCTTCCTAGCCTTAATGATTCCAGCACCACAAGCAGCATCAGTTAAACATTTTAAGAATCTTAGTCGATACTCAAAGTAATTCCAAACAATCAAGAAGATTGCTGCTCCAAAGCCATGTAGCCTGATAATGAATAAGGCATATGTGTTGAAGGAGAATCTCTAAAACTTTTATATTTTAGCATTACGTAGAGTAGGGTATAGTAAAATATGGTAAGGTAGTTAGGATAGTGCAGAGTAGGGCAGGGTAGGGTATGTTAGGATAGAGGATGCTAGTATAGACATAAAAGAACTTGCCATATCCAACTTATGATAAAAGTAAAAAGGCTCTAGTGTCAATACACATCCAGTAATGACAACCAATCCAAATAAAATGATACCATGAATGTTGTACAATAGCTTCTTGTACCATTTCCATTGCGGCCATCCGTTCTTGTTCAAATTGAATAATTTGTTTATCAAAAATGTCGGTAGGTAGAGACGTTCTAACTAAAATATTATATGATGATTATTGCATGATTTTGAAAACATTTTGATAATAAAACCTTGTGATAAACCAAATCTTAAAAAATAATTTTTTTGTAAAATACGGTTAATTCACGTGTTCGTTTAAAAAAAGCCATATTTTTTTTACATTTAAATACTGTTGTGTTATAGTTTAATATACATATATTGTATTATAGTTAACATTCTGTATGTATTTCCTTTAATAAATTATCTTTAAGTGTAAGTTCAGATAGGATAAGGTAGTGAAGGCTGCTATACTACCTTATCCTAGCGCCACGGCTAAAGCTAGAGCTGGATCTAAGGCTAGGGCTAGAGTTAGGGCTAGGGTTAGGGCTAGAGCTAACGCTAGTGCTAGAGCTAGAACTAGAAATAGAATTAGAGCTAGGGCTAGAGCTAGATATAAAGCTAGAACTATAGCTAGAACTAAGGCTAGTGCTAAAGCTAAGGTTAATGTACGGCAGTCCCAACATAATTTATCATATCAGTACCTTAATTACTCAAAAACACCAAAAAAGCTCACTACGATCGGAGGACTAACGACATCACCCACACGTAATAAACGATGTTAATCACCTCGGAATGTTGAGTTTTATATCAATTAAAATTGGGTTTGGTTTGACCGAAAAAAGATCTTGTTGGTTAATGGCACAGGAAAGAGTAATGATGCCCCATGGATGTCATTACCATCATAAACGACTTTATAGACCCATATTGGATTATTATTCAAAGGTCTTGTTCATTTTGGCACAATTTTGGGTTTCTAGTTCTTTAAAACCCAAAATTCAATTTTTTTTAAATTTAGTACTACGAAGGTAAAATACGCTTTTTACATAAATACACTAAAAAAATATTTGATTTTTGACTAGACATTCTCGCTTAGCAATTATCATATTATATCTTGCAGTGCATTTGCTACATATGGGTTGATATACTCTAAACGAGCGGTAAGTACCATAAAGTATCAAATTGGAAGTACTAATAAGCATTTACTAGGTCATATTAAGTTTAAAAAACTTAAATTTTTTAAAAAATTATATTTTAAGTTTAATTTGCAAATATATTAACATAGGGGTCCTGACATTTTAATTTTTGGAAAAATATTTTTTCTAAAGCTGGCCTGATTTAACGTTTTGTGATCAACTCCACCTTAGAATGACTTCTAAACCACAATTTTCTAAAGCTAAAAATTATTAATAGAATTTTTACAATTATTTTAACACTTAAAAGCACTTTTTATACCTTTCACTCACCCAAACCAACGTTTTTTTATTCTTAATCATTTCTCATGACAAGACACGCTTAAGAAAATGTATGAAATTATCGGTAATCTATAAACGGTTAAAGTGGTTTCAAGTAAAAATTTTTATTTTATGTTACTCTTGCACGTTTTGACGTTAACTGGGACGTAGTGTAGACAATAGTCTTCTTAAATGTTGGGTTTCATTTTTTTTTGGTTTAACGTACCTTACGACCTGCCTTGCCTTGCCTCGCCTCGCCTTGCCTTGCCATCTTTTACCCCAATCTTCCATTTTTTTCAATTTTAACTTATAGAAAGCATATTCAGAATCGTATTTTACATTTTCAGTTCTTCAAACTACTATAACATTAACTTATAAACCTTAAACAATGCACCTACATCAAGTAGTGTCTGTGACCAATTTTGTTGGTTCAATAGTAGGATTTCTTCTCAATACTCTACTGGTAATAGCTATATTCCGAGGTAGATCGAATCGATCTAAACCTTTACATCCATATGGACGGATGTTATGTATCATTGCTATGAGTAATGCCTTGTTCTGCTTTGTTGAACTCAATCTTCAGCATGTAAGTTTTTTATGTTACAGTATGTTATGTTTTTGAAGCAATAGTACAGTAGGGTTTGTTTTGTTGAAGGTATGTTATAGTAATCTTTCTTTTTAATTTTAAAATACGGTAACTTTTGACTGGCTGAAGTTATGTTACTGTAGACTTTGTTTCTCAATATTTTGTTACAGTAATCTGTATTTTTAAATGTAAAATACGGTGAGGCATAGTTTTCAACTATTATGTCACGGTAACTCATATTTCTTTAAAACTAAGCTACAGTTCACATTTTGTTCAAAAATAAGTCACAGTAACAAAAGTATACAGTATAGCAACCCATATTTTTAGATAATGCACATGATGGACCAAGTATTAGTGATGTCATCAATGAGCACAGAAGCCATGTTACAACCAAAATACTATCAATATACGTTCTTCTTAACCATGTTTTTACTAACTAATTTTGTCACTTTTCTACCGACCACTTTCAGCTATCGATATCAACTGGTCAAAGAGTAGGTTTTATATTTTTTGATAAAGTATTTATTATTTTTAAATTGTAAAATACGAAGGTTTCAACAATAGGTTTGAATTTTGTAAAGGTTATCGACCCCAAAAAAATAAAAAAATTTTACCCTGCCCATATCTAAAAAAATTAAAATTTTTTTTCTTTTTGACTTCTACAAAAAAATCATTTTTTAATTTTTTTACTCCCCCCCCTCCACTTATCAAAAAAATTAACACGCCCGAATTTTTTTTTATTTTTATAAAAAAGAAAGCATAGTCAAGAAGCCCCTTCCTATTAAAACTTTAAATTTTTAGTCCAATAAACTCCCGAACGTGGGGTTTCTTCATAAAACAAGTTAGTCCGGCCTTGCTGTCTTCTGCTTTATGTGGTTACCTCTGTGCCAAAGCTATAATATGTCCAACGGAAGCTGAAGCCGAGCATATTATATCACTTATACCGCCAGAAATGAGGGTCGCTCAACATTTACAAATTGTTTATATTGTGGATTTTGTAAGTTTTTTTTAATTTTTTTATGTTACAGTAGGTAAGATTTTTTTTTAAAGTTACAGTAAGCCGGACAAAATATAGACTTATTAATTATTACGTATTTTACAACACCAACCCTTTATAATGACCTTTACAAGCAAAATACTAATACATTTCTAAAATTTTAAAAAAACTTAAGAATGCAAAAACTTTGTTTCCAGAACCAATTCAATTCCAAAATGTCAATTTGGGCTTTATGGGTCGTGTGCTTAATTTCCACCCTAACTACTATTGCTTATTGGATTGAATCTCACCACCGTGTGGTGCAAAACCGGCTGGCAAGTGGCAAAACCTTGAAGATTAACACTCAGTTTAGGATTGGCGTAATTGCTCAGGAAAGGCTATATCTACCCTACCCTACCCTACCCTACCCTACCCTACCCTACCCTACCCTACCCTACCCTACCCTACCCTACCCTACCCTACCCTACCCCTACCCTACCCTACCCTACCCTACCCTACCCTACCCTACCCTACCCTACCCTACCCTACCCTACCCTACCCTACCCTACCCTACCCCTACCCTACCCCTACCCTACCCTACCCTACCCTACCCTACCCTACCCTACCCTACCCTACCTTACCCTACCCTACCCTACCCTACTCTACCCTGCCCTACCTTACCCTACCCTACCCTACCCTACCCTACCCTACCCTACCCTACCCTACCCTACCCTACCCTACCCTACCCTACCCTACCCTACCTTACCCTACCCTACCCTACTCTACCCTGCCCTACCCTACCCTACCCCTACCCTACCCTACCCTACCCTACCCTACCCTGCCCTACCCTACCCTACCCTACCCCTACCCTACCCTACCCCTACCCCTACCCTACCCCTACCCTACCCTACCCTACCCTACCCTACCCTACCCTACCCTACCCTACCCTACCCTACCCTACCCTACCCTACCCTACCCTACCTTACCCTACCCTACCCTACCCTACTCTACCCTGCCCTACCCTACCCTACCCTACCCTACCCTACCCTACCCCTGCCCTACCCTACCCTACCCTACCCTACCCTACCCTACCCCTACCCTACCCTACCCTACCCTACCCTACCCCTACCCTACCCTACTCTACCCTACCCTACCCCTACCCTACCCTACCCCTACCCCTACCCTACCCTACCCTACCTTACCCTACCCTACCCTACCCTACTCTACCCTACTCTACCCTGCCCTACCCTGCCCTACCCTACCCCTACCCTACCCTACCCTACCCTGCCCTACCTTACCCTACCCCTACCCTACCCTACCCTACTCCCTACCCTACCCTACCCTACCCTACCCTACCCTACCCTACCCTACTCTACCCTACCCTACCCTACCCTACCCTACCCTGCCCTACCCTACCCTACCATACCCTACCCTACCCTATCCTACAGTACACCTTTTACTATAATATCCCTACTTACAGGCAGTATCAACAATAACCCTAGTAAACATCCCCCTACTAGTGCTCTCAACCTTTCTGTTACTTCAAGTGAACAAAGGTATTACAAGTGTATATTCCTTCAACTCCTCATGGGCATCTACTACTAGTGCCGCTTTCATACTGTATTATGTTGAGGCTTATAAAAACTGGGTGATACGATTAGTCAAGAAACAACCTTTGAAGCATCAAACCACAATATTACCGGTCAATAACATGAACAACAGCATGGTACGAAGTATATAATTTTGGTGTTATTGTAAGCTTCATTGATGTTAAGCTTTCTTGTTGTAAGCAATAAACTAAAAACTCAAAATTTCAAAAAAAAATTTTATTTTTTAAATTTTCAAGTTTTTTTTTGTTTTTTTACATTACTATCGCTTTTTTTCATTTTGTTGTTAAAAATGGCTTTTCTATGTAAACTGATACCTAATACAAGTATGTTCTTTTTTCAGTTAGTGCCTATTTTTGTAACTCCTTCAATGAAAGACGTCATACCGGTCGAAAAGACAGATGAAGAAATGGTGGAAGGCTAAACCCCAAAAGCAAGAAGTTCAAGATTTTTACAAGCAGTTATTATTGTATAACACAACTTTTTTAATATTTAAAATGAGAAATAAAGTAGGGTGAGATATGAAAATAGATAATATCCATGAAAAAAAATTCTGAAAATATTTTGCGCGAGAATTTCCTTTTGGTCCCGCCACGATAAGACATAATGCCATTCATGGCGGTATTTCGCTTCTTTACATGTTTTTTAAGGGAGAACTATGCCAGAAAAAGTTTTTCTAAAAACAGTCCAGGCAACAAAGAAAGTTCACAACGTTAGAAAAGGGCCTTCCCCCTCTAGGCCGGCGCTAAATAAATTTTAAAAAAAAATTTCGAAAAACACTAATTTACAAAAAAATCAAAAGCTAAAAATTACGTTAACTTTTGAACTTTACTTTTCCCTTTTGTAACAGTAGCAAACTCACTTCATTTGACGCAATTTTTTTTATTTTTTGTAGAACAAAACGATGCATTTCACGCGCTGCGTGAGCTTCTGACCTTTTTATGAAGTACTTTTTGCTTTTATATTTTGTAACAGTTACTCTGTAATCTCTATACATTATCTATCATAAATTTGTCTTTTAGTGCTATTTTTATTTTTTGGTATTTTTTTTTATAATATTGGTACTACAATGATATACTGTAGTATATTTTACATTATACTACCTAAATAGTATCAAGTTTTAAGTTGTACAGTTATTTAGTACCTTTTTTACGTTTTATTACCTACACAGTACTATATATTTTATATATTGTATCACCTATATAGTACTATATTTTATATAGTAAACCCTTACCACCATTTCTATGCCAGTTTATAGTAAAACACGCAAAAAAACATCGTAGGCTCAATACCAACACCCAAAATACGACTACAAAGCGCACAAAAAAAAGTGGAATATTTCGTTTTAGGGAGCTAAAAGTCAATAAATATGGGATGGTAATTAACCTTTTTAACTCCAAAAGTAAATAGATGACTTTGTTACGAACAGAGTTATTATTAATAAAAAGTAATTCGAGATTTTTGTACGAACGATCAAGTTTTTGCTCATTTTTCGAAAATTTTCATTTGACAGAAATTTAATTGTCCTAATTTCTACCTTTTTTCACTTGCAATTCTTAAGTTTACTACTTGATTGACTTTTGATTTGACTCGTTTTCAACTTAATTTTTTAGACTCTTGATCACTGTTTAAAATTTGACAGCCTTTTGACATTCTTAGGCTTTTACATTTCATTTTTAGAATGAGGTTAAAAAATGAACAAGCCTTACTAAAACGGGTCTAAAAGTAAAAACGGGGGAGGTCTAATGAAGATTACCCGTATATTTTCTCAAAGAAAACCAGAAAAAACAATCGGCTAGAGTTAGAACTAAAGATAGAGTTAGATCTAGGGGTAAGGCTAGAAAAAGGTTAACAGTTTTAAAAAATTTTTCGTTTTTTTCCCATATTCGGAACCCAAAAAGTCTTCTGATAATAGACAACTGTTGATATGTTTTACTGTGCAAAACTGCCTATAACGTTTTTGCTTTTAAAAAAGTGTTAACTTTAAATTCATAATTGAAATCAGTATAAAATTCTGTTATAAAAACTTGTAATTTAAAGTCGATTTTAAGTGGCGTACTTTCGTAGTTTAGTGGATAGAGCGTTCGTTTCAAGTTCTAAGGAAGCGGGTTGAAATCCGTTTGGCAAAAAACAAGCTAAAGTTATTTCTAATTTTGAAAAAAATAGTTTTTTTGATTATTCTTGACGTGAAACGTCATTTTTTCTATTTTCGTGTTTCTACGTACTATATAGCACTATGCACAAAAAAATGAAAATTAGGCAAAAAAAAACAAAATATGTATATTACTATGAACAATATAATTAACGTTTTTTTTTTGAATTTTACCCTATTTTTGGTGTTTTTTTACAATTTTAAAAATTTTAATTTTTTTTACCCATTTTTAAAGAATGTCACGTTAAACACTAATTTTTACGTTTTAAAATTTCATAATCGTTTTTTTACTGTGTTAATTAGTCACTTCTGTAAGAGTCGAGTTCAATGAATTCAACTTGAACTAACTAATAAGACTCCCACTTAATTTTGTTCAAGGCCAAAAATGAAACACAAACTTTCTAGAACTTTGAATCACCTATATGAATGTACTTGTATTGTGTTGTGATCAACATACGGAAAGTTACTTTGGGTAGAAAAACGTTGTAATCGTATTTTTGGTTAGGTTACGTTATGTTTTGATCAGGGTAGCGCTAAAAATGACAAAAAACTTACAATTTTAATCAAGTTTTGATGAAATTTAATGTTACTTTCATTGGTCGAGAAGTTGAGTTGCATAAATGGCATTGTAAGCAGTACAGCAGATCTACAATTTTAAAATTAGTTTTTTTATTGTTTGTAAAGAAAGTTTTTGCCCTTTTCATAATTGTAAAGAAAGTTCTTGCCATTTTTGATTTTGTAAAGAAAGTTCTTGCCATTTTTTGTTTTGTAAAGAAAGTCTTTGTCATTTTTTAGTCTGTAAAGAAAGTTCTTGCCATTTTGATTTTGTAAAGAAAATTCTTGCCATTTTTTGTTTTTTAAAGAAAGTTCTTGCCTTTTTTTTGTAAAGAAAGTTCTTACTATTTTTTGTTTTGTAAAGAAAGTTCTTGCGATTTTTTGTTTCTTAAAATAAGTTTTTGTCATATGCTACTAGATACTCAATATAGCCCTGTGTTTTTACCGTACACGGTTATACTGTAAACCATTTTAAAAAATTTTATAAAAAATTGAAACTTACAACAAACTTTTCTTGTCTTACCTAACAGCGTCGGAGCGATCCGGCCACACGTTTGTGGGTAAAAACAAAGAGTAGGCATATTTATGGTCGTCTTCATCGCTTCGCATTTCCGTTACTTTCGTGTTTCTATAACGCCAATAAATCTGAGGGCCGAGGAGTTAAGTCTGGTGTTTGGGGGATGCTTATGTTCGCTTGAGTAAAATTTGCAAAAAACAGTGGTACGACGTCACGGGGATTACTTTCTGAGCCGAAATTGATAAATTAAAAAATGAAAAGAAAACAATATTTTAAAATGATGGCTTTGAAATTTGTGTAAGTAATATGTAATATCGATAAAAGGAAACCCCCCCCCAGAAAAAAATTTTCGAAAAAAGTTGAACGTGGTCTCCCCTGTGGATTTTTGAAAAAAATTCTTTTCCAAAAAATCGGCACAGTTAGCTAGCTACCTGTGCCGATTTTTTCGATCCCCGCCCCCAGACCAAAAGTCCCCTCCCTTCTCTGCTGACTATGATTATCTTGTTCTCAGTATCGGTTCTGATAACAAAGCTTTGATGAACAAGCATGTTTAAATACAAAAAGTGTTGTAATTTTTTAAACTTACTGACCCATAACAAGGGATTTGTGATTTGACTGCTTGCGTTTTTAAACTTTTATAAGTTTCGCGCGCTTTATTTAAATTCGCTGGAAAAGATACGTTTTTTCTTGACTGTAAAGATAAAGCTAGGTTATAGTCTAGGCAGAGATATAGTTTAACGTACAATCGTTATAGTAAAATGTTTAGATTCGGCTAGGGTTAGGAGTAGGGCTACTTTTAACCGGAAGCTTGAGAGAGCTCATAATTAGATACACGATGGTATTTTAGTAGGGTCACTAGATTTTTGATTTTACGTTGTGTTTTTGGCTAAAGCTAGAGCTGGAGCCATAGCGATGTAGGTCTGGATCTAGAGCTAGAGCCAGAATCAAAGCCAGAGCTGGAGCTAGAGCTAGAACTAGAACTAGAACTAGAACTAGAACTAGAATTAGAATTAGAACTAGAACTAGAACTAGAGCTAGAGCTACAGCTAGCGCAAGAGCTAACACTTATGCTTAAGTTAGATCTGGGGCTATAGCTAAGACTAGGGAGAAGACTAAAGCTGTTTTTAAGTTTCGCTAGCTTAATATTCAATTTTTTTCTAACCAGAAAGGCTGATTTTTGCCAGAATTTTATTTTCTCAACTCCAAACGTTCTTTTTTAAAAATACCCTTTTTCAAGCCCAACTGGTCACTTTGCTCCTCCTTGTTGTACATGTGTTAATTCCGAGCGGGTTTATTTGCCTTGTCTCTCAAAAAGTAATAATAACTGTTTGAAGTTTTTGGACTTGGCTGGGGTCACTATGTTTGTTCTGAAAAGTGTGGCGGTCGAATCGTCTTATTCGCCCTCAGGGGTCGACTTATTGGGGGGACGTGTTTGCGCAGGTGACGCAAAAATAAAAATTGACTAAACTTCGTGCAGTCGATTTTTGTTAATATTGTATTAGTCATAGTACTGTTTAAGCATTTATTGCAGAATGAAGCGGCTCGCTGGGGCTTTGTTAGGGGGGGGGGACAGAGGAGCAAAGTCAATATTAGGGTTATGGTTTTGAAGATAATTATTAATATGGGGCAAGCTGATGGAATTAAAAATTATGAGTAATATCATGACTAATTAGGTAAAGTAGTATATAATAAAGGTAAAAATTTTGATTTTGATCTTTTTTTACCTTACTTTTGTACGAAAATTATTAAGCTTTACTGTTCCAGATAATTTTTTTTTAGTTTTTAGGCTTATAATGAACTTTTTAAGATTTTTTGTTAATTTTAATGCCATTTTAATTTGGCTAGTCATCTTTTTTGATGACGATATTGTGTTATTAATACAAAAAGCTAAGTAACAAGGCATAAGCGGAATAATAAACCATAAAAGGATGACTAATATTAAGGTCAACCTTCATAAATTATTTATAAGTATTTGCAAATTGTACTAAATGTTAGAAATCAAAGTATAAAAAACGGTATAGGTTTTTTCTTTCTTATACGCGGTTCTAGCCCGAGCGTTATCTCTAGCTTTAGATCTGACTCTAGTTCTAGTTCTAGTTCTAGCTCTAGCTCTAGCTCTAGCTCTAGCTCTAGCTCTAGCTCTAGCTCTAGCTTTAGCTTTAGCTCTAGCTCTAGTTCTAGCTCTGGCTCCAGCTGTAACTCTAGCTCTGGCTTTAGTTTTAGCTTTAAGTCTAACTCCAGCTCTTGCGTTAGTCCTAGCAATAGCACAAACCCAAGCCATATTCTTTGCCTATTTATAGTTAGAAGCAAAATTTGCAGCACTTATTTTACAAAACTAGCCAAACCTATTGTCCACTTTTAAAGTTTGCTCAATGTATTATACGAATTAATCTGCAATTTACCCGTTCGTTTTTCGCGTATCAATATGTACAAGTTCGGTTGACAAAATTTAATTGACTTTCTTTAAAATCTCACATCCTTTTAACGGGTTTATATACTGTAACTATCAAATTTATATACTGTAACTACAAAAAATTATTTTTCAGAGATCTCATAGGTACAAAATGAGTGTTTGTACCAATCGTTGGGGCTTTAATCTTGATAAAAGAAAGACTTCAACGTTAATTTTGGTAGCAGTTTTGGTTCACACATGTACGGCTAGTATCACAGAAAAGGATGTGAGTTATATTTCAATTTTTTACACTATACTTATCTTAATAAAAGCCTACCTTTACCTAAAACAATCTGAAAGGCAATTTCCTTTTCGCCCTTTTTAGAATGACATTTCATATTTTATCGTTTTAGGTAATAGACAAGTCCAAGCAATCAGAAGAAACGACGTTAAATTCAAAAGATTTCGAAAACGCACCATCAAAAGAAGAAGATCTCAAAAGGATAGGCATAAAAGTACCAGATGACCCAACTATGGGCTCTAAAAACGAAGGAGACATATTGATGCCAAAACTCAAAGAAAAAGTGTTTTTGGACGAAAGGACTGGGCTTGGAAGGAATGCTATTAGGCAGTCTTATAGGTAGGTCATGGGGTAGGGTAGGGTAGGTAGGGTAGAGTAGGGTAGGGTAGGGTAGGGTAGGGTAGGGTAGGTAGGGTAGGGTAGGGTAGGGTAGGGTAGGATAGGGATAGGGTAGGGTAGGGTAGGGTAGGGTAGGGTAGGGTAGGGTAGGGTAGGGTAGGGTAGGGTAGGGTAGGGTAGGGTAGGGTAGGGTAGGGTAGGGTAGGGTAGGGTAGGGTAGGGTAGGGTAGGGTAGGGTAGGGTAGGGTAGGGTAGGGTAGGGTAGGGTAGGGTAGGGTAGGGTAGGGTAGGGTAGGGTAGTAGGGTATGGTAGAATAAAAATCACCCTTCCTCCATGATTCAATTGTCTATATATTACGCCTATTACAGAAAATGGCCCAACAACGAGATTCCCTACACCCTCAGCACCCAGTACGGCTCGTACTCGCGGTCCGTCATCGCGAAAGCAATGAACGAGTATCATACCAAAACATGTGTCAAATTTGTTCCTCGCGACACGAAAAAACATCGCGATTATGTATACATTCACCCCGACGACGGGTGTTATTCGTTAGTGGGTCGAGTTGGTGGTAGGCAACCGTTGAGCTTGGACTCGGGTTGTATTCAAACTGGCACTATTGTACATGAACTGATGCATACTGTGGGGTTCTTTCATGAACAGTCCAGGTAGGGTAATATAAATTTATGGTTTTCATAAAAAGAAAAGACAAATTTTCCACTACTAAGTAAACGAAATTTCAACTTTTTAGTTATTTTTGTGTTTCTAATTTTAAGTGAACAAAATGTCAAAATTTTGAGTTTTTTCAATATCAAGTGAACAAAATGTCAATTTTTCGCAATTTTTATTTTTTCCAATACCAAGTTAACATAATGTAACTTTAAAACATTTTAAGACATTTATATAATTAATTCAGATACGACCGTGACCAATTCATAGAAATAGTCTGGCCAAATGTCATAAACGGTGCCGATGACCAATTTGAAAAGTATGGCACAAATGTAATCGACCAGTTCAACGAACCCTATGACTACTCCTCAATCATGCACTACGGACCATACGCCTTTAGTGCCAATGGAAAACGTACCATTTTGGCGCGACGCAATGGTGCCAATAAAATGGGACAACGAGTACAGTTTAGTGAAATAGACCTGAGGAAAATCAACCGGTTGTATCAATGCGATTCGCAGAGTATGATCAAGAAACCGCCTCGACCGCAGCTGCCAGTCCAGGTAAACGGGCTTATTAGTCGATTGGGCTTGACTAAAATCAGCAAGCCCGAGGTGAAGCGACGGCCGTTACAGCCGTTTGGAGGAGGGCGGTTCGGGCTTTGGAATGGATAAATGTGCTTATTAACACTTGTGCTTACTAACACCGCTTGTCTATTATTCATTTCTTTAGCAACTATTGATCTTTGAACTACAAAGTTTGATTTTTCGGCTAAAATTTTAATTTTTTTGAAGAAATTTTAGTTTGAGGTTTGTTTTTAAAGTTTAAGAATTGGAAAAAATTCATTACTTAGGCAATAAATGAGACCGAAGGAAAACACGCTAAGCCTTTTTAATTTTTTTTTGCTTTAGAATTTTTTTTGTAATTTTCTGAAAAAATTGATTTTTTGTATTTTTTCAAGTTAAAACGGATCTTTCACCTCCCCAACGAGTATTGCAATATATTATTGTAACCATTGTGTTTCACCGTGCAATTTGTCTTTCAAAGTCTTTATCAAACCCCATTTTTGTATATAATGTTAGATTGAAACTTAATTTATTCGTTTGTCTTGTTGGTAGCTACTTTAATTTGTGTAATTAAATTATTTTAAAAAATGTTGGCTTTTTATCGCTTTTTTAACAAAATGTCAAAAGATTTATCGGCTTTTCAGTTTTTTTGTTTTGTCGTGACAAAATCTGCTATTTAATATGTAATACTAACAAGTTTTCTGTTGTAAAGAATTGCATAAGTAAATGGGTTACTTTCCTTCATTTTTCTCAAAACACCTTGTAGTTATCAAATGCAAAATAACTTAATTCTTAAGTTTTTTCATTTCTACTCAACTCACACAAACCGCACTTTTCAGGTCTCCACTACCACTATCACACCTATCACTATTTCCACTACCACTATATCTGAAATATCAACTGCCGCTCCTACTATCACACTTTCTGTTAAGCCTACACCTACAAGTGTAAAAAAGCAGCCATCTGTAACCGAACTGTCACATAATACTGAAACCCTAATAACTGAAAGAAATAATAATTTGTCAAAAAAAGATGACAAATCAGAAACGAACACTCAAGTACCAATAACAGTATCACACCCTAAATCACGGCAATTTATGTTGTTTCGTGTGCCACGAAGGTTCAGAAAGTATAACTTCTTTTTTTTTATTTTGTTCAAATCTTGCCCCTAGTTTTTACGTTCTAAAATTTAGTTTTTTCTCTACAAGATTATCACAAGGAAAAAACTGTTTGTATTATATTACAAAAAACGATAAAGTACTGTCAAACTAACAAAATTAAAAAAAAATCTTGCAGGAAGTCGGTCACTTTGTCATCCAACCAAACGGACGCGGCTTCACGATTCACGGCGGTTGGAGCCAAAACAAAGGCTCCGCATTTGGTACGACCGCGTCAATCACAACAACAACTACCGCTGAGCCGGCGACCTCAACCGATACAACAACAGAACTTACAACCACAAGTAAAAATTTTGCTTTGTAGACCATTTAAAAACTGCTATTTTAGAGCAAACCTCAGCCGAAGATGCGTCCTCCGCCGAGTCCAGTCAAGAGACCGCACGAGAGTGCGTCGACAAAAATTGGCGATGCGCCTTCTGGTCAATGTCGGTGTTTGGCTACTGCGATAAGTACGCTGAAGTCCGCGATCAGATTTGCCCGTTCTCGTGTCGGACGTGTACGCCGCATCGCTCAGCCCAGACTGTCGGTACGTGAAGTTGCTTGATAATTATTTTTAAAGCTATTATAAAGCTAGTGTACCAAAAAACAATTTGAAATAAAATAATTTTAACAAATTTTTGTAAATTTTATTTTTTTAATTTAAGACTGTGTCGACAAAAGCGCGGCGTGCTCCAGAATCCATCAAACGTCCTGTGAATCGCCGCTTACGCAACTCCTCTGCCCACGCGTCTGCGGTGCCTGCTCGGACACAACCTTTCCAGCAGACTTCAACATCGACCCCGCTCACCAAAAGCCGACTTTTTTCCCACCGCCGATCTTCGCGCAACTCGCATCGAGTCAGCAGATTGGTGGCCCAGAAGTCGGCCTTAATCCAACCGAAGCCATCAACCCAGCGTCCCCTTTTAATCCACAAACAGGCCATACCTTCGGGCACCAATTCAACAGACCACAAAATCAGTTTGAAAACCAACCAGTCAATCCACGATTTGAAAATAGACCTGCCCACATCTCCCCAAATGATCAGCCAATCTTCCCGATTAATTCACAGGAGCCAGAGATTGACCTCGGTTCAGCCCTTGCCTTCAGAACACGGCACAGGGCAGAAGGCCGAAATGTTAACCCAAATCAACAAAAGGCCAATTCCAATAACAAAGATGATAATTCAAAGACAAAAAGTCAAGAATCCAACATCAGCGGCTCCCAAGCGCCTAATGAAAATCCTGACATCACCTTCAAGCTCGACCGCAACGTCCTCTGCTTCGACGTCTCCGAAGCAGAGATCTGCGCCCACGTCGCAGAGGTGCAGTTGTGCGCCGTCCGGCTGGACTGCGCACGGACGTGCGGGCTCTGCTGAAATCGAAATTCACGAAAAAAAGGTTTTTATACCATGAGTCGTAAAATTACAATAATGACATATAGTTTGTAATTTTTTAATTTTTTTAAATTTTACTTTAAAAATTTTTTGTAACTGTAATAATCTCATTTACCTCTTCTTAAGTTTCTCACAAATAGACTTTTTGTTATATTTAATACTTTCCTTATCACATCCATACAGTTTTAAATTTTGGCAATACGGGTTCCTTGTTTAATTTCTTTATTGTTTTTTGTAATAAATTACATAATGTACAAACACTTAATTAACAAAACAAACTTGTTAAAATAAATTTTTGGCAACTATAATGAAGTAATACTAAAAAACATAAATCACCGTTTATAAGAAAGACATAGATTAAAAGATTTGTTATCTATCTTTTTTAAATTTTATTTAAAGTGTTACCGACCATAACCCCTGTAATCTTCAAGTTCTTTCTTTAACTGTTCTTCATAAAACTCAGCAACTTTTTTCTTTTCCAACTCAACTTCGAATTGAGTAACTTGAAGGGCTTGATGTGAACGTTGCACCTCCATAAAACACTTTTCCAAATGTTCAGCTTCTTCGCGCATACGATTTATATCAGCGTTCCGCTGTCGTTCGAACGTTCGTCGTTCTTCATCCAGTTTATGACGTTCGTTTACAACTCGGACCAAAAGGTCGTGTTCTTTGGTTACAAAGTCTGTCTGCAATGTGATGGTTAGTAAAAAATGTCCTTTTTAAACATTATATATACAAAGAGTTGGAAGGAAGGGTGGTATAAAGGGTAGAAGTTAAATAATGTTTAATAACAACAAGCGAATAGCAGAGCGTTTTCCTTACTCGTAACTTATCTAATTCCGTTTTCCGTTCTTCAATTTGGCTTAGAATTTCATTTTGTTCTTCTTGAAAGGCTTTACGTTCTGCTTCAAGTTTGATTCGTTCACTTAGTACCCATTGCCGTCCCTGAAGCAAAGTTTTAATACAATCTACAATACTATAAAATTTGAATGTAATATGGCACGCATAACGACACCGTAAAGCTTAAATTTTAAACTTTTGTTAAGCGTACCTCAGCAACTTCTTTGACATAACTTGTAATCATTTTTGCAAGTTCATTTTCTAGCGTCTGAACAAGCTGTTCTTTTTTAGCTTGAAAATTTTGTTGATCTTGGTGTAACAACTCCATACCATCACGTATTTGTTTTTCAGCCAGATCGACTATTCGATTTACTGGTTCATTGTAATTTCCAAGCGAGTTTATAGCATCTTTCAAAGAATTTAACGTGTAGTCCACGTTTTCTAGCCGCGATTGGACTGTTACCAACTGACTGAAATTAATAACTATGTTATGAAAGACGCTAAGTGCAACTGGCATATAATTAAGAATTAAAATTTTTTTAAATTACGCAAAAAAACATTTAAAAACGTACTCTTCCTGCTTCTTGACGTTACGAACAACATCAATGTCATCCTCCACGTTTTGTCTAACGTCTTTTAATTGTGCTTCATACTTTTGTTGCAATTCTTCGAGTTCTACCCTATAAACAGGTCGTTATTACCACTCTACAAAAATTAAACCATACCTAAAATCTTTTCTCAATTGTTTTAATTCTTTCTCATGGTCATCCCGCAAATTTGCATTTTCTCGTCTCAAATCATTTATAACTTGCTGATCTTCATTCCTTTCGTACTTTATAGTCGACAATTCTTTTTTCAAATTTTCGATTTCTTCCCTATGGTAATCTTTAGGTTGACTTTTCTCCTCTTCGACAGGTTGACTTCTCCGTGAACCCCGCGGCCTATCTTGCCTTTCTGGCCGTTCTTCTGTCCTCGCTGGCGTGCTAAACAAGTCATCTAATGCTCGTGAAGAACTAACAGTAGGATTTTGTAAAGGTGCTCTGGGCGGTACTGGCAACGACAACCCAGACGTCCCTACAGACGAGTCAAAGGATGGCGCTGGTCGCCGTGACGTTTCAGATGTAGTCGGCTTTGGAGGCTCTTGAAAACTAACTGTCGATTTTTTCGTTGGTAAGTTTGTAGCACTAGCTGGACGTCGGCGCTACAATATAAACAAAGAAAGTTTTTTAATGTACAAAAATCCAGTAAATTTTATTAAAATTTTAAAAACTGACACATAAATATAAATGGACTCTTATACAAACTTACAGAAGATGTTTTAGGCCGACTACCGCCAAACAAACTATTTACAATATCATCGTTGGACGCTTCCTCTTCCTTAAATAACGCATTTTTACTTTCAAAGTTGTATTTAATTTATCTTTTCAGTTTTTCTCACACTACATTAATACAATACACAACGTAACCAACTTTACAAGATTTCAAAATAAACCAGACAATTAAAAAAACTTACATCCGGGAAGTCCAAATCTGACATTTACGAAAAAGAAAAATCTTGAAGAAAAAATGTGTTTCCGCGCACTTTTGGCTCAAACAAAATAGCCAGCGGCCGTTTTCTCTTACCTTGGCAACCATGTAATAACACCAAAGTGGAACATACGGATTAACCCTTTCCTTGTGAAAAACATAAGAGTGTAAAAATAATTCACCTCTAAACGATAACAAAGCTATTGGCATTAACTTCGAACTTTACATTATGATTATCGTAATATGCACGTTATAGATGATTATACTTCACTAGAATGTACTTAATTAGTAGGTAAAAGACAATCTTTTGTAGAGCTTGTGTTGTAGAACTTCTACTAAGAAAAAGTAGTTGTGAACATTCTGAATAGTCTTGTAACATTACTGTTTATTTATTGTGCATTATTTTGTATTTTGATTTAAAAATAAATTTCAAAAATCGTTACTTATTGAGAGCATTATCAAACATATCACCTATTCATGAATTAAAAAACAGCTACACTTAACGCAAAACTTTTGCAGACTTCCCTAAATGTTTTTTCAGCCCGAAAATAGAGAGAAGAAAGCCTAGCAAGACTGTGAGAGAACGCGTAAAGGTCAGAGTGCAGTCGGCGCTCCGGCCGAAAAATAAAAAACCAAGAGGAAAGCCAAAAGAAAAGAACGTCGGCGACACGTCAGCTGCGGTCATTTTGTCGCTGAGTCGTTTTTTCTCTATTTTCTATTTTCATCGACAGTTCTTGTGACATTTTTTTCACGGGCGTTAACTTAACCGGTCGTCGTGTGATTTGTCTGTTTTTTGCAAAAACCCGACATTTTTAGGTTATGAGAAAGTTTTACGAAATTTTAAAAATAGTTTTTAGTAGTCCAAAAAAAATAAAAAAAAAATAATAATTAACGATTTTAATATCTTTATTAACGTTTTTTGTAAGAAAAAAAAGTTATTTAAAAAGTAAAAGTACAAAAATAAATTTTTAATTAATTTTTTTAGCAAGATAGTTTTTTACCCGCTTTACGTTTAATTTTCTCAACTTCAATTTGCAATCTTTTTCAAAGTTCCGTTACGCTTTATAGTAGGAAAAATCGGTTTCTATCTTTTGTTAATTTATCCATCACCTTTATCGGTTACATTCTTTTAGCTAACTTACACTTTGTTATATGGGGCTCTAAATCTTTTTTTAGGTGTCGCGTGAGCAAATTTTGTCGCGCGACGCCTCGAGCAACTCAAATAGCTGCAAAGTGATCATGTATTTCTGCGAGACGACAGGCTGTGTTGACCGGCCCAAGCTGATGGCTTGATTCTAGATGAAAATAGTGTTCATTGGGTGGAGAGACTTAAAAGACAAATCGGCGATTTTTTTCTTGTTCTCGGGCCTAAAAACAAAATGAAGCGGTTTAAAGGCGAGCTGCACAACCCAAGCTTAAGAGGAATTTTTGCTTTTTTTGTTAATTAAGTCAACCGCAAAAATATGAATTAGAAGTTTGATGATCTGTTTATATTTTACAAAATATTTCCGTAAAAAGATATTTAACTTTTACATAAAAGTAAGCACGAGTTTGTCCTTAACTTAAAAACTATATATTTTTCAATTTTCAACAACATGCTGACGAGATGATAAAATATCTTTTCATTTATCAAATTATAATTACTGAGCACATAATCTTGCAAACAGCCGACGTGGCTTTTCCGTTACGATTGTAAAACGCTTATGACGCAAAAATAAAGCAATCTTGATTTCGTCTGTTGACCAGCTGGTCTTTGGCTAAATAATCGTCTGTAAAACGCTTTGTATACGGCACGCTACACATTTGACATTCCACGTACTACACTTAACAACTTTTACTAAAAAGCTAAAAAATGTTCTGCTTTGTTATCTAGCTATAGCTTACATATTTACTGTAAAATCTTAGTTTGCATTGTTACAGAATATGAGGGAAAAATAATAATAAAATAACCTTAAACTTTTCTAAAGATATTTCGCTTTTCAGTACTTAAACTAAATTGTAAACTTACACTTTTGTTGTTTTACAGCACTACGTAGCTTGAACCTACGCGACGCTGAATACACAACATCTATCTGCGCTCCGACCAAAGAGCATTTCTCAGCCTTCATCTCTATGAGTCATGACTTGTTAGTTGAAAAACATGTTTGTGTGTCATATATTTCTTATTCTTTGCATATATGAAACTAATAAGCTCATTATTTTAATTTCTTTTTGAAATTAATTTTTACGTTATTTCTTGTCATTCTTTGTACTTAATAATAATTTTTCAAAATATTTAGTTTTGTGTACTGCTTGCCTTTATTACAAATCACGGTGTGCATAAAAAATCTTTTCAGCATAAACCATAAACATTATAGCGTCTTTCGTAACGCTACGTGGATCATGTAAGTTATTTCAATTATTTTTGCTCTTGAATTTAGATACTGACGTCATTGGGAAGAACTTGCTGCTTTAGTTGAATTAATATACAGAAAAACTCTAGTTTAAGGAATTTTAAATTTTATTGTTTTGTGCTACGTCTGTTTTGTCTCACGTTTCTTTACTTTATCAGAATTCCTAATTGAGTTTTGAATGTTTGATGCATTTTTAACTACGTATTATTTTGGGTTTTAGGGTTTATTGTTCTTTTGGTAGTAGTAATTGATTTTCTAAGAAATCAATCAATAGTTTTTGCTACACTTTTTCAGTAAATTTCTTATAATTATCAGATAAAGGTCAAAAGTAAAAAAGAATGTGGCACGGCCATTTTTTTGTTAACCAAAATCCGGCTAGTGAGGTAGTGCAATTAAAAATACATTACTGAAATTGCATATAAATCGCAACTACATAATTTTTGGGCCCGCTATTATCACTACAAAAGTCGACAATTGTTATCACTTAAGATTTGCGCCGTACAGTCTTTTTCGTAAATCCGTGAATTTTCCGGTCGATTAACCAGTTGATTGTGCAGTGTGTCACGGCGGCGCACATGTCCGACTACCATCCACATATATTTATTGTAAAAATCGCATGGGCTAATCACTAGAAAGTTCCACCCCAAAGAGTCCTTCAACCCCATCATCTCTTTCGCCTTTAACTGGGCGTCTGCCCCAATAGAAAAGACCGCGGACCGTCTGTCGGGTCGGGCGCGCTCTCCGCGAATCGCGCGCTCTCTCGCCGCGGTTTGGGTCGTCTCTTCTTTTTGCGAAAATTTTGTGCGTTTCCCCTAAGCGAATCTCTTTTTTTTCCATCCGTTCGAGCACCAAAAACGACGTATTTTCGGACGTCCATTCCAACCCGAACCCTCTGGACATTAGGCCATGGCTTGAGGTAATCAGGCTCTACATTTATGGCCAAAATTTTGGCCAAAAAACACGATTTTTTAGGCAAAAATTGGCGGGTTTTGGAGAAAAAATGAGTAAAAAATATTGGTTTAGGTGGAAAGTTCGGCGTTTTTGCTCGATTTTTGATCGGGTTTTGAGGAAGAATGTGAAGGAAAAACATTTGAGGATATGGCACAATCTATTACAACAAGTTTCATTAAGTTTTTCTTATATTATTTACCTAAAATATCAATTTTACTTCGGTTTTCAGCGAAAGATCTGCATTTTTCTACGAATTTTTGGCTTTAAATCCTACCATTTCAGTAAATAACACTAACCATATTATTTACGAATGTTAACAAGCTTATTCTCCTTGTTTTTTACCGATTTTCCAGTTGATTTACATCAGATTTTATCCTTTACGCGATATTGTTTATGATGAAACCGGGAGTTTTTTGTGTGAATTTTGACCTAATTCTGATCTTATGATCGCTCTTTTTATGGAAAAAACTTTTTTGGTGGCTACTTTTTACTTGATAACTGCTTCACTTTTATGTTATGTGATTTATTTTTTGTTATAATCGATTTTTATATTCTTTTAGGTATCTGATGTGTCACATAATGCTTTGTATTGATTTTAAAATTTTATGTATGAAGTATATTGAAATTTTAGGTAATATAGTATGCTTTTTGTTTCAAAAAGGTCATTTTTTATTAGCGATAATTTATGCGTTATATTGTTGTAGTTTGTATGTTATGACACGAGTTTTTATCACTTGATTTTATGATAGACCATGTTTAATGTAATTTTTGGTAACAATCAATTTTACGTGTCTTTTAAATGTTTTTTATGATTAGGCTAAAGGTTGCGTTTAATTTTGCTCACAATATTCTTATAATCAACGACCGTAATATTCAATTTTTCAGTCAGCGTAACCAAAAGAAACGTCGGCTTAAACTTCGCACCATGAACGAAGTCGTGAATCATGATGAAGCCGGCTCATCGTCGCAGCCCAAGTCCAAGGCGCGGACACGGCATCGGAGCGGCACACAAAGCTCTAGTTGTACTAGTCAGGAGGATTCGAACGTGAGTGTGTACGGCGACGACTACGAAGAGGACGAAGAAGTTGAAGATGTGGACGACGAAGAGCCCGAATCCTCAACATCGCACGATCGAACGGGCGTGGGGTCGGCTGACTATCGTACGGCTGCGAACGCTACACCGTCACGCTACGATTCGGATCTAAATACTGCGGGGCTTCAGTTGGCATTTGACTTCTGGCGTGCTTCCGACGATCCCAGCATGAAGAAGTTGAGCGAACGCGAGCTACAAGAACTGTTTTCGAAAGCACCGGACCAACTCCAACGCTTACATCAACAACTGATCGGCAACTTTGATCCGTCGAATTTCGATCAGCAACCCGGTTCGTACCTCGGGCTTTCGGGCGATCAAGACAACGGCGAAACGAGACGAAACGGCGGACAGAACAACATGGCGACCAATTACAACAACCCTCTGTCCCAGACCAACATGTTTAATCAACAATTCATCAACAACATCTCCCATACATTAGGACCCACTTTGGCGGCGGCATTAAGTGGCGGCAACATACAACCTGGACAAAGAGTAAGGCTTTGGTATTATTTTTGATTTTTAGATATTAAAATGAAGAGAAGAGAGATAAATAAAGAAAAATTGGGTTGAAAGTCAAAATCAAATGTAAAATATCACAAAAGAGAGGTTATATAATGAAAATCTATAATAAAATTATGTAAAATACGATTTCCCTAATGAAGTTTTATATTATCTTAGGTATAGTTTAATCTTACCGTTTTTTTACAGAACGGCGTAGCGGATTCTCTAAATCAGCTAACAGGACAACAGAATCAAGAACTGCTGAACACGCTGGCGGCGAATCCAGCGCTAGTTCCCTTCATCAACTACGCTTCGGTGCTCAACAACCCCCTACAACAGTTCGATCCCAACACAGTGGCGTTGACGAACAAATTCGTTCAGATGGCCAAAGAAGCGCACGAGGCGGCGGCATCAACCTCGACCTTCGACCACGAGGATGGGCGACATCGGTCGGTGTTGTTACAAACAACACCTGACTGTGAATATCCACCGTTCTCGGCGTTTCGTATTGCTCAACAACACAATCCCCCAATGATGTTTGTGGATCACGGCTCACAAGTGGCTTATTTCAACTTTGCGGATTTGCCTTCGAATAGTAAGTTAGAGGAAGGGGAAGTTTTTGATATTAAAAAAATTTTTTTTATATTTTAAGTAAAATTTTTGAGATTTTAAGCTGATTTTGAACCTAAACTTTTAAATTTTTGTTATTTTGAGCGGAAAAATGGTATATTTCTGTGCTTTTTAGCGTTTAACTCGACTTTTTTAAAGTTTAGGTAACAAAGTTTAAAAAAGACGAAAAAAGTAGAATATCTGAACTTTTTAAAACTATTTTTTATTGTTACCTAAAACAATATCTTCAGAAACAACCATACAAGTGGAAGAAAGTAAACCCGAAGGCACATTACGACTGGTAATACAAAACTTTTCGAATATGGCAGACACTGTCAGAGGGCCGTCGAAGATTGTTCAGAATGTGCCTTGGCGCATTATGATAATGCCACGACAACATATTGTACAGAAGAAAGGAACTCAGAAGTGCTTGGGGTTTTTCCTCCAATGTTGTCCTGATGCCTACTCGGAGTGAGTTTTTTTGATTTTTTGTTGAATTTTAGGTAATACTGGTAGTTTGAAGAGTGGAAATGAAAAGTTTTTGAGAATAAGATGTTAGATATTGCAAAAATATGTTATTTTATCCTATTTTTGGTGTTTTTGCAATTTTTCTGAAAGTTTTATTAATATCTTATTGTAGGTCTTGGTCCTGCTCAGCCGCAGCTGAGCTCCGGCTAATATCCCAGAAACAGGCGGTCCCCAACTTTTCCCGAAAAACCAATCACAACTACACGTCGAAGGAGAACGACTGGGGATACTCGTGCTTCATGACATGGGCCGACATCCTGGACGAACAACAAGGCTACATCCACAACGATACGGTGATTCTGGAGGTTCACGTGAAGGCGGAGGCCGCCAAAAACGTGATGAGCTTGGAAGACTTTCGAAAGAAGATTAACGGATACATCAGATTGGCATCGTTACAATGCGAACGCGGCCTAATCGACAAAGCAATCGAGTGCAACTCAATGGCGACCAAAATGTGCAAAGACAAAGATCCGGAATGCCAACGAAAGCTACAGTCTCAGAATGCAGATCTCGTAGCAAGGAAACTAAAACAAAGTATTGCGAGAATTGAAAGAGGTAGTGACACAGCAGCCGAAACCGACGCAACAAACAACGTGGCAGCGTTAAGAATCGCGATGACAAGCAGCGGAACACAACGCAACTCGGGTATTCAGAAGCCAAGAAGAAAAGATACGGAGAAGAAGCGATCCAAGGACGAAAGTCAGGATCTAGCTTCGAATGGATCAATCAATGACACGAAATCGACGGACGGAACAACTAGAGGATTACTGGACGACTTTGACGAAGATGACGTCAGTTTCTGCGACAATCCAGAACACGATGCCAAGTGCAATTGCCATCATACGGACAAAACGGAAAGACATGGTGACTTGTCGTTGGAAAGTCTGGAACATAATCATGAGGTTGGTGTAGTTTTTTGAGGGATTTTTATTAAGTTTTTAAAGGTAGTGAAGGATTTATCTTATTTTAGGGTTTGAACTAGAGTTTTTGTTTTTTTTGACTTAAATTAGTGCGTTGGAAAGCGTGGCTTTGATTTTTTGTAACTAAAAAAGTTATTAAATTTTTAAAAATTAAGTTTTAAAATTGAACTTAAACATAATTTTTCAGCTAAACGGTGAAGAATGTGAAGTCTTGAATCAGTTCGATGGAAAAGGCACATTGGAAGCGTTCGAGGAACTTGTGGTAAGCTTGATGTTATTGGTTTGAATATGCTTCTCCGCAATTGTCGCTCCATATCAGTGTTTGCTTGAGTTTACAAATACCTGTCCACCTATGACAATATTAATTTTTAGGATTTTTATAATGTGTTCTTTGATGTTTAGGTAGTTTTAAAAGAAAATTTGTTTTTTTTGGGTATTTTTATAAGAAAATGGGCTTCTTTTTGGGTAGTTTTTGATAAAAAGGCTTGAATTTTTTACATTTTCAATTTTTTTGATTTTTAAAGATGACTTTAGTTATATTTAGCTTTATTATTAACTACAAAATAAGTTATTATTAAGAAATTGCCAGTCCAGCTTTTATTTATTAAAAAATGACAGTTTTTTTCAAACTATTGCCTTAATGTTGACCCTAACTCCTTCTCATTGGCCTTTAATTTTGATTATCAAACGAGATGTTTTCAGTTGATTAAAAATCTTTGAAATAATCTAAAATAGAGTGAAATTCGAAAAAGTGTGCAGTTTGACTAACACTTTGTCGACGTTAAAGCGTTTTACATGTTGTTTGAGGAAAACACACAAAAGTCCGTTTTGTACAAAATTTTGGGTTTTTTCGAATTTTAAAAGGATTTTTTTGAGTTTTTAAGTTAAAAAAAGTGAAAAAAAATATTTTTGAAAAATTGAAATTTCGCTGCAATTTTTATAATTCGACAGATTTTAATTGAAATTCAAACTTTTTGAACGTTTCAAATTTTTTTAAATTCAAAATTAATCCTGAAAACATCTCAAGCTGAAATCAAAATTTTCAGGCCAATGAGTCCACTCTGACCCGTCGCTTAATCGACGTGATGTTCTCCACTCCCAAGCATAAGGCCGCGCTTCTGGCGGCCGTAGATCGAGCACGGAACGGTGTCTCGACCTGTGTCGAGGAAGCCGACAAATTCAGTATTCCGATGCGATTCGAGTTGCTAAGCCGGAGTCTAATTTGCGACGGGGGATTTACTTTTGCTGATATCGTTGAGAAAGAGTCGAATGCCTTGCTTAAAATAATCAAAGAGCAGGCAGCGTGCGCGGCCAACCCAAACCTGTGGCTGGAGGAGGCGCGAAAGCTGGTTGAAGTAGGATATTGTAGAATTTTTTTATTTAAAAACTTTAAAAAGGATTGTCTTTTAGCCTTTGGACGTCTATTGTGCTTTTTTAATACAAATTTCATCCTTTTTATTCGCTTTTTGAGTAGTTTTTGCATTTTTTCAACTTATTTTAAAATTTTGTTTTCATTTACCTAACTTTTCGATTTCAGGACGAAAAACTCCACGCTATTCCTAATGAACCCCTGTTCGAACTCACCAAGTCCGAAATGGCTAGACTACAGAAAAAGATTTGCGGGGAAAAGGACTTTTCAGCCTCAAGCCAACAGAACGCCGAATGCCAAACCGACTTCCCGGCTGTTTACAGAAACACCGAGAATGGTTATTCACTCCCAATGTACATGAGGAATCAACCATTTGTTCAACCCTTCCCCAATGCCATGCTGCATGCCATGAACCTGAACGACTCATTCATGCAACTCAATGCACTAAAACAACAACAAGCATCTACTCCTATAATGCCAAGAAGAACCTTGACTCCAAGAACCAAGAAGAACAAGGGCCAAGACATTGTGGACCAGGCAGGCGATGCTCCGTTACCAGCTCAAAACGGACCAGAAAAGAAGGAGAACAGAAAACGCAAGGAACGACCTTCTAGCGTGCAGAACGAAGCCAAAGAAAACGTCGAAAACCTCAACTTTGTCACCATGGCCAAGCTTGAGAATGGAGATTTGCTAAATCAACCAATTGCCAACCTTCTAAGCGCTGCAGGACCCATTGACAACGTCGAGGTGATTCAGAATCTTGTCAAACAAGCCTACGGAGTACCGGATGGAAGCTTTGATGCAGCCTCAAACGAAGGATTGTCTAGATATGCGGCAAAGACCATGGAAGCTCTGGCTAAAACTGGCAATATGTTCGCAGCTTGCTTGAAACATATTCAAGAAGGCATCAAGACTAATGCTGAATTGAGAAACTTTAACGAATATGGCAGAGCGCTGGAAATGCTGACTAAAATGTGCGCGGATAACAAGTTGAACAATGTGCCAAAGTGTAAGTTTTGGGTGGGCTTTGGGTTGAATTGTTTGAAAGTTTTAACTAAAAAATGGTCTACAGTGACCATTTATAAGTATTTTTTCTGTCTTTTAACAAAATTTAATTTTACACATTTTTAGTTTCCCTTTCGGACGGCCCAACCCAACCAGGCCCCGAAATCCATCCCTTCTTCCAACTAGCCCAAGACCCAGAAGGAGAACGCAAATACTGTGCCTACATTGATGGAAAGCTCAGTTTCATGTTCTACCCATTCCGCACAGGCCCAAGTCTTATTGTTATTGCTAAAGAGGTTCATACCTTCATTCAAAGACTTCAAAACCGATTTAATGAGCTTCAACGCGAAATGGAGAGCGTCAAGAAGGAGAGAAACAACTTGATCAAGGACAAATGCAACCTCCAAAAGGGAGAAAAGACTTTGCAGGAGAAGGTGGAGACTTTGAAGCAGGATAATGCCAAACTGAACACTCAGGTCAAGCATCTGGAGAAGAAAGTCTCGAACTTGTAAGTTTTTTGAGTTTTTTTTGTGATTTTAGGTATGATTTTGAGAAGAATGGAAAGTATGGTTTCATAAATGGATTTATTGATCTTTAGTAAAAGAAAACACAGCTAATATCAAAAAGAGATAGAATTTTATCGCTTTTACGTTACTTTTTAAAGCTTTGATATTTCAAAAAGGCTGAACTCCAGAATATTTACCAACTTAATTTCAGGCATTCCGACCGCGAAGACGAGCTTCAAAAGCATCGTAGCCAGGTGGATCACCTTAAGCATGAAATCGCGGAAAAAGAAGCACAACATTCCAGAGATGTTCAAAGCCTGAACGATGTCAAGAAGAACTACTCCAAAGAACTGTCTGAACGCCAATCTCAAACTCAGAAACTCAAAGATCAATTAGAAGAGAAGAACACGCTTCTGAAGAAGTTTGAAGCCGAAAAGAAAACTCAACGTGACTTCAACAACAAACTCCTCGAACGTGCCAAACAAGCCGAATGTGCGAATATCGAGCTGAAGACCGAACATGCCCTAGCCAAACTCGAAAGAGCCAAAGCTGATGCAACTAGTCGTGCTGAAGAGTACGAAGCCAAGATTGTGCCAAACGAATTGACGGAAGAAGAACGAACTTCATTGGTGGTTTGTGTCGAAGCCTGGAAGAAAACGGCTAATGAATGTGCTAGACTAGCCGAAGAAACAAGCAAAGAATGCCAAAGACATTTGGACATGGTCAAGGAAGGCAAGCTACCAAGTCAACTACCTAAAATGAACCTTCACAAACCTCCACCACCCCCAACCGTCACTCCAATCGTCTCGGCCAGAAGAGAACCACCCCCACCACCAATGAATGTCATTACCAATCCAATGATGCAAGGAATAAACAAGTTTACTCAATCTACACCATCTTCATCTCAAATGAACATGGCTCCTCATCACAACTCTTCCCATGCTCAACAATCCGCCTTCAGGTCTATGAACTCGATGAATGGTCCACCACCGTTTGGAGTACCAAACCCAGTTGGAGGACCAGTGGGTGGACCAGTACAAGGACCACCGTTTGGTAATGGATCGCTCCAAACCCAACAAATGGCACCGTACATGAACCAACAACGTCAACCCAACATGATGTTCCCACCAAGCAACATTCCTCCAATCGGATCAAGACACCCGCCTTCACAACTGCACCAGCAACAACCTGAACCCATCTTCAATCGGATGGAGCCACGTTTGGATCACTTTGATCCATCAGCTCCCGGCTATAATGCTACAAGGTCATGTACGCCAGCTGAAGAAGCTCAACTTGATCGGCTGAGGAATGTAAAGTCGTTGTGGGACAAAGATATTTCTAATTCTAGTGGGTTTGGCGGATCTAATCATCAGAGAAATGGTAGGTTTGGCGGGGTTTGAAGGTTTTAAGGGTGGATAATGACAAAATTGAAATTTTTGAAAAATTGATTTTTTGAAATTCGAAAAATGGTTTTTGAGGATTAAAGTTTTTACTATTTTTTTATTTTAAAGTTTAAAAATGGCTTTTTATGGCTAAAATTAGACAAAGATTTCAATTTTCACCAACTTTCAGGTCAAATTGATCCAACCCTGTCGATTGCTCAGTCCGTGTCCCAATCAGCCAAGTACTTCCCGTCTGCCAATTCGTTTGAGAACACGAAACAACCTGTCGGCACCACCGCCAATGACATTGTCCCTGATCTTCTCCGCTCAGCCTGGGGAGGAGATTCGATTTGGTCGTTCAACAGCCAAGGCTAAGCCATGATTATCGAAAGAATGGCAGTTTGTTGAGGATCATTATCACCAACGCCAGTTTTATTGGATAGTTTGGATGACATTTTCGATAACATGGAGGTTGTTCATCAACAGCAATAGAAGAGTCTTTTTTATCAATATCAGTAGCAGAGCCAACCTTTTTCATCAACACCGCCGGAAGCCTATTTAGATCCATTTCAAGTGTTATTTGTCGCTATCTCGACGTATCTTCGTAATTTGAAAAAATTTTTAGTTTGTTAAAACGTCTATTTGTATTTAGAGTGTAATTGTTATTGTTTGTCTAAATAAATGTCTTATCGTCATGGTCAAACGTCGTTTATGGTCTAACAAGAGTTTGAATTAATCGGTTTTTGAGAAAGAAACCGTAAATTCGGACTTTGGTACTGAAAGACTAGTACTATTTGATACTAATGCTAAGGTTTTTGTTTATGGTTTGATGATTTTTTGGATAATAATGGTTTAAAATGGCATTTTAGGGATTTAAGATTGAAAAAATGACATTTTTTTGCCGTTTTTAATTGAAAATTCAATTTATCTTTGCAATTTTTTCAAAATTCATAACCAAAAACCTTGGCAAATGTAATACAAACTTATACTCAAAGCTGGTATGTCCAACTACCAATTGTTCGTATAAAGAATGCCGATCCTGGAACCCCGTCAATCTTGTCACACCACCGAAAACATCAAGAAGTCTTTTATCTTGTACAATACTCACAGCTTGCAAGAAACGCTTAATAACTTGAATTTTGCGAGCTTACACCTAAAATTGTTGTCATTGAGGAAATTTGGGATTTTTTGAAATTTAAAGCGGTATTTTGATCGAAATTTTGATTTTTTTTTCGAGTTTGTGGCAGAAATTTGAAAAAAACGTGGTTTTTGGCTAAAAAATTTAATTTTTTGTCTTAAATTTCAAAGAAATGTTTAATTTTTTATTAAATTTTAGGTATATCACATAAAATTTTGTTAAAAACCCAAGTTTTCCCTAATTTTCATCAATTTCCAACCAAAAACCCCAAGATTTTGCGCGGGTTTTGGTCGTTTTAGTCGCCGAAAACGCCCGAAACCCCCCAACCACAACTCAATTATCAGTCTCTGTTGTCGCGCCGTTACAAAATAGCTGAAATTGTTCGTATATCTATATTTAATTAAACATGTTGAGCACGAAAAAAACGTCCGGATTGGTCGCCGCCAATTCAATTCGAGGTTTGCGGACGTTTCTCGCCGATTCTGCCGCCGGAGTCGCTCCTTCCAAGTCTTACTAATTTTTATGTTTATGAAATATTATTTACAATATAAATCTGTTAATTTTACTGTGTGAAGGATGGATTGTTAAGGAGAAGATAGGAAGGTTGAAAAACAATTTGAGAAGAAGTACATACATAGTAAAATGGATGTTAAAGACATACGGTCAAGCTTCTATTATACTATGTTATAATAGATTGTTCAAATAATTTTGTGCTCCAAACTTTGAATGTTTACTTTGAGATGGGGCACAGGACTATTTAAACAACAACTAATAGTATGACACTCAAAAGTCTAATTTAAGCCTGTTCTTATAACCAGGGTGCCATACTATCGAGTGTTGTACTAAAGACGCTTCACTGTATGTACAATATAAAAATGGATTTTGAGATTGTATAAAAGTAAAAAAATTGAGGTACAATAAGGTATAAGATATAAAAAAATATTAAAAAATATTACATTTGGAAGCAACTGAAACACGATTTACCACGCCATGACAGGCACTCCATACAGCGTTGTTGTTGCGCCTGAAATGCCACTTTTAATGCATTTAATAATAGCATTTTGAAAAGAAACTCATAGTTTTAGTCACATTTCTCTTTTCCAACGAAGGACTTTTTGTGCTGGCTAGACCTGGCTTTCGGACCGGGCCAAGCCAATTTTTAAGCAGGAAAGCCATGTCCAGTGCTGGCACAAAATAAAGCTTTCAGACAAACTTACATTGCTTTGAATATAATCGCAAAACCAGTGACATTCATCGACCCAATCTTTACAAACCGTTTTTAAACATTTGTTGATTAGCTGGTCACGCGATGAGGCTTCTGGTGCTTGCTGAAAAAATATAATAAAGTTTTAGTTTTTAATCAGGTTTTAGGGCATTACTAGTATTTTTTTAAAAGTAATACTTGATGTAGTTGTGTCCTGTCTTGTTTTTAGCTTGTGCCTAGATTTGATAAAACAAAAATGGGCTTGGGTGGCTTCGTTGCGGGACGTAATCTGGGACTTTGGGGATTTAGTTTTTTTAGCGATCAGGCTTCTTTCAAGCTTGACCCAGCCCAGCCCAGCAATAATAATCCTTACCCTTCCAAAAGAACTGTCAACTGGAGATAAAAAGTTTTTTCCAGGCACCAAACTGTGTGTTCTTTTGCTTGACCGTCTTCTAGATGATGATGTGCTTGTCGATGTTGTCACATTACTTTCTACATGTTGCGATGTAACATTTGGTCGTATGTTTACTTTTCTCAAAGGGGTTGTTGTAACACTTTCTACCTTATCATCCGTTAATGTAGGATTAGTAGTGACTTCTGAAGGTATTTTGAAGTCAGGTTGTTTAGGCACTTCATTTATATGTTTTTGAAGATTTGTAGTATTGTTACTATTTTGTGATAATACAGTAGTTTTTGGTGTTACAGTAGTTGCAGTAAGGTTTGGTTGTTTATTCTGATTTTGATGAATTCTTAAACCTTTAGGTACATCATTGTTTCTAGGTAAAATAGTAGTTGTAGTTAAAAGATTAGGCAATGTAAACAACGGCGACAAGTTTCTAAAAGATATTGTTGTAGGATTCTCTAGTAGCATTGTAGGGTTTGGTGTAGTCAGATCTGAGACACTTAAAAAGTCAGAAGAACTGGCAGTAGCTAAAACCGGACTGGCAGTAGTTGACGCTACAGAGTTGAATGCAGGGTTTACTGTGTTTAATCTCCAACTTCTTTGAGCTTTAAAGTTATTATTTGCTATTGGCTTTTCTAGAACTATTGGTGGGTTGTCTACTGACTTTGAAGCAAACACAGGTTGTATATTCTGTTTGCTTTTTGGTCTTGAGGGTCTTGATACAGATGATGTTCTTATTGTTGAAGATGTGGATGATGAAACGGATGACGAAGGGTTGGGTAATGTTGTTGAAGGGCTAGGTGAAGAAGAAGGTTGATTTGCTGATAAAGATGCAGTTGGTGATTGATTTATTGATAATGATACGGTTGATGTTAAAGTTGTTGGTAAAGGTGATACAGAAGCTGTTGGTACTGGTGATACTAAAGATGCTGGTACTGGTGATACTGAAGACGGTGATAATTTAAACTCTTTTTGAGTTGTTCTTATTTGACTGCTCAAAACTTCTACAGGACTTGAAGCAGATGGCCCAGCCAATGATCCATGATTAGATCTAACAGTTTTTGGTTGTTCAACAGTACTAGAACTTGATACTGGCTTTGATACTAATTTTGTTACGGTTTTTTGTTCTGTAGCTAAGGTATTGCTAGACTTTGGCATTATGTTTTCTGTAGGACTATTATTGACCGATTTTGTGGTCATATTCTCTTTATTTTGTACGTTGTTTGGAGCTGAAGAGTTGTTTAAAACAGTAGAATTATGATGCAAACTTTGATGATTACTTCTCGATCCAATAACTTCATTCTGAGAAGATTCTAAAGTCTTGTTCTTAGGCTTTGCATTTTCTCGTGCTTGACCAGTAGAATCACTAGATGCTAATTTGGTAGTATTGATTGAACTTGAATTTACGTTTTGACTTGAATTTGCTTCGTTTGGTTCAACTATTAATCCTAAATCAGAAGCTGGCTTTTTATCTTCAAATAGGTTATAAGCTGGAGGTTGGGGTCCTAGCTTTAGATTAGGGAACGTTGAAGAAGATGATAGCTTTTCTAAAGTTGCTGAAGAAGATGGCTTTTCTGAACCTGGTGAAGCAGATGGAAATGCTGAGCTTGACTTTAAACTTGTAGGTCCTAAAGCAGTTGATGCTTCACCATTAGATGCCATTTTATTTGCTTTTAAAGCAGCAGTTGGTGATGATAAACCAGATATACCATTTCCAAACCCTGGTGCTTGTTTAGCCAAAAATCCAGGTAAAACCAACCCAGAAGGTATGGCTGCAGGTGGAGCTGTAGCCGGCGGCAAACCCCAAAACGAGTTAGACAATGAGGGTGGTTGAAGACCAGTCAATGCCACGAATCCCACATGAGGTGGTGGTGGAAACGTTGGTATTAATGGGTTAAAAAGGCTTGGAGGAGCGATTGTTGTAGTTATTGCCCAAGGATTGCAGTTGATAACTGTAGTTGTTGGGGATGAAGTTGTTGTAAGAGGGGGAGTATCAAAGTCATAGCCTTGAGAGTTTATTGGAGGTATTAGGAGAGTAGATAATATGGCAATGGATGAAAGTAGCTTTAGTCGCTTCATGTTGAAGTTGATTTTATTAAAAAATAGAGAATTGTTACCTAAAGATCTTATTATATACAATTCTTAATAAAAATTATAAAAATTTGAAATTAAAAAAAAATCAAAAAAAATTTAAAAAATTTGTTTATTCAAAGCTTACTTTTATATTCCACTACAAATTACAGTACCAAAATTTACAGTATATCATCAACAAGTATCACAATACAAAAATCAGCACAATTCTCGTAAAATCACTTTCACCAACCTCCCTTGGCCCTCAAATGACGTAGTAGAAGGTTATGACGAATGTTAAGATTAACCCAATTCCAGCGTCGAAATCCCACTAATCAACAAGATACCACGACTTGCATTTTGCATAATTCTCTCCAGCGACCTTCAGGCGCGGCATGAAACAAACACAGCCCGTTTCGAACCCAAATTTCACTCCGTTTTATGGGTCTCACGTAAACGCACCTGAAGGCAATAAACACAACGTATGCGGTGGGGTAATTTAGAGGGGTTGAAGCTGGTTTTGACAATTTAGATATAGTCAAATGCTTAGTAAGACACTCAAGGAACTAGACCAAAGTGCCTTCATAAAAAGGGTGTCACTCTATACAGATAATTTTAAGTATAAGTTATATTATAAAGGCAGTCAGAAAGATGTCAGCATAAAGAGAGTGCTATACTATCAAAAGTTGTAGTAAAGAGGTTTTACTGAACTAGAAAACTTCTGTATAATGAACACCATTAAAATTCCTACTAATAATACAAAGTAAACTTAAAACTCCTGTATAATGAAACCCCTTTACAACAAACAAATTTAAAATTCCAAAGCATTTACTTATACAGGAGTTCCACTGTACGTCAAAATTTTGTTAAAACTGTCAAAAAATCAACACTTTTAATTTTAAAAGTTTTTAACATCAATATTTTTTCAGTGTTTGGAAATAAAATTTTTAAAAATTACAAAAAAATTTTGGAAAAAATTTAAAATGATGACAAATTAGCAAGAAAATCTGAAAAAAGCTATGCCTAATATATTGGTCAATCAAAAGTACATTGAAGTATAATATAACAAGCCAAAAGTTTCTACAAAGCACATAAATTTGTACAAAAACAGTAAAAATTAACGATCCCTTACTCTACTTTTTCAGAATTTTATAACTACAATTGGACTTCCGTAAAACAACCTAACATATTATTATAAGAAATCTCTTGTATAACGAAGGTTTTTTTGAAACTGGCAGCGTTTCAGTGAAAGTATTATACAAAAAATCTCCCATATAAAGATGCCTTGTACCTGTGTTTTTATGTTCAAAGGTGACTTGCTTTGAAGGAATAAAAAGAAATAAACTGTAAACAAATCTTATAGAAATAAATACAATGTTCTCTTAACTTATGAATACAAGTAAAGAATGAGTTAACGGTATAATTGCTCTATAACTTTGTAGACGGTGGAAGCTCTGTATAACAATAAGCTCGGAGATTTTAAAGTTGTTCGTTATACAAAATTTTTCTTATAAAGCCGTTTTAAATTCTCCGTGAGTAGTTTTTAACGGACATGTAAAAATTGTTTTTTACCCGGAATTTTCGTTATAAAGAAGTGTGTGATACAAAAGTTCTACAATAGTAAAAAAGAAGGTAAAATTAAAAGGGTAAATACGATATGGACTTGTTATAGATATTTAACTTCCAAACTTTGGCAAGTTTGTGCTTATAGTAGAACATGTGTTTTGTAAAATACGTCGGTGATTGTTGCATATTTGTATTATAAAGTGGAACTTCTGTGTAACGAACAGGATTTTTGTTATAGAGAAGTTTGTTATACAGGTGTTCGGTATACAGAAGTTTCACTTCATTTTCATGGTTATTGTGATGAACTTTTACTGTGTTTGCATAATAATATATCAGTAATGTTGAAGTTTCTAAAATCTAACGTTATATATACGTAAATTAATAAATATAAACATAATAAATACACCCACAGGAACTTAGATAACGATATAAGTTAATCTTTACACACAAAAAGCAAAATTTGTAGGCTAGCTGAGCAAATATTAATTGTTGCAAAAGAATGTTTCAAATTTCAATTCAGCTAGGGTTTTTTTTAAAAAGATACTACACATATTATTGTTAATAATATTATTTTTGGTTGTTTTAGCTTAACTGGGTTGAGTAAAATACGATCTAACTTTCTGTGATACTTTTACTTTAATTTTTTTTTAATTTAAAAAATATTTATACAATTAAACTGCTGTATAACGAATCAAATCTTATAGATATCTTATAGATTTGATTCTTTATACTAGTTTTTAAACTTTATTGTCGTAAAGAAGTTTTTGTTGTACAAGAATTTTGTTGTATAAACATTCGTTATACAAGAGCTCCCCTGTAGTTAATCAAAGGCTTTAGACTACTAACAATCTAGCCTTATTTAGAAGCAATATTTTTTTTTCTAAAAAAAAATAAAGATGTGTTGTCATCAAAACAAAGGATGGATATATAAATTAGCAAATCATCCCTAAAAAACACCGCGAAATCCTAAACCGCTGATTGTCGTCGCTCGACAAAAAGTTGAACCACGTGGTGATAGTCAGGGGTGGGGGAGAATTAAAAATTTTTTTCACGGTTTGATTTTTATAAAAATTTAAAAAGTTTAGTCTACAAAACCTAAAACTTAAAAAAATATCTTATCTTTGACCTGAAAAGAGACTAGGCCAAGCTAGACTCAGTGTTCCATCTTGGTCTCTTTAAATTTTTATTCGGTTTTGCCCGGCCTAGGGCCGTGGTACAACGTTTAAGTCCTACCCGTTTTAATTTTTTTTTCAAGCCAGTACTTCGCCAAAAAAATCTAAGCCGGCTTGACCATGTTTCAACTTTAGCTCAAAGCCGGACTGGTCTAATTTGTGGCTGGACTGAGCCGAGACTACACAGTCCGTTTCTGAAATCCTCAGGCCCACATTTAGCGAACAAGCCAATTTCAAAGTTGCTTCACCCCAGCTTGTCCCAGTAGGTCCTCTTTCAATTCTACTCTCCTTTCTCTCTCTCTTGTTAGACTAACATTACCTGCTTGAACCTAAATTACAAGCCTTTAAAGAGCTTCAATTTAAATAAATATTGATGTTTGTCCTGAATAAAAAACATACGATATGATGTTTTCTCAAAAATTTGTAAAAAGCGGAATATTATGTTACTTTCATGCCTGATGGCATGTTTATATTTTGTTTTATATCTTCACACCCACCGTTTTTTACACTCAAATCCCCAGTGGAGTGAGTTTTTCGGGTTGAGAGTAAAAACCCCCGGAGGGGATACAACAAAAGCCCACAGATTTCGAAAAGATAAACATTGTTTTTATTTTACAATCTCTTCCCTTCATATGGCCGTTTTTTGAATACTGGCCGAGGGTGAATTGTCCAAATAATTGAGGTGACACTTTTTTGTTTTGGTGTTAAAATGGGCGGGGGGTAAGTGTTTTAAAACTTTTTTTTAAGAGGAATCTAAGGCCAGAGTTCTTTGCTGTGGCTTTAGGCTAAGGTCTATGGCCCTAAGCTAGTACTGTAGGCTAGGGGTCTGTGCTAGGGCTCTGGGTTAGGGCTCTGGTCTAGAGATTTGGGCTAGAGCTTTGGGCTAGGGTTAGAACAGCTGAAAAGGCTATTTTGTTTTAAAAATGGGTTAAACTGCGATTCGATTTGCTGTTTCGATCAGTTTCCGCTCCAAAACGAATAATGTGGACAAAGCGCTTTGTTATTGTAATATTAGTTAGAAACGTCGCAAAACGTCGCGCCCATATTTAGCTTCATAGCAAACTTTAGAACTTAACAGTCATTTGATAGCTGTTTCAAATGGCTGTTATCTTTCACGTACATTATTTGGAGAGGTGGGGGTGGGGAAGGAGTGGGAGAGAAATAGGGAATTCAGATTTGTTAGGTGTGTCTTGATATTACACAGTTTAGTTTATTACTATTATATGTCAACTTTAGCCTAGAGCCCTAGGCCACAGCGCTAGCCTAGAGCCCTAGCCCAGAGTCCTAGCCCAGACTAGCCCAGAGCCCTAGCGTTTACCTTAGCCTAGTCCAGTCTAACTTTACTCTGCTTTACTTTACACGCCGTGCCACTTTCAACCTAAAACAACTTCTTTTTTACTCAAATGCCAGATAATGGTGTCACGTAATTTGAGTAAAATTAATTCCAGCCCAAAATAACACGAATTTAGTCAATATTATTTATCTGTTGTCACATACAGGTTGTGGGACAGTTTATTTATTTAGCTTTCTATTAAAAAAGGGAGGAAGGAGTGGTTATAAATGCAAAACCCACATAACTACTTGTATATATTAGCTTTTTGCGATTGTTATTGTAGAGTTGAAGCAGTACTTTCTGGCGGGTTTAATAAACAACAAGAAGGTTTTGTTTGACGAATACCAGATATTTTTGTTTTATACGTATTTTTGTTGTTATAAGGGCAAAGAACGGGTATTTTTTTTTTACATTTTCAGAGACTTAATTTATTCAAATCGAAAGGGGTTTTCTAACCTTACTTTACTAGATTGCTAAAATTGCGTAGTGTAAGAAACGGAAAGATTTGGATAGAGAAGGTAACATCAAGAAGATAGAATATACATTGATAGGGTTAGATAGAGGTAGAGTATTAAATAAGTAGGGTAGGGTGAGTAACCTTTAAACGCTATTTTTTTAATTACGTGTTGTGGTTTTTATTTGAAGAAACGCTCATTATTCGTTTTATGACATTTTGAAAAAAACTTAAATATTTTTAAAAACGGTCGACTGTCTCCTGGGCCAGTAGATGGCCGGATCAATCCAGAATGTGCAAAATACCAGGCTTAAATAGTCGCCCGATCGGGACCCGTTCACGACTGATCGGCGCCGCGATAAGAATCGCATTTCCTGACCGACGCAAATTTCCGCGTCTTTGTTGCCTTTTGTGTTATGGCCAAAGCCACTAATTTATGCTTTCGTGGTTTGAACGTTTGGTTTATATTAAGATTGATGCTAGCGCATCACTCTTTATTCCTTAACAAAAACCGAAGGCTTTTTTCATAAGATCGGGCTATTCAGTTGCTATCTCGCATCCCTTTTTCTATATATTCATATAAACGTTTGAACATAAGGGTACTTCTGAGAGTCAGTATCATACCTTAAAACACTTCCTCCGGGCTAGGGTTTTATTTCAGTAATTGGGGCAAACCCCGGGATGTACTACAAGATCCGTTTTTGAAGTTGTCACCGGCCATAAAAGGAAGTTATGACCAATTCAAGCGATTATGGTTGTTTTCATTTATTACAGAACTGGTGGCTTCTGGGCCTTGGTATTGCTCAAAAAGCATTTCCTTCGTATCGAGAGTTCATGTTACTGGTTTAACAATATTCCTAATTGTGACATGGTGCTCCTTTTTCTGGATGTCACTGGCCATAAAAGGAAGTTATGACCAATTCACGCTGATATTGAGATATATTTTTTCTTTCGTTTTAGAAGTTGAAGATAATATAATGGACAGCATCAAGCTAACGGAGGAAGAGCGTCTTCAAAGGCAAAGTATTTGTGACGCCGCAGGCAGGAGAGCCACCAGCACGTTGTCAGTGAACGAGATGGAGCTGGAACGTCAGACATATGCGGCTAACCCCCGCAGCCCCCCTACAGAAAGTCCAGCAACAAACCGAGCTTCCGGAAGATTCCGTATCAAGATGCTATTTTTCGACTACCAGAAGGTGAGTTCTCCTATGTTTAGCTTTCAACTCCTTCCTGTATTTAGATGACACAGCCTTCTGCCAGCGGGCCGAGCAGTTTCTGAATTTGTTAAAGACATACAACACAACGCCAGTGATGGAATTAGACAAGCGTTTCGGAGTGGCCACCGAACTGGTGGAAACGATGTCAATGATGGCGGTAGGTCGCCAGTTGGTTGTCCATACCATTCGTCAGGAGGAGGACAGTGGCGTCCTGGGCGAGTATGTCCGTGGACAGGGCATGATCTTGGCGGATGCGCTGCTTAAGCTTAGTGTTGGTGTGCTTCTACATGTGCTCACTCACGAGTTAGGGCATGCGTTCCATCGTACCGTGCTTAAGTGCGGTTGGCAGCACTACGACAAGGCAGTTGCAGCCGAGCGTCGTCGAGCGGCACGGGAGAAGCGACCCTTCCGCTGTCCTGGCCATAACGAAACCTGGATGTGGTGCTGCGAGGAAGTGCAGTATAGGTTGGGTATCAATTTTTTTCCAATATTTGATGTTTTGTTGTGATCAGTGAAATAAAATTTGTAATATTGCAATCTTGCTTGATTTATTGCCATTTTTTATTATAAATATATTTTTATAAACAAGTAGAATTTGTAAACAGTTTACTGAGCAAAGTTGTATTAGCTTTTACAATAGTGAACCGTACCGAGACCGGAAATTAAAATAAATTTTAAAAATTTTGGCTACGGTTAGTTTTGATTCAAAAGTGAAGCAAGATCAGCTATTAGGTTGAGCTAAAAGTAGCGGGACACTTTTCGTTTAATTTTTAACTAAAAGGTGTCCCGTTATTTTTGGTTCAACCTAATATTATAGTATATATATCTACAAAACCTAACTTATTTTACTTCTTTTGTCGTATATTTACTAGGTTCTATATACTCTCTTTTTACAGTGATTTGTGGTTACGTTCCTTCCTTATAACGCTGTTAAGATTGCTTCATAATTTTTAAAATTTAAATTTGATTTTCAGGATGTCAAAACTGAACACAAGGACATTCTTTGGGATATGTTTTGTGCTAACAACAGTAATTGTGGTTTTGACAATGCATGTATTAGACACTTCGTATAATGACGTGCTTACACATACATTAACTCCACAGGTCAATCTTACTCCAGATGATAATTCTTGGTAAGTTATTTTTGCTTTGTAAAGAAAGTTCTTGCTAATTTTTGATTTGTAAAGAAAGTTCTTTTTATTTCTTGTTTTGTAAACAAAGTTCTTGCTATTTTTTGCTTATAAAGAAAATTCTTGCCAATTTTTGCTTTGTAAAGAAAGTTCTTGTCATTTGTTGTCTTGTAAAGAAAATTATTGCTATTTCAGGAATCTATTATTAGATTTTGACTGTCTGGACCAACTCAACAACAACAAACCTTGTGATTCCCCACTTAACATTGCTGTATTTTCGAATTTTGACAATTACCATGAACATATCAACGTCATCTTCAACATGTCACGCAACATATCTCACGACTTTACAACGTTTACACCGACAATAAGAGGGGAATTAGTTCATATCATAGTAAACTTCAAGTTATGGCATTTGCAACGAATTCGATTGACAAACAATGTCACGGTGATGTCTGCCGTGCCAAGCGATGACTTTATGATAAAATGGACAAAGTCACGGTACTTGGAATGTGGCAGTAGTGGAGTGACGAATAGGTCAAGGTGGGACAGTAAAAGGTATCTACCATTGAGTGTGGTCAAAGATGTTATGGCACCTTATAGGGAGTTTTGTGACAAAGTTAATAAGACGGCTTATTTAAGTGGTGGGTCTTTGTTGGGTAAGTACTTTTTTTGCTAGTTTCTTATAGTAAGTTCACTGTAGAAATAACATAAAATTTATTTTGTCTCTTTTATGTCCTACCTTAGCCTTATCGTTGGCTTACTCTTGCCTACTGAAACATGCCTTTGCTCTACTGTTACCTTTACCCTACTTTTAATCTTATCTTTTCTTATTCTTGTCTACCCTTGCCTTGTCTTACCTATGTTTTACCTTTATCCTGATCTTGTTTCACCATTGTGTTACCTTTCCCTTACTCTTACTTTACTCTTGCCCTATCCTTGCCCTATCCTTGACCTAACTTTGCTCTACCACTGCCATACTCTTCTCTTGCTTTTGCCTTACTCTTGCTCTACTTTTGTTCTATCCTTGCCATGCCTCTTCTCAATTCTTGCCTAACTTTTCTCTCTACTCTTGCACTATCTATGCACTACTTTTGCTCTTCTCTTGCCATACCTTTGTCATACGCTTAACCTACCCTTGCCTAACTGTTGCTTTACCTTTTTTTTGCTTTTGCATTATTTTACTCGCTTTATTTTTGCTTTAAGGCATTAACTTTAAATTAGTATTGCCTTATAATCTATGCCCTACTTTAGTCCTAACCTTGCCATGTCTTGTAATACCAATGCATTGGCAGATTTTTTGCTGTGACACTATAATATTATACAATCTTTTAGGCTGGTACCGTGAATGCTCAATAATTCCCCACACGACTGATATTGACTTTGGTATGCCAATATCAGACTATTCTCCAGAGTTTGTTCATCGACTAGACAAAGAATACGAAATGTATTGGACGTTGGGTAATGGAAAATCTTCAATGGAGCTTTCGTTTCATGTTGGCAATGTCAAAACTGATGTGTTCTTTATGTTTGATCGCAACAAAACTCACGGATATTACTCCGGAATGAAGATTCCGGAAACAAGAGAAGTACTGTGGATATATCCTAAAATCAAAGAAGTATGTGCTGGCAATTTACTGGGTCATTTGATGTATGTTCCTTGTAATGTTGAGGATATGCTCATTGTAAGTTTTTTATAGTATTTTATTAGTATTGTATTCTAAGGCTATGGTAAAGGCTGTGATTTTTAATACTATAGTAAGGGCTATGACTGAAAGTAAGACTAAAGTTGAATTAGTTTGGAGGTCAAGGCAAAGGCGGTGTTAGGAGAGGAAGAGGGATCAAGCAAAAGCCAGACAGATTATTGGGTGGGGTATGAGGTATTGTATTATAAGATAAAGTAAGGTTAAGAAAAGGTAGGGCTACAGTTTATTTACTTGAGGCAGGTTTATGTAAATTTGTAAAAGACCCGGTCTTTTTCAAATTGGCTTTGGCACGGCACAGCCCTTGAGCTCATTATTAGGTTTAGGTACAGATAATTGTTTAGGCAGGGTAAAAATACAAATAAAAGAAAGTAGGGTACCTAAAAATTTTAAAAAAAATTAAAATTTTTTTCAGGCAGACTACGGTCCAGAATGGATGGTGGATTCACCATCACGTAACTACGTCTTTGACAAGTCAGGAAGCAATATTGTCCCTGGTAAAAAGTTCTCGGCTTTTGAATGGAAACGAGTTTATCGACCGATGAGGGGTTTTAAACGCCATTAGGATTCTTCATATCTAAATATAATATTAGGACCACTATAATGCTAACTTAAATATTGATTTTCAAAAAGTCTTGTCGCATTTAAACAAACTTTTGAAGGCTTGTAAGCGACAAGACTTTTTGGACATTAATACCACTAATAGGATCAATAATATGATAGCACTAATAGTAATAATGATATCATTTTGTTGTAGATTTCTACGTTTTTTTTCATATTTATGTTTCAGGTCTTTAATTTATTATTTTATCATAAAGTGGCTTGTTTCAATTTTAAAGATGAGATCTTAAAGTACTCTGCTAAGTCTTCTTTATCAATACAGGTTGTGATACATATCTGCTACACATAATTCTTGCCTCTGATCTCAAATATAAAATAATGGTGCATGTTTTTAAAAGTATTAAATTAATAATATAAAAATAAACGTTATTAAATTTTATTTGGCAGATTATTTTCATTTGGAAACTTAATAAAATTTTAATTAAAAAAACTTGCAAGAAAGTGCCCGACCTGCCCGCTCTGATTTACTTCCAACTTTTTATATAGACAGATCAAGTAAATATAAGATCTTCAGCAAAGTACTAATAAATTGCGCTTTTCAGGGAATCCGGAAAAAATCGAGATCAAAATATTACGTTTTAAATTACCCGCCAAATTGGCATTGTTTCAATCTTATAATTTGCCGTTTTTTGAGTTTTAAACATATTTCTTTGATATACTAGTAGATTGATATACTAGTAAAAAACGTATAAAAAGCCTGCACTTTAAGATTTTTAAACGTAGCTTGTCTGAAAATTCAAAACAAGCACTTGAAACACAATGCCAAATTGCCTGAAAATTCAAATATTTAAATTTTAAAACTTAAAAACGCAAGGGAAAATTTTTTATGGGTACTATTGGCAGTACAAAGAGCTTATATAAAAATTTTGAGTGAGGTTGAGTATTTTATTTTCCTTGTAATTTCAGCTTTTTATTCCTACCCTCCTCACCTTCAAACTAATTAATTTTCTTTTAAGTTTTTCAAACAATAAGATTTTTTAACTTGACCAAGACTAGACATGGTAAAATGGCCTGACATAAGCAAAATTAAAGTTGGACTGGGCCTAGAAAAAACTTTAGATTGTTCAAATAATTCTGTGCTTCCTCTCAAAGCAAATTTTTATAGTTAGGGGGCACTGCATTAATTGAACGGTTTAATAAGGAAAATAAAATTTTTGTAAATTTTACATTGATAAAAAGCTTTTTGCGACCGATTTTTGCATGTGTTTTTTCATTTTGCATAAAAATTCGATAGCTGAAGTTGTAAATTTTAAAAGTTCCGACTTATGCAAATTTCAAATTTGGTTCTTTAAAGAAAAACATTTTTTATTTTTTTTAAATTTTTATTTGTTCAAAAAACAGTTTATTATATTTTTTTTAAATTTCAAGGTTAGTCGTTTTTCATTTTTTAAGTTTTTTTTTCACAATATTATCAGCTTTTTTAATTTTTTTGGGAGAAGCCAAGTAAATTGTACAGTGTATAACATCTTATCATAAAGTTTTTTTAAATTTAAATTTTTTTTAACTTTCAGAATGGCAAAGGTGACGCTGACATTATTGTTAGAATTGTTGGTTTTGTTGGTTTTTGTGCTTTTTCTAAGGATAAGCTTAGACAATATGTGCACTGATACTCGTGTCCCAATTATTCAACAAGAACAAGTACCAGATGAAACTTCTTGGTAATTTATTGTTTTGTATCTAAAAATTAGAATTTTTGCTATTTTAACTTTGTAAAGAAAGTTTTTGTCGTTTTAGGCTTGTAAAGAAAGTTTTTGCCATTTTTTTATCTGTAAAGAAAGTTCTTGCTAATTTTTTGATCTGTAAAGTAAGTTCTTGCCATTTTTTTATCTGTAAAGAAAGTTCTTGCCATTTTTTGATCTGTACAGAAAGTTCTTGCTATTTTTTAATTTGTAAAGAAAGTTTTTGCTATTTTCCGTCTTGTAAAGAAAGTTCTTACCATTTTTTGATCTGTAAAGGAAGTTTTTGCCATTTCAGGAACCTACTGTTAGACTTTGACTGTCTGGACCGACTCAACAACAACAAACCGTGTGATTCTCCACTTAATATTGCTGTATTTTCGAATTTCGACAATTACCATGAACATATCAACGTCATCTTCAACATGTCACGCAACACATCACACGACTTTACAACGTTTACACCGACAGTAACAAATGAATTGGTTCATATTGTAGTAAACTTCAAGTTATGGCATTTGCAACGAATTCGATTGACAAATAACGTCACGGTGATGTCTGCCCTTCCGAACGATGACTTTATGCTGAAGTGGACAAAGTCACGGTACTTGGAATGTGGGGGTAGTGGAGTTAAAGACAGGTTAGCGCGGGACAGTAAGAGGATTCTACCATTGAGTGTTGTCAAAGATGTTATGGCACCGTATAGAGAGTTTTGTGGCAAATTGAATAAGACGGTTTATCTAACTGGTGGAACTTTGTTGGGTAAGTGCTGTTTTTTAAATACATTTAGTTTGTTTTACACCATATTTAGCTCTTACTCTTGCCCTTGATCTTGCTCTTGCGCAAGCTCTACCTCTAGTTCTGATCTTGCTCTTGCGCAAGCTCTACCTCTAGTTCTGATCTTGCTCTTGCGCAAGCTCTACCTCTAGTTAGCCATAGTCCTAGCCCTAACACTAGCTGCTGCCCTTTGTTGTCTTACTTTTATCTTACCTTTGCTCTAGCTTTATCCTTGCTTTGTTTTATCTCATTTTTTTATTACTTTAGACCTCTTTATGTCTTTATACATTACTTTTTCTACACCATTGCCTTATCTTTTCTCAACCCTTCACCTGTTCTTACCTACCTCATTCTCTACTGTAGCTCTACTCTCGGTTCACCTAAATTAATTTTTTACCTTAAGCTTATAATATAATTTTCTAGGCTGGTACCGTGAATGCTCAATAATCCCCCACACGACTGATATTGACTTTGGAATGCCAATTGCAGACTATTCTCCAGAGTTTATTGATCAACTTGACAAGGAATACGAAATGTATTGGACGTTGGGTAATGGAAAATCTTCAATGGAGCTTTCGTTTCATGTTGGCAATGTCAAAACTGATGTGTTCTTTATGTTTGGTCGCAACAAGACTCATGGATATTACTCTGGAATGAAGATTCCTAGAAAAAGAGAATTAATGTGGATCTACCCGAAAGTAAAAGAAGTTTGTGCTGGGAATTTGCTGGGACATTTGATGTATGTTCCCTGTAATGTTGAGGATATGCTCATTGTAAGTTTGTTATCGTATTTTCTTTGTATCGTATTTTAAGACTACGGTAGTGGCTATGACAGAGAGTATAACTAGGGTTGAGTAAGGCTAAAGGTCAAAGCAGGGGCTATGTTGGGAAAAGGGGTAGGGCAATACGAAGGATACAGTAATGGAAAGTAAGGAAAAGACTAAGCTTTCAAATAAGATAGGGTCTACAAAACGATTTCTAAGGTTCTAAGGGCTAGAAAGTGGCAAAAGTAGATATTATAGTAGGTTGACTAAGGATTAGATTGGTAATCAGGCAAAAGTAAGGTAAATTGAAACATGGGGTAGGAGTTATAGTAAGACAGAACTGAGTTAAGACGAAACTAGGACTACAGTTGAGCTAAAGCAGTTACAGGTGGCTTTGTAAAAGGGCTATGCCTTAATTTGGATCTGGGTTTTGGGACCACTCGTGTCGGCTTGGCTTTTTTCTATATTTGCTTTATTTCGGCCTGGTTTTTTTATACCTAAGACTTTAGCTGGGCTCTCTTCCCTCTGGCCATATGTGTTGACTCGGCTTTTTTTAACTTTGCTTTGGTTTGGTACAGCCTGTAGGCTTCTTTCAGTTCTATGTACATTTTAACGTTTAAGCAGAGGTTGAGTTGAAAGGGCGGATCTTAAGGGATAATAAGTAGTTAGCAAGGGATAAGATATGAAAAGATACCTGACGAATTATGTAAAGATAAAATGCTTTTCAGGCAGACTACGGTCCAGAATGGATGTTGGATTTTCCAACACGTAAATACGTCTATGACAGATCGGGAAGTAATATTATCCCTGGTAAAAGGTTCTCGGCTTCTGAGTGGAAAAAAGTTTATCGACCAATGAGAGGCTTCAAACGCCATTAGGATGTTTAATATCTAAATGTAATATTAGGACCAATATAATGCTAAATATTGATTTTCAAAAAGTCTTGTCGCATTTAAACAAGTTTTTGCAGACTAATAAGCGACAAGACTTTTTGGACTTTAATAGCACTAATAGGAACAGTAATCTGATAGTAACAACATTATTGTAATATTAACAGCTTTGTTTGTGTTAAAGGTAAAGTACAAATAGGTTAAGGTAGGATGGAACTAAGCTTGTTATGTAGTTGGTATTATTACGATTGTTCTTTGTTGAATGTTAGAGGTTGCTCTGCACTTGCATTAACGGCCATGGGTACTCTGGATGTCCAATGCCACTGAAAAGAGCGTTTATTAATGAAGTATATTTATAGTTTTTTCAATTTATATACAGGTATTTCTTTTGTAAATACTATGGGAAGGTTCGCTAGAGTAATGTTTTAAAAGGTAGGACTAAAGCAAGCTTACCGTAGGGCACGGTTAAGGTAGAACTAAATTATTAATACAGCGAGAGTTAACGTAGGGCTAGAGTCTTCCCTATTTTTTTCATTACGGTAGGATAAGAAACCTTATTGTAACATTAGTCGAGTTATGGCTATTGTTAATCTGTAACATTATTTTAGTCTTCTTTGACTTATTTTGGCTTTAACATTACTGTATCTTACTTTACTTTAACCTACTCTATCTTACCGTATACTCACTCATCTTGCCCTACCCTGCCCTATTGTACTTTTCTTTACTCTGCTCTACTATCCTACCGTTCAGTACCTTAACATCACATCCTACTCTAACCTATTGTACCCTACTGTTCGTAACATGCCTTACAGACTTGCCCCACCCTATTCTATCTTGATGTTCCATACCCTATATTAACGTGTATGTAGCTCTCTTCTCAAGCTATCGAAGCTTAAAACGTAAAGCAGTTATAAAATATGCCTATGTATGATAGTATAAATTCAGATGATGTAATATTACTGTAACATAAAAGTAAACTTACTCTTCAAACCGATAAAACTTGATCCGATCCTTGATCTTATCCAGCTTCTTAACATCTCCAGGGCTCAATTCAAAGTCGATCCCATTGATATTCTCCTTGATTCTAGTAGGGTTTTGACTTTTGGGAATAATACAGTAACCCAGCTCAATCTGATGTATTAATAATATTTGGGCAGCGGTTTTTCTATATTTTTCGGCTAGCTTTCTCACAACATCAACATCCATCAACTTGATTTCCGGCTGAACCTGAGAACCCAAGTTACCGTATGTTGTTACAGTAAGCCCTAAACATTTGGCATAGTCGATGATTTCTCGGTTTGGCCAAAATATATGCGATTCAACTTGAAGACAGTGAGGTTTTACTGTAGCTTCATTCCAAATATATTGTAGTTGAGACTTGTTAAAATTGGCAATACCAATAGCACGAAATACCCCTGTCTTATAGTACTTCTCTAGTACACGCCAAGTGTCGATTATAGGGGTGGTGTCGTGAATTGGCTTTTTGTTTTTGAGTTGAGGTTGGCCGGCTTTGTCACACTGAAAAGAGATTTGTTGATAAGTTCTAAAAACTGCTTTATGTATTAATTTTGTATTAATAGTAATATATATAAAGTTGTGGGACGGTAAAGTAAGTACAGTATCTGCAAAGCAAAGCATAGTAACACTACAAGGAAAAAGGTGGAGGAGAGGGCTTGGTAGGGTGTGGTAGGACAGGGCATCATAGGGCATGGTAAGGTAAAGTAAGGTAGGACAAGGTGGCAAAGTAGAGTGAGAGGTAGGGTAGGGTAAAGTAGGGTAGGGTAGGGTAGGGTAGGGTAGGGTAGGGTAGGGTAGGGTAGGGTAGGGTAGGGTAGGGTAGGGTAGGGTAGGGTAGGGTAGGGTAGGGTAGGGTAGGGTAGGGTAGGGTAGGGTAGAGTAGGGTAGGGTAGGGTAGAGTAGGGTAGGGCATTTATTTATTACAATATCATAAGTATTATAAAATATTTTACCTTAAAACTAAATGGTAGATGAATCATGTACATGTCCAAGTAAGCTGTTTTCAATTTCTTCAAACTTTCTTTTATCATTTTCTCTGTCCATTCAGGTGTCATATGGTAATACAGTAGCTTTGAGGTAATAAAAACTTCACTTCGTCTCAATTTTTTTGTCGCAAAGTAATCATCCAAGACCTCCCCAAGTTGTTCTTCATTGTCATACATTGTAGCCGTGTCTATCAGCCTGTAGCCATTGTCTAACGCGGTAAAAACTGCATTTTTTACTACACTTTTGTCTGTTAGCTAAAAATGTATATTATGGTACATATAACAACCATGTAGGCAGTGGTAGGGTTAGAGATTTTAAGCTGGAAGGGGGTGGGCTGATAAAAATTTTTATTAAAATTGGAATAGAGCAGAAGTTAAGATAACTTACCATAAAAGTGCCCAAACCGACTTTTGGCTGCTTTACTCCGTTTGACAACTTAACATATGGAATTGAGGACATTATGTTATTTTCTAAATTATCATAAACTGTGTCGTATTTTACAAAACAATAACAAATCTTCAAAAAAAAGTTCAATAATTTGTAATCTTACGTTGTTCAAATAATTCTGAGCCCAATAAAACCGACAATTTGCTTTGAGAGAAGACGCAGAATTATTTGAACATTCTGATAAAAAACTAAAAATTATGCAAATAATTCTGTGCCTTTAAATTACAAAAATTTGTTTTAATATGGGGCGCAAAATTAATTGAACAACCTATATAATAATAAAACAAAAATTTTAAAAATATTTTACTGAATAATTAAAAATTGACTTTAAAATTAAAAAAACCGACTAAAAAATAAAAAATAAGATGTCACTTACTGTCTGCACAACAAAACATTACTTTTTAAATGCACTTTTCAAAGGAGAAAAGTCAAACATGTTCAACAAGTTACAATAAAAATATAAAAAAGTTTTCAGGTGACGAACTACAGGTACATAATTAGCATAATTTCAAACTTTTTCTTGTGTTTTTTCGTTGTTTTCAGGATTATTTTATGAGTTATTATCTGAAAAGTACGAAATAATAAATGAGTGTGAGCATAGCAACAACAAACTGTCTTCATAAACATATATTTATAATATACCTTACAAAGAAAGTGCTCAACCTGCTCCGCTCTGATTAACTTGAAACTTTTTATATTACAAAGATTATAAGATGCGTAAAAAGTTCTGTTACACAGATTTTTAATCAAATATTTATTTTAACAACAAATATAACTAAAACAACAACTAACAATAGTAACATGTAGTACTATAATAGTTATAACCTAGTCAATCGGTTTCGAAGTGTCCACCCTTTGCGGCCATAAAGTTTAAATTTACAAGAAAAAGTGCACTGCCTCGCTCTGATTGACTTTAAACTTTTTATATAGAAAGATTATTTAAATATAACTCCTTCAGCAAAGTACTAAATTGCGCTTCCCAGGAAATCTCGTGAAAATCGAGATCAAAAATTACGTTTTGAGTTGCCCGCCCAATTGGCATTGTGTTTCAAGTTTATAACGTTGCCATTTTTTGAATTTTAATAATTTTTCTTTGATATACTAGTAGAATACCTTAAAATGAACCTATATTTTATAATTTTTAAGCGTAGCTTGTTTGGCAAGTCAAAAAAAGTGTTTGAAACACAATGTCAATTTTGCCATATTTTCGGGAATTCAAAATAATTTAAATTTAAAACTCAAAAGCGCAAATTAAAATTTTGTATAGGTATTATTGGTGATACAAAGAATTTGTATAAAAATTTTGAGCTGGATCTGGGTGGAGCAGGTTGGGCACTTTCTTTGTTAATACTTTTAAATTCAATATAACAAAACATTAGGCCTTTATCTTTGAGTTGTTAACCAGGCACTTTATGATAAAGAATAGATTACAGGAAAAACTAAAGCTGGATATATATAAGCAAGAAGGGAGAGGGGGGCACTTCAAAACCGCTTGACTATGTTATAACTAGTACTATATGTTACTATTGTTAGTTGTTGTTTTAAGTACATTCATTGTTTTAATAAATATATGACTAAAATAATGAGACCGGGGACTTTTAGCGCACCCTGTATAGACCTGGAACGTAAACCGTAAATCAGAGCGGGGCATGTCGGGCACTAATCTGGCATTTTCTTCTTTAAATTTTATGACTTTTTATGAGTGCTAACTTCGATTTTTTTATTTATACGTTACTCAATATTTTTTACGTTACCCGTAATATACCTCAAATCATTTTTTCTTCATAACTCAACTTTTTTTTACCTTTTGCGGTCAAATTCCAACAGTAATAGATCATTGTCATGCCTCCTCATGACTCAGGTCATCGACAAAAAAGACTTTTGTTCGAGAATTCGCGCACATTAAAGAAGTTGGAAATTCGAAAAGATCCGAACGAAACCAATCTTCCACCCTGCCCTTGGGAAGCCACAAGCAGCGGCTTCGGTAATGGTTTTGGCGGTCAGCCGAGTAAACTTTTTCTGATCTAATGTTCGAAGATGGGGGTGGGTAATGGGGAGGTATTATATGGGATTTGGAGGGTTTTAGTAATTTTTAATTTAAAAAAGTTTTTTTTTTAAATTTGTTAAAAAAGTTTTATCATGAGCAGTTGCACAGTTTGATCTACAGCAAGGTTAGGGTAGAGCTAGCGTGGCTTCTGGCGGAAAGCTAGGGTAAGTCTTTTTAGAATAGGGCTTTGTAAAATACTAGGTAGTAGTAGATAGAGCTGAATTGAGCTAAAGAAAGGCTACGCTGAGTGAGGAAAGAGTTGGCATAGAGTTGGGTAGGGTAAGATAAAGCAGGTGAAGGAAAGGCAAGATAAAAAAAGGTAAATTAAGTTAAGGTAGGGTAGAGTAGAATAGGGTAGGGTAAAATATAGAAGGGCATGATAGGGAAAAGTAGGGTAGGGTAGGGTTAGACACGGTAGGGCAAGATAAAGCAGAGTAGGGTAGGGAAGGGTAGGGTAGGGTAGGGTAGGATAGGGTAGGGTAGGGTAGGGTAGGGTAGGGTAGGGTAGGGTAGGGTAGGGTAGGGTAGGGTAGGGTAGGCTAGGGTAGGGTAGGGTAGGGTAGGCTAGGGTAGGGTAGAGTAGGGTAGGGAAGGGTAGGGTAGGGTAGGGTAGGGTAGGATAGGGTAGGGTAGGGTAGGGTAGGGTAGGGTAGGGTAGGGTAGGGTAGGGTAGGCTAGGGTAGGGTAGGGTAGGGTAGGGTAGGGTAGGGTAGGGTAGGGTAAGGTAAGGTAGGGTAGGGTAGGGTAGGGTAGGGTAGGGTAGGGTAGGGTAGGGTAGGGTAGGGTAGGGTAGGGTAGGGTAGGGTAGGGTAGGGTAGGGTAGGGTAGGGTAGGGTAGGGTAGGGTAGGGTAGGGTAGGGTAGGGTAGGGTAGGGTAGGGTAGGGTAGGGTAGGGTAGGGTAGGGTATCAAATTTGAATTTAGTAACCCTATAATTAAGATGTTTAATTAAAAAGTAAAAACACTAATTAGGGTGGGGGTATTCGATCAAAAATTCATTAAATGCCGAGCGGGAAACGACGTGAGCTTATGTTAAGATGATGGGTTCGATAGGTAAACAGTTTTTATTTTCAAGATGAATCGCTTTTTGTGCTACAGTTTTTATAAGCTTTACGCATTTTAATTATACCGACAGGGTTAGGCGTACGTTTTTTTTGGAGGGGGGGGGGTCTGAAAAATTTTAAAATTTTAATTTTATAAAAAATTTTTATCATCTAAATTTTTATTTTTAGAATTTTACAACATTTTTACCATTTTTAAGGATTTTTAAACATTCATAGAATAAAAGTGTAACTAAATTCTTTGAAAACTAATCTTACAGGTATAATGTAAAATACGAACAAACTTTTCACTGACCAGACTTAATGTACAAGCTAAGCCCGGACGTAGAAAGGCTAGAACCGCCATCGAAAGTATCATTGAAGCCAGTGTCTCGGCATTCTGTCAAACTTTGTTTTACCCCTCCGATTGGCGTGGCTGCTGGCGTTATTAAGCGGTACAGAGGTAAATAAATTAGAACATCCTTTCAAAACCTAAACTTTTAAAATTTTAATATTTATGTACGTATATTACACCTTAATTTTTGAAAATTATAAAAAATAGTTAAAAAATTTTAGTTGAATGGAGCCACAGTAGTCGTTTCACTCCAGTACTGGGTGAGCACGAATGTTCTTCTTCTGCCAAAGAAATAATTGTTAGAGATCTTCAACCTCATACTGAATACTACTTTCGTATTGCTTCTGGGACGGCTATTCGTTTTGGGCCAAACAAGATTGTCAATGACGAGAAGTTTGTCATCAAAGGTAGGTTTTTTACATTTACCGTTTAATAATAGTTTTTAAAAGTATTTTTAAAATAGACAACAAAAGGCAGTTAACTTCTGACTGAAGAAGTGGGTTAAAAATATCAGCCAAATTGGCTATGGTTTGAATAAAAATATGCATTTCTAGCAATTTTAGCAACTTTGTTACAGTATGTTTGTGTAATAATAATGTTGTGATAAAATGTTTTAGCGTGGAACGATGAAAACACTTACACTTCAGTTCTTCGAAGAGCTGAAAACCTACTAGAACAACACAGCATTTTGATAACTGAACACATCAACAAAATTCTATGTTATTGTAAGTAAGAATTTGATATTTGTTTATTGTAAAATACGTCATATGTAGACATTCAACACAATTTTTATTTTTTTTTGGAAAACTTTTATTTAACTTGGGCGCTGTTCACAAAAAAAACGTCGTAAAGCATTTATAATGCTTTTAAGATCTAAAATATTTTTAAAATTTTTAAAGTTTATTTTTAGTACCGAATCCAAATGTATCAAATGAAAAATCAAAATGGAGTGCAGTGTCCAAATTTGCATATGAATTGTCAAAGAAAATCAGTGGACAGAAGTTGAACAAGTGAGTAAATTTTATCAATACACACTTTAGCTCTAGTCTCGTTGTTAGGGGTGAGAAACGGGCCGTCTAGGCCCGGCCTTGAGCTAAATTGAAAAGGGCCGGGCTTGAAAGTTAGGCCCGGGCTCAAAAAAATTTTTTAAATTTTTTATTTTTATTCCTGTTGGTGTTTTTCGATTTTGTTGGGTACTATGATATTTTTAAAATTTTTTAAAACAAGCCGGGCCGGGCTAGGTCTAGAAATTTTCTGACCTGGCCAGGCTGGCCTAAGAAACAAAATAAAAACGGGCCGGACCTAAGCGTTGGGCCCGGGCTTGAGCGAGGCCTAAAAAGTAGGTCGGGTTTGGCCTTTTTCTCAACCCTGCTTGTTGTGCCCTAGTTCTGCTCAATACCTAGTTCATTTCTACTCTCACTTTATCTTAAACTTTCTCTAGCCATACTCTAGCCTCACCTTAGTAAATACAAAAATCTTACTGTTATCAAATTCAGAGGTCTTCACATAATCCCAATAGTAATGAATGGCCACAAGATTTTACTAAACAACGACCGAGTGCCACCAATCTACACCATTGAAGACAATGATATTATTATCTCAATTGATGAATTCAACGAATTGCTAAGGTGGCTAGTAATGTTACCGCAACAAAGTCGGTCAATAAATGCTTGTCATTTGCTGCAGAAGAAGTTGACTAAAAACCAATTGAATAGGTTTAAACAGAAGACTTTGGCTACGGTAGCTACCTTTTTAGACGAGTTTGGTCTACAACATGTCGATTATTTTCACTATAATTACTTTGAGGTAGGAGTGTTTTACAGTGCAGTAATTTTACTACAAAGCGTAAGTAGAAGGCTTTTCTTTTAAGTTGGAAAAAGGGTGGAATGGGCTAGTCATAGTTTGAGTCTTAGTTCTAACGTTGGCCTTAGCCCTGGCTTCAGCCGTAGCCCTAGCGCAGCAGGTATTCGTCTTATCACTAAGCATCTACAACAATATAATTTCAGTTTCCCGACCACTCAAACGCCAAGTTCTTCATGTGTATATGCTCGGAATATCATGCTGAAGTACCATGGGGTATGACTCTAAAACCATACCCGACTATACTACACGATTTTAAGGATATCAACAGTTTAGAAGCTGAAATCTGCAAGAAAGTAATGGAAGTTGTTAGAGACAAACAGAAATGTGAAAGAATGATCAAACCTGGTTTATACGTGGCGTTGTTGCAGGTAAATACTAATTTTTACAATTAATTTGAAATTTTGTGTAATTTACAAATTTTAGACGAAATGTCAAAAATATGGTTATTGATTTTTGAAAATTTTTGTATTGCCAAAGTAAGCTTAAAAAATGTTTTCCTAATTTAATATTTACAGGTTTTTAAACAATTTTTTAAAATTTTTGGGTTTTTAAGTTTTAAACGAAATGTCACAAAAATTATTGATTTTTTGAGACGTGATAATTTTATTTTTCACGGTTTTTAAAAATGCAAAAACTGATACTTTTTACTTGTTTTTTAAAATTTTGTATTTCTGTTGGTATTTTATATTTTGACGAAATGTCAAAAATGCAAATTATTGATTTTTCAAGCCTTAACTTAATTTTTTGCAAAAAAATCTAACTTGATGATAAAAAAGTATTGTAAACGATTGTTTACTTTATTTTTTACATTTTTTTCGTTACTATTATCTTTTCAGTTCGTATCCAGTCGACGTCAAATGTACATACTGTCATCTGACCGTAACCCTTCATTGCTACCTCACTTTTACGTCAGAGAAAACAATTTTTTGACAAAACGAGAATGGGATCTGTTAAAGCTTGACAAATCTGAAATTACCATTCTTCCAACTCAAGACGAAATCAAGTTCGCGGAACGCTTCAATGAATCTGTCAACGCATTATTCAGAGCTGTCGGGTTGGAGTTTGATGTTGGCTCATATCGACTTTGGAACGAACATGTTTTTGAGCATAACAATGTGACTATGATCGTGGTAGAGATTTTTAAATTTCAAAAAGTAGCCCAGAGCCCTAGTCCAGAGCCTTAGCCCAGAATCCTAGCCCAGAGCCTTAGACCAGAGCCCTAGCCCAGAACCCTAGCCCAGAGCCCTAGCTCAGAGCCGTAGCCCAGAGCCGTAGTCTAGAGCCCTAGACCAAGGCTCTACCTTAGAATCCTAGCCCAGAGTCTTAGTCTACAGTCTTAGCGAAGAGCCTTTGCTCAGAGCCCTAGCCCAGATCCCTAACTCAAAGTCTTATCCCAGAGCCCTAGCTCAGACGCCTAGCCCAGAACCCTAGACCAGAGCCCTAACTCAAAGTCTTATCCCAGAGCCCTAGCCCAGAGCCCTAGCCCAGAGCCCTAACTCAAAGTCTCATCCCAGAGCCCTAGTCCAGCCCTGAGCTTTAGCCCAGAGCCCTAGCCCATAGTCCTAGCTCAGAGCCCAAGCCCAGAGCTCTAGCCCAGATCCTTAGCTCAAAGTTCTAGCTCAGACTCCTTGCCTAGAGCCCACGCATTAGTTTTAGTCTTAGCCATATCCCTAGCCCTAGTCGAGAGCCTTTTTCCTATCTGAAGCTCAGAGTTGAGAGCCTAGAACCTTACTTTTAGCCATAATCCTAGTCTTAACTTTGTATCACTGTTTTACCTCATTCTATTATATTTTACCATACCCTCTACTACCTATAATATTTTTCTCAATACCTAACTTATTACTACATGTATTGTATCTTAGATAGTACCAAAGCCAGAAAACCTATGTCTATTTGCTCCGGATCTCAACGGCCAAGAATTCAAACGTCAATTGGGTAAACGATTTATGATGCCAATCATATCATTTCATCTAGAATATCTACGCCAAACCTTTCCTGAACTTGTTAAAGGCTTCACTAAAATAAAAACATACAACGACTTACTTGAGCAGGTAACATATTTATTTTTAAATTGGTCTTTACGGCGTATATTATCATAAAAACTTTTTGAAAACTGATTTTTTGAAATTTTTAAATTTTTCTTTAACTTTTACTATGTAAAATACAACAATTACATCAAAAAATTATTACTTATAATGTGGTGTGTTTAGATACTACCTTTATGTTCAACAAAAACAGAGAAGAAGCTTGAAATAAACCGAGGAAAGGTGTTACAAGAACATAAGGCCTTGAATGAAGAGTTTTCAAATATATGGCAATTGATTTGTTGGCCCAATATGGCCATAAAACAATCACGAGATAAGAACAACAACTTTGGAGTTCAACTTGATGTCATCTTCAGGCATTTTGTGAGTTTTCAAATTTTTTTTAAGTTTACCCCTCTCTATACAAATATATTTTCAAATGTTTTCTTCTTCCCCCCCCCCCACGCTGTATAAAAATTTATTTTATGATTTACCCCCCCCTTCTCTGAATAAAAATTTACGTTTTTCTACAAGCGTTAACAGTACCTGCCCAAGACTGATAAATAACATTACAGAACTCAGCCAAAGCCATGGTACTATCAAGTGTAAGGTTCGGTCAAGATGGTCGCACCATAAAAGTTAAAGTAGATGACAAAAGCTTATCACATCTCGGTTTAGAACCCTATGCCATATTGGAAATCAATGACAAAACGTGTGTTGATGAAGTGGTTTCTCTCGTCATTAACAATATTTTTAAGGTATGTTCGACGTAAAGCAGGGTAGAGTAAAGTCAAAGTAAGTATGGTAAGGCAGGGTAGAGTGGAACAAAGCCAAGTAGTGTAACATAAGATAAGGCTTTAACAAAGGTAAGGTAGCGTAGAGTGAAGTAGGGTCTAGTAGGATAAGATAGAGTAGGGTAGGTACTAAACTTTACTGTATTTTATTGTACTGTAATGTACTAGCTTTACACTATACTATACTACAATTTCTGTAGGACAACTACATAATGTCCCCGTCAACATACGACCTTGTTGTACTAGATGGAGTACGAGAACGGCGATTCCGTCCAGAATTCGTACTTGGTGATCTACGTGAACCCTGGACTCATGGTCAATTTGTAATACGACCACGGGAATTTACAACGTACTCAAGCTCGAATAGTACTGACTCCATGAAATCGAACAAACGATGGAAGGTGTTACCTTGTTAGGTTATGACTACAAGTTGTTTCTACAACAAGTTAAATTGTTTATTGTCGATGTAAATACATTAAGTTATAATAATATTATTATTACATTGTAATTTGTTAGTTAAGGTTTGATGAGATATTTGGAAGGTGGGACAAGTTGGTACACTTAAAATTAAAAAAAAAACAATTTGGTACGATTTTCATTCAAAAAAAATCAGTTTGGTACACTTAGTTATAAAAAATTCATTTGGTACACTTAAAAATGAAACAGAGGTCAAGTTGCTAAGTTCGAAACTCAAAATTTAAAAAACTATAAAATACGAAATTTAAAAAATCAATTTCTAATCATCCGAGCTTGAGCTCTCCTCACTGCCAATCTTAACATGCTCAATCGAGTACAATGAGCTAGAATCCTCACTCTTCGGCGACACCTGTAGCTTCAAGTCATCGTCAAACACGACTCCATTTTCTCTCAAAATCTTCTTAATATCACCGACTGGCATAGGCTCAGGTTTGCCGACCAGTCGAGTTTTGCAGATTTTTTGATTGTAGAACACTACTGAATGACCTCGGCTTCTGAGGTATCGTGCCAGATTCTTGGCCTTCTTAATGTCTTCGAACTGAACGGCTGGTTCTAATGGGTAAACTGAGATTTTCGAGCGGATCCAAAACTTTTGTTGAACGTAGAATTGATGGAAGACGTTTCGTTGGAAAGGCGTGGCAAATCGGACAATTACGTATCTTTTTCTAGAATGATAAGGTAATAAAAGATTAATTTACGAATTTTTTAAAAAACATAAAAAAATTATCCACCCCTTAAAAATTAAATTTATTTACCGCACCTTACTGTAAATTATAATATATTGCCCTACCCAAACTAACTCTACTCTAGCTTAACATACCTTACAGCACTCTATCCTACCGTACTCTCTTTGACCCTATCCTACCTTGCCCTATTCTGCCCTACCCCACGCGAGCGTACTTTACCCAAACCAATAGTAAAAATTTTCATTTTAAAACTAAAATTAAAAAAAATTGAAAAAATTAATATAAATAATGCCATTGCTTACCGATCCTCCTTAAACTCTCCCATTCGCCAGCATTGGAACGTAAAATCAAATTTGTTGTTGACCATCGTAGTCATATTGCCAATAGCAGCATTCAGAAGGCTCATCGCTTCTTTCGAGTTTGGACCATATTCAGGAATTCCTCTGACAATTACAGAACAAGCATTCATATACTCTTCGGCTGATAAGATAGGCTTCGACAATCGTTCGAGAAAACTGAGATCTTTGAAGAGTTGAGGATTAGGAATTGAAGCTGATGGACCTTCAGAAGACTCATTTTGTTCTCCTTTTTGGGACGAGAAGAAGCCGAATGGTCGAAGCATGATTTAGGTAACCTGAAAGGTTATATTTTCATAAAAAATATATTACAAATTGCAAAAAAAGTTTTTAAATTTCAAAAATCATATAATAAGAGTATCAATCACAAGAATAATGTTAAAACTTGGCCTGCTTTTTTGCTCTACTATGACCAATATTGCAGTAAACTTTCGTACTTTACTAGATCATGCCTACTTTACCTTACCCTACCCTACCCTACCCTACCTTACTCAACTCTTTTTTACCCTAACCTACAACCTAAACTAACCATATCCTATAACCTACCTATAAAACTGCCTGATACAATACCTTCGTTACCTTACCCAAGTCTAATTAGCAATCAGACTTTCTATCACTGTTGGCCTTTGTTCAACAATTTAATATGCCCTCCCCTACCTTAATCTAAAATACCCTACCTTTCTCAATCAATTTGTTTCAAATTTTACCTCCAAAAATAAAAAAAATCGCGTTTTTCTATTCGAAAATGACCACAAAAGCCTGGTCATACGTTATAAGCGCTATTCGTAAACAATCGATACCCACAACTTTATCTATCTTCTAATTAACAAAAAAAGCTATCAACTATAAACCTCACATAAGTTATTACATTACTAGCATATACCCTTAACCCTACCTTCACCAAATATAAAAACAGCCAAGGATACACGAGCTGAGAAGCTGTGCCTCCTCACATCTCCCCCTCCCCGGCTCTCTTATGGGTCATTGCTATAGGAAAAAGCCAACGGAATAGAGCGCGGAAGGCGGAGAGAGCGACTGTCTTACGCCTTTTTTGCTTTGTCGTAAAATACAGACGTTTATGACGGCTGAGGGTTATGAGTTGAAGGGCTAAGTTGAGATTGGCGGTTTTATTTGTAGTTAGATTAATGTAGGATGGATAATGTTACATTGGTTTATGACAAAACTTAAGGAGTAAGAAAGGATAGGGCCAAGCAAAGCTCAGGAAAGAGCTAAATATATTAAAGTACTATTAGAGTTTAGGCTAGGACTAAGGCTTGTAGGGGTTAAAAACAAGTCAGGCCTACTTTGGAAGCCCGTGGCCCAAAGTTGAGGTTTGGCCCGTTTTCATTTTTACCTCAGGAAACGGCCCAACCTAACGTTATTAGTTCGAAGCCGGCACGGTCCAGATGTATTAACGTGTATAAGGGCCGGGCTTTTAGGGGCGCGCCGGGACTTGATTTTCAGACCTGGCCCGATTGTCGGACGGGCCTACATGAACCGTTTCTTGCTTCTAAGGGCTAGGGTAAAGCTAAGGCTAGGGCCTGAGTAAGGCAAAGGCTTGGATTAAGACTGATGCTAGAGTTACAGTTAGAACTAAGAATGGGGCTACGGCTAGGCTTAAATTTAATGCTAGGACTCACACTAACCCAAGGGTTAATCTCAGTTACTTTTCTAAAAACATGTTAAGCCTTACCTACATTTCAAGCTGACCTTAAAAGAGAAGATCATGGTCATCAAACACACTCGATCATTTTGAGATTTGATAACGGATCGTACCGGCTGTTGCCAAAAGTAAACAAACATTTGAAGAAGCTAAGTTCTAAACTAATATGACACACTAAAAACTTAATTTCAAGCCTAAAAAACTACTCTAAACAGTAAAAAAATTAAAAAATCAGAAAAGAGGTTTAAAATAACATTAAATGAACAAAAGCCAGTTATATTACACATCAATCTTATATATAAAGTATATCATAGCCTGAGGGCTTTTATTTTCTTCCGATCACATTGGAAGAATGGCCATTTGGCCAAAACACAAAAAACAAAGAGCCAAATAGACGATTTAAGTATTTTAGTAGGAAGTTGGCTAGTGCTGGTTCAAAAGGCTCATGTTTAGGTTATTTTAAATTATTAAGAAAAATCTACCCTACCCTATTTTATACTAATTATAGTAATAGGTCTTATAATACTGTAACTATTTGTATTAGTACTACATTTATAACAGACAAATTCATATTTTTTTGAATTTATAATTATGAGGAGAGATGCTGTTACCAATGCCGGCGATTTTTTTGAGGTAATGACGTTTTTTTTCAAAATTATTACAATTGAGTACACAGTAAGAGGCTAGAACTACAGCTACGGCAAATAAATAAAACAAATTTTTGGAAAAAAATTGTCAGGCCTGACCTAAATCTTGCAGTCGTGACGCCCTCCAGGGGCAATTTCAATTACTAGTTGTTATCAGACGTTAAAGCTTGAAAAGGAGCTAAATCCATGTTAGGTGCTAAAAGAGGTTTAACATTGGGTAGCGCATATTGCTTGGTTTCTATTACAGGTAACTCAACCTTGGTTTAGAGGTTATGTCAGGCCGAGCTCGATTTTATAGAGGTTATGTCAGGCTGAGCTCGATTTTTGTCTAGACTTTACTAGACCGGGCCGGGCTAAGCAAATTTAAAAAAGCCAAGTTGAAAAGTTGGGTCCGGTTTATTACTTATACAGGTTTATTTGAAATACAAATTCTAAATTTTTTCACTTAAAATTCTATTAAAACAGATTTAAATAAGAAAATCATGTTTACACTACCTAAAGTTTTTGGTCCCGGCACGAAAACAAATAGCGCAAAATATTTCTTCCAAACTATCTTTTTTTTCGAATAAATTTTTTGTTTTCTTTCTTATGTGTGCTAGACTAAAATTGATTAAATTTTAATGTATTCTAATGAGGATCGTATTTTACAAATTTTTAATTTCAGGATTCATCACCAAGTTTTGACTCTCCACCATCGACAGAGTATAGCGATGATGTTATTGACAATTCACCGATCTCTTCGGATGGCGAAGAGATGTTTTTCAATACTGAAGGGCGACACGAACGGATATTGTCTGTAGGTATCTGCTTTGACTTATTTTTTATTTTTTTTGAAAATTTTTAAAATTTTAAAGTATATTTGGTAGTTCAAATAACTCTGCTCCCCTACCATCAAAAATTTGTTTTGAAAGGGCCCAGAATTAATTGAAGAATCTAATAGATTTTCGTCATTTTTATACACATCTATTAGGTTGTGCAAATAGTTGTGAGCCCCCTTGCAAAACAAAGTTTTGGGGTTAGGGGCACATAATTATTTGAACAACTTAACTAAAAAAATTTAAAATAATTAAAATTTTGAAAATTGTTACATTTCATTTGATAAATACGTATTTTACATTTGCTTTTCAGCTAGCCAAGCAAATTTTGCCTCACGTTGGCTTATGCATATTGTTATTGCTATACCTACTGGTTGGTGCTGCCATTTTTCAACGTATAGAAGGACCAAATGAGTTGATTGTAAGTTGTTTATCTTGGTTTTGGAACTATTTTTTGATTTTTCAAGATTTCAATATTTTTTTCATCTGCTCTGCTCCCTCCCCCTCCCCCTTTCTCCCCCTCACTTTTTTTAATTATTTTACCGCGCCCTTTATAAAATTAAAAAAAAATTTAGGTTAAGCAAAAGGAGATCTCCAGAATTCGCACCTTGAAGCATCGTTATCAAGAATCCGTATGGAATTTGACCCACAATCCAGATACTGTATTCTCAAAGAATACCTTTAATGCCTTGGGGGAAGAATACTTTGAAAAGTTGATAATCGCTGTCTTCAGCTCGTACCGGAATCAGTTTGTAACTGAAGTTCATTTACTCAACAAAACTTCTGAAGATGACAATCTGTGGACTTATCGTAACAGCGTCTTCTTTGCTACTACGGTCATTACTACTATTGGTAAGTTATCGTTGTTTACCCTACCGAATCCTACCCTATCCTACTCTACTCTATCTTACTCTACCTCTATTTACTTTTAGGCTATGGTCACTTGGTACCAGTAACATCGACCGGTCGCATCGTGTGTATTGTGTTTGCTCTTATTGGAATTCCACTTTTGCTGGTGACGATCGCTGATATTGGTCGATTTCTTTCTGAATTTTTGAATTTTGCTCACATTTCAGCACGCAAGTTTGTTTTTAAAGTAAGTTATGATTTAAAAACTTATTCAGTGAAACAAGCCTACTGTAATATAAATTTTATTAAATTTAAAAAGAGTAAAATACATTCCAAGTCAAGACAGCATTGCCATTTCAAACCCCATCTTCTAATCCAACACGTCTTTTGTTAAAACAACATAAACAAGATATGGCATTCTTCGCAGTCTTTAAGTAGTTGTCGATACAAGAAGCAGCCAGTAAGGGGTTGATAGCTGGCATCATTATCAGTTGAAAATTACCCAAAAAATTAATCCAATCTATAGTACTAGGGTCTAATCGGAACAGAGCTAATGATCTTGATATGATGAAGATTGGCGCTACTGTTAATGATGGGGTTATGGCCTAGAAATGTATAGTGTTGTCGCTAACAATGTATACCTGTGTAGGGACTAATGGAAAAAGGGGAATGAGTAGGGCAGGTTTGGGTAGCGAAGGACTGCACAAAGAAAGACAAGATAGGCCAGGACAAGGCATGGCAGTGTAATTCAGGGCAGATAACAGGGCGGGACAAGCCAGGAAAAACCTGGAAAAGGCCAGAACAAGGCATGACAAGGTAATGTAAGGTTGATTACGGGGTCGGGAAAAGAAGGCAGGCCAAGGAAAACGTCTGTATAAAGTATGGCAAAGCAAGCTTAGGAAAAACCAGCACAAAGCATAGCAAGGTAATGTAGGGTTGATTATAGGGTCGGGCAAGGCAAGTTAGGGTAGATTAATGCAGGGCAGGGTAAAGTACCTGAACAACTAGTGAATTGGCAACCTGTCTGTTGGCTGAATACCACTTTGTTTTTTCATTTTTAACCCGAAATGACTTCATTACTCTCCTTGCATATATATAAATGACTGCGTATGCTCCAAAGTAGTAAATAACTCCAATAATATACAGGGTTGAGGCTGTGTAGAAACTGGTTGCCTAAAGGTTTAAAAGTTATCGTATCTTCTTAACTGATGCTTTAGAAATATTATAGATATATTTAAAAAAAGTTACTGGCTCAGAAATGAACATCAATCTATTCTGGAGCTGCTTAACAACAGAGTTGTTATACCGGTCGATTATAAAGTCTATTCTAATTCGGTTCTCTGCCTTGTAAGGAGTAACATAAGAGAGTGTTCCATTTACAAAAAAGCAGAGGTCCAATGTAGGTGAGTAAAGAAAAAGTGAAAAATTGAAAGTTGGTTAGGATTTTGTTTCTAAAAAAATTGTCTTAGCTTAACTATTATATAAGGTTTATTTTAATATCTTTTTATATGTGCAATAACAAAAAATAAAAACAAAAATGTTCGTCAAAACTTACCGACAAATAATCAAATATCGATAGATGTAAGAATAGGCAGCTGCTGCTACAAATACGTTTAACAGTGTAGCGTAGGCGTAATAACCAAACAATTTTATATTAAGAGAAAAAATATCATTCAGTTGATCGGAAAAGGCAAATATACAACCATCTTCAAGTACAAAGTACTAAAATGGGGCTTTAATATGTGTAGAAGCATTAACCTTAGACTTGCCTTAACTTTGCCCTAGCCTCGTCTTTGTCTTGTCCTAGTATTGCCCTACCACTAGTCGTAGCCATTGTTTTAGCCTTACCCTAGCCAAAGCTTAAGCTTACTACACTCTAGTTCTTCTTCTAGCTTTACCTTTAACGTACCCTAGTCACCGATTGTTAACTTACCGGTCGAAAAAAGTAAGAAAGCAGAGTCAATGCAAGATCATGCAAACAATTGTAGAGCAATATAATCCGATAACATTCCATTTCATTTTCAGTGTGAAATACGATCATAAATAAGAATAGGCAATTGCCAAGCAGTGAAATAACAAAAACTATAGTCTCAAGTGTTTGTTTTAGGTATAGTAAATTAATCATTATAATATACTTTATTATTACATTGTAAACTAGAAAATATAAACTCAACTTTATAGATTTTAACTTTGTAAACAGCAAGCTCAGTTATATTTACTCTAAAAGCAGCTACAACATTAAAATTGCCTTTAGCAAAGGGCTTTTTAATTATGCGCCAGAATTGATTTTTTGTATTTAAAAAGTGTTATTAGCGAATTGTCAACAATAATTGTCTAGAAGTGTCATGTTGTAATTAAAAAACACCATAACTTCATTCATAATAACACAAATAACAAAAAATGATATCAACATTAATACCATAACCTTTAAAAAAGTTTTGTCGTTTTTAAAGGGGAAACGTCTTGGTTAAAAGCGACAAGACTTTTTTAAATGTTCTATCATTACCTTTGGTTGAACTATATAGCTAAGAACCCAAAGAAATGTTTTTATTATATGATATCTTACTATGACTTGACACTACAAAAGCAATTTTTAAATTTTATAGGTCCGAGACCAAACCCATCGTATCTCTCATCGAGTGTCTCAGCTAAGCCTACGCCGACGTCTCTCTGCCGCCGCTCGCTCTAATCACTCTAAAACAACATCCTCTTCATCCTCAGACCAAGCAGGCTCCTTAATTCTCAACGAAATACCCCCAAATGAAGATGACGAACCCATGCAACCAGACGGTCAACCACTAAGAATACCTATTCTAATGGTACTAGTGGTCATTCTCAGCTACACTGCCTTGGGCGGGTTACTTTTCCACAAATACGAGGGCTGGCCCTACCTCGAAGCCTTCTACTTTTGCTTCATCACCATGGCCACGATCGGATTCGGCGACTACGTTCCGTCGGTGAATATGAACATAGCCATGGCCATGACCTACATCATCTTTGGCTTAGCGTTGGCTACGATGTGTATCGATACGGCTGGTACTCATTACATACGAAAGATACACTATGTAGGTACGAAGATGGAAGATGCCAGAGGGGTGGTAATGACCGGAATACATCAGAGTGAACATTTGATTAAACATAAAGGTATTGACATCATACGAACGGCCGGAGGGAGGATATACAGAGTAAAGGGACAACTACTGACTAGTAGTCAATCACAACAACTGGACTATTTACTGAAGAGCACGTACTATCAAAAGAATATTATTTATGAACCGTTATCGCCTCAGGTGTCAAAGTTGGTTAGGGAGAAGAATATTAAAGTAGGTGAAGATTGTTTTGGAAATGTGAGTTTGAGTCTCAACACTAAAATTTTATTTTTTAATAATAGAGCTAATAATGTCAAAAAATGTTTTTTAAAATTATTCTTTTGAATTTTAAAATAATTTTAAAGTATTATAAAACTTTGTTTGGGTGAAATATTGAAACAAGTTGAACTATTTAGAGCTTTATTACAAAACAACAAAAATTTTGGTTTTTGGATCCCACCACGAAAACCCTGATTTTCAGTTTTTGATACTTTTTTACACTTTTCTTGAAATTCTAATAATATGTTTTTAACAATATTGTCTGAAAACAATTTTTATATAAATGGTAACAAAATTTGTATAATTTAAAATTTTTCGAAATTTTTTTAAATTTAAAAATTTTGAATTTTCAGATTTTGCCAGATGAAATTTCGAATTCAGAATGTGTTGTCGTTCCGAATCGTGAAGAAAATATAAAAATGTTGAAGCGTTTTATTCGAAATTCGGATTTACGTTCTCCGAATGCGATTCATCGCACAGTAAAACAACAACGGGATGCTATGACAACATCACTGCCACCTATGCCGTTTGTTCTCAAAGAGTCCTTTATATAGTGTTTTATTTTGAGTTGATGTTTGGGTAATAAAACGATATTTATAAGTTACGGTACTGTACCCTGCCCTACTTTACCTTACCCTACCCTACCATACCCACTCCTACCCAATCCTACCCTACTCTACCCTACCCAATCCATTCCTTTCTTTAATTTACTTTATTCTAAATTACTTTACAGTAATCTACCTTACTTTATTTCACTTTATCTCATCATACCCTACACTACTCTACCCTGTCTTACTCTACCTTACCTTTTCTTACACTGCCTTAAGCTACTCTATTATATATTGCCATAAGTATATTATCCTTTCCTAGCCGACTCTACAGTACCCTACCTTGTTCTACCTTACACTACTCTATCTTGGCTCACTTACCTTTACCGTAACGTTCCCGTCTTTACCTCTCCCTTACCCTACCCTAGGACTGGCCTACCTAAGAAATGCTAAAATTCACTCCATGCCATAAATAAACCGGCATATTCACAAGCAAATTAAGAGTTTAATTAAGCGAATTAAGTTTTCGTAATTACGGAAATTGTTTTAACGCGTCAGCAGCTAGGGTTTCAAGTTACATCGAACAAATCGGAGTATTTATCTTATTGTTACCACGTTTTCCGTGATTATAAACTGTATACAAAGAAGTTTACTTTGTGGTTTAGGATGCGACAGTTGATTGTTTATTCAGAAGCTTATGTTTTTTAGCTAGTCCAAGTCCTGGGGTTAGCCCTGGCCTTAGCTTTAGCCCTAGCCCTAACGCTAGCCCTAGCCTTAGCCTGACAACCTTCTTTTAACTCACCATTAAATTTACCCCGCCTTTCATATTACACATACATTTTTCCACCCCATACTTTCCATTCTTCTCTTTCTCCACCCACTCTCTCAATTTCCCACCCTCTCTCTCCACATCCATTATTCCAATGTGTTGGCCGAAAAAGCCAACTTTTTTTTTGCAAAGCCGAAGGAAAGTGCCTTAGGGGGACAAGGCGAATGCATTTCCAAAAAAGGCCCTAAACGAGAGTTTCGCACTTTTCCGAGGATTTCAAACAGTTTTTGTGAAATGAAATCAAGTGCTTGGAGAGTGGGTAATTAAAACTAAAGCTGCAGGCTTGCTTTGGAAATTTCGTATTTTAGGGGTTTAAAGGGTTTGGCCTTGACTTTATGAAAAAAGTAGAATTTAAAAGTAAAATGCTTAATTTAAATACCCGGTTTGAATGGTTTATTTATATGTATTTGGACAGGTTGATAAGGAAACGTATATGTAATAAGAAATAAGAAGATATAGTAAGGTAAGGCAACAACAAAGCAAGAAGTTAGCAAGCTCTAGCAGTGCAAGACTTATCAAAACAAGAAGTAGGGTGGAGGCAAGACTAAAACCAGAGCTAAGGCTAAAACTCGTGCTAGTGTTAGAGCTAGGACTAAAGCTATAGCTTACTGAAGGCTAGAGTTAGGGCTATGACTGCTAGTGCTGTGACTGGAGTTAAGGCTATAACTAAAGTAAGATAGGGTACATTAGCATTTCCTGTATAAATTTTTTAAAAAATTTGCATTTTTTGTTTTAAACTATATGTTAAAGTAATATATCGGTGTATATTAAGTAATTTTTTCATCAAAATTTATGTATAACCACTTTTTATATTGTCTAGCTAGTTATTTAGCTACTTTTTGGTTAGATAACATCAAAAACAATTCTTTTTCCATTCAGTTTCCGGACATTCTTTACATGGCCGTGACATCAATGTGGCCAAGAGAGTATTGCGCAATAGCTTGGATTTTTTTGTTTTTTAAGTACTTTTTTGTCTTAACAGCAGATTTTATACTAGATACCACTTTAGTAGGCTTAACGTTTGGTACTGTATAGCACGTATTATAGTGCTAGCTCTAGTCCTATGCTAAAGTACAACTTTCTTTTACATATTATACTATTAAGCTTACTCTGCTTTTTATAACAAGTACTATAATATAACGTGCCATAGTGCTATATAGTACCTACAAGATACAATCGATCATACTGTTGTATTCTTTTTGTAAAACCGAATTTCATTACAATTTAATGCCCAAACACCCTCCCCATCCCCACCACGCTTTATATCGAATTCAGTGTGTTTACCGAGTGTATTTACTCAGCTTGATACTTTTTCTGTTCAAAGTTTACAATTTATATTTAGAGAGGAGAACAGAGAAAAGTGAAAAAATTTGGGAAAAATTACGTCTGGAGCGTCTCTTAAAAGTTTATTTTTCATGTTTTTACGTTGTTTTTCGAAGCGAATACCTTCAGAATAATATATTGTTATGGATGTTGTCATAGACCTTAGGGGTTTTGGAAGGTTAGGGTGGGTGAAGTAAGCGAGGTTTTGTGGTTTAGTGATGTTTTTGCAGTAAGTGTGTCATATATTGTTTTTGTTTCCGTTTTAACTGTAGCCTAGGCTTGAACCGTAGCCTTAGGCTTAGTCTAAGACTTAGATTCAGACTGAGCATGACTATGAACTTAAGACGGAACATGAGACTGAGCTTTATATTCATCTTGAGTTTTAGTTTGAGCAATGGATATAGCCGTAGCTTTCGCGCCTGAGCCTGAATCAAAACTTGAGTCTGAATTTGCTCCTAAGCTTGAACTTGAGTCTTTGTCTGAAGCTGAACCTCAGTCTGAGCTTGAGATTGAGCCTGAATCGGAGCTTGAGTCTGAATCTGAACCTGAGCATTAGCAAGAGCCTGAGCTTAAGCATGAGCCTGAGTCTAAGCTTGAGGCTGACCCTGGGCTTAAACCTGAGCCTGTGCCTGAGCCTGAGAGTTAGCCTTAGTATGAGCCTGAGTCTGAACTTAAACCTGAGCTTGAGCTTTACATTGAGCTTTTGGTTGAGCTTTGACCTGGGCATGATTGTGAGCTTCAGCTTGAGTCTGAATCTGACTTTGATCTTGATCCTGAACATAAGCCTGAGCTTGAGCCTGAGAATTAGCGAAAGCGTGAACTTTAGTCTGAGTCTGAGCATTAGCCTGAGCTTTAGCCTGAGCTTGAGAGATTAAGCTTTGGCTTGTGTCTAAGCCTTATAGTAGATTGAACCCAAACTTACGCCTTAGTCCTACCTTCAACTTAAACCTGAGACTAAGCATGTTCTTGACCCTGAACCTTAACTTTAGCTTGAGACTGAGCTTTACATCTTGACATAAACTTTTACTTTACGTTGTAAGATATACCCTTAGGTATACGTTCCTAAAATAGTAATTAAATCTCAATCACAATCCTTTTCCTTTTATTATTTTGCTTTGCTCCAGCCGATTTTCGCTTTTTTGAAGTAGAAACGTGGTGAAAAAGTAGGAAACGATTCTACTTGAATATCCGAGTCTTACGCAACAAGCGGATTGATCAAAAGTGTCGATAACAAACACTTTTTTAGCCAATTTTAGAGCGTTTCAAGGGAATTTTTAGGGGGATTCTAAGGTGTTTCTGGGCTGATATATTCATATTATATTTATTTACTTATATTCTGTGCCGAGCGGGGTATTTTTGTCAAAATGGGCGGAGGGTGAGGTAAAAAAGTGATAACGTCAGTAAATAAAATAATGTCTATGTGATTCTATTTTGATAAGCCGGAGCCTTACCATGATTTTTAGCTTAAGGGCGGTTCTTAGCGATAGCCTAAACCTAAACGTCATCTTGAACCTAAGCCTGACTCCGAGCCTAATGCTAAGCTTGAGCCTATGTTTGGTCCTGAGTCTGAGCCTGAGTTTGAAGCTGATCTTGATCCGAAGCTTGAACTTGAGTTTGAGATTGCGTCTGAGCCTGAGCTTGATTTGAAGCTTAAGCATGAGCTTGAGCCTGATCTTGATCCGAAGCTTGACCCTGAGCCTGAGTTTGAGCCTGAGATTGAGCTTGAGTTTGAGCTTAAGCTTGAGTATGAGCTTGTGAGTTTGAGCTTGAGCTTGAGCTTGAACTTGAGTCTGACCGTAAGCTTGAGCCTAAGCTTGAATCTGATTGACGCAATTCGTGTGTTTGTTCGTATTTTACACATTTTTTTCTTACTTTTTAAGTTTAATTTGAAAAAAACAGGTATATTTAATGCTTTCGTGGTGGGACTAAAACGGTTGTCTCTATGAAAACATTTTTGAGCTTTGGGTAGGTTGGTCGTATTTTACACTTATGAATTCATAAAAGTTAAAATTTTTAAAAAGTTATGTTTCTTACCCTGCCCTTGATTATCATTAAAATTTTTTAAAAATATAATATAGTACATATAAAAGCATGTCAGTCCATTATAGAGCCTAACAATACAAAATCAAAACAAATATAATTTCCGTGCGTTTGAAACATGTTTGTTACGATTCAATTATCTATAATCGAAAACATAATAACTGAATTTGCTTTTCAGACGTTTGGGCGCTTAATCAAACCATTTATGATTTGTTGTGGCTGATAAGGAAAAGGGCTTCATCAATTTAAACTTTCTTATCTTTTGCGGTAAAAAAGGTAAGTAATAGAGGGGAGTTTACAGTGTAAAAAGAGAGGTTTTTACTGTGTAAAAAAGAAAGTTTTTACAACGTTGGAATGAGGAGTTTACAGAGTAAAAAGAGAGCTTTCATGGTATGGTTTAACGTATTTTAGAATTGTAACTTAGAGTTTATTGTAAAAAGAAATGTGTCTTACATTCAAGAGGTACAGCTTATATTATACTTGCCTTTTACAGTACTCATCTTGGTGCTACTATTATAACATTGTCTTTGCCGGATACGTGCTGTGGTCATCATGGAGAACAGAGTAAGTGCTACAAATTTTATTTTTATTTTTTTTATTACTATGGTAGTGCTTGTATCAGTGTTATCATAGGGTAGAATAGTACATTTTTTAGGTTTTTTATGGTACTATATGACCATAAAAAGCCTAGTACTGTGTTAATATTAACATGTTTTTAGATGTTTGATTCCAGCGATGACATTATGATGACATCAAACATGACATATGTGATTGGTAATAGCTCGGTAAGTCAGTTTTTACTTTCTTTTTTAACTTTTAGGTATCTACCCTACCCTACCCTATCATGCCCTACTCTATCATGCCCTACTGTATCACGGGCAAGATTTTCCTAGCCCTTCCCCATCTCTATCCTTAACTGCCTTAATCTTGCCCTACCCCTACTATAATATATCAAACTTTCAAAACAACAACTAGTATATATTATGTCTCAGCAAGTTAAAAAAGTTATCAAACGCCAAAAATCCATTCATTTTTTGGGCCGAAAACAAAAAGCAGTGCACAAAAAGCAAACGTGCCCTCAGGGGTTAAGTTCAAAAAAGTTTTTGTTTTATTAGCTTTTTGTGTTTTTAAAGTGGCACGCTTAATTTTTAACCGTTTTTTCAAAACCGACATTTTTGGCTTAAAATAGCTTTGGTTTTTAAGATTTTGATTAAAAAGGCGAAACTTTGAGGTTTAAAGGTTTTCGTGGTGGGACCAAAACTTTGGTAATAGTGCCCTATTTTGTTACTTTTAAAAGGACGTTTTTCTACAAGACGTATTTTACTATTATTAACTTTTAATTTTGACGAATTGCGCAAAAAATGGGTTTTCTTGTTTTCGTGGTGGGACCCAATTTTAGCAAAAAATCGGGTTTTTTAATAAAAACTGGCTTTAAATTTAAAAAAATAAATTTTTAAATAAGAAAAATTTATTTTCTACATTTAAAAATGACATATTTCAGGACCTGGCCAACTTCTGCGACTTGGACTCGAGTTTGATCGAATTGGACATTAGTAACCATAATTCAGGTAAAATTTTGTTTTTAACTACGGAATTAAACATAGCCACGTATTTTACTTTGACATTCAATTTTTAAAGCAAAATTTCATTTTAAAAATTTAAAAATGTGAAACATGCCCCTTAATCCCCCTGTTCTGTTTTTACCCCGCCCACTATAGACTTTACATGAATATAGTTAAAATTGGTCTCTATGTAAGCCTAACTAGCCAAAGACAATTAAAAATGCATTTTTAAGTAATGAGTTGGTCATTTTTCAAAAAAAAAACGTTATTTATGATGAATGGAGTCGAGCTAGAACAAACAAATCTCAAGTATTCGGACAAAACATTCCAGTTCGACTATTTTGCGGATTTTTTAAAAGTGTAAATATAATTTTTCATCTTTGTTTTTGTCATTAATAACTAATACGTGTCTGCGGATTCCGTATTTTACCTTTATCATATCTAAAATGGCAGTTTTAAGAGATTTTGACCCATTTTTGGCCTAAAAAACAGCTTTTTGAGCAAAAAAATTAAAATTTTTAAAAATATTTTTAAAACAAATTGCTTTTGAAAGATTACCACTACTTTTTACTACCCTACCCAACGGTAACCTACCCATTAAACCCTCAAAAACACCTCTAAAACTTCAAATTTTCAGTGAACACCTCGATCGTTCTCGACCGCCCCACCCTGGATCCCTCGCTTCTGCCCATAATAAACGACGAAATGCCAATTATCGGCGATGATGAGCTGGAAACCCCAGTAGCCTACAATCGAAACCTATCCGAATCGTTGAGGGCAAAGGAACTGCTGAAACAAAAGGAATCCGAGAAAAAATCCCCCACAAAGCCGAGGCAACCTCTATATCCGGTGGGTTTTTGAGGGTTTTGGGAAGGGATTAAGTTTACTTTCTGGATATTTTGATAATACATACATTGTTTTGAAAATAACTTTAATTTTTGGGCAGAAAATGGTATTTTAGGTAATAACATAGACCATTTTAAGCCACTTTCGTCTCAAAAAACGGAAAAGGTAAAAAAATAGTTTTTGGCCAGAAAAATAGAGTTAAAGTTTAAAATTATTTCACAAGTTAGGTCTTAAAACAATAACAAAACTACTTTTCGTATTTTACAATTTAAAAAAAAATTGTTAGTCCAAAAACAGGCAAAAACTGACTCGACCACGGCAGGATTCGAACCTACAATCTTCGGTTCCGTAGACCGACGCGTTATCCATTGCGCCACGCGGCCACACTTCCCTTCTTTTTTCTTTTCAATAAACCCAAGTGCCTTTTGCGATTCTTTTGGGAAATAGGGGTATAACTAGTTATTGTGTCAGATTTCAGTTTTATTTTCAGTCATTATAACTTGTTATATCATGTTTTTAATATTATTGACCTTTTTTATTAATTTAAAATTTTTTTTTAAATTTTGTATTTAGGATTATTTGTTAGTTTATCCTTAATTTTCAGGGTCCAGCTAAAAATGCAGAAGTAAAACCAGTCCAGCCCAAGCCTAAAAAGATGTCCAAACATGAGGAGATCATGTTGAGGATAAAGCAAAGCATTGCTGAAGAGAAGAAGGCACCAAAGAAGGAAATCAAGTCGAAATTGGCCGAAACTTTGAAAAGTGCACCTACTCCAAAGGCTGTTAGTCGAGGTAAAATTCTTTAAAATTCGTACATTAATAAATACTTTTAGTTTTTAAATTTATAAGGTTTTAGAGATTCATTTGGCATGCTTTGAATACAGATTTTCATTAAAAATACTCTGGAAATCTCGTTTTTTAGCCTAAAATAATATAAATTTTATGATTTTTTGGAATAAACAATATAACTTTTAATATTTTTACAATTTTATGGTCACTTTGACATCTTTTATTGAGTTTCCATGAAAATTTAGATAAAGTATTACCTAAAAAATACTAGTATTACCTAAATTCCAACATAAACAATATAATTTCAGAGCCAAGCACATTGAAATCCAAGAATTTGAACCCCTCAACCCCGGTGAATAATCGACTGGTCGCAAACAAACTACGAGTACAAACAGCTGAAAAGCCAATTAAGCCACGGTGCCCTCCGGCGTCGTCTGCTGGAGCAGGAATAGCCAAGTTGAGGCAGCCGGCTCGAGATATTCCGACCAAAAAGTCTGTTTCGTCGCATAATTTGAATTCAAATTCGAATAATTCGATGGCATTGAAGCGACAATCCCAGCCAGTACCACTTGGTCGAGTTACACTTGACATTGATGCAGAGCAGTTGGTGACGGCCGACGATTTTCGAAATGAATTCGAAAAAGTTAAAACAACATCCTTGAAGAACTATCGAGGGTTCGATCAGGTGGCCAAGTTGTTTGATGCTCTTATGGGTCAGGTAAGGAGTTTTGAAAGTTTTAGTTTAGGTCTCTCTTCAACTTGGGGCTTTTGATACACAATGCCAAAAATCAAGAAAATTTTGGGTTTTCGTTGTGGGACCAAAAATTGTAAGAAAAAATGGAAAAATTATAAAATACGTTTTTACAGACCTATATTTTTTAATTCGAATTATAAATAGGTCAATATATTACCTATATCTTTCTAAAAACAAAAAAAACTCACCCCCCCCTTCTCTCAAATTCGAGTAATTATGAGAAAAACTCGTTGTGGGAGGCTTAAATTGTCCGGAATGGTAAACATTTCCTTTACAATACAAAATTTGTTTTGGGAGGTCGTAAAGCCAACCTCTAATGGGGGGCAACATCTTGCATTTACAATTAGAACAGTGACAAATTCAATGTGATGAGATTTGTGTTTTGTTCGTGTTTGAAGAGATTGTTTTGCAAGGTAAATTGGGGGAGGTTTTTGGTATGATACTGGCTGAAAATGGGGTTTTTGTTATTAAGAGAGTTGATAAGACTGGCAGTCAAAGTTAGAATTTCTACTAAAAATGGGTATAAAAGTTGTATTTTTGGCTAAAAATATAGTTGTTTTAGCTAAAAAATATGTTTTTTGATATAAAAAGATATCACTTGTTCATTGTGAGGTAAATTATTTATAAGGGCATTGATAAAAATGGCAGTAAACGTTAGAATTTTTATTAAAATAGGTACTAAAGCTCTTAATTTTGGTTAAAAAATGTGTTTATTAGTTGAGAACACATTACTTGTAGGCTTTATCAAGAGTTTTTTATGAAGGGTTTAATGATAATGTCAGTAAAAGTTAGGATTTCTATTAAAAATGGTTACAAGAGCTGTATTTTGTATCAAAAAGAAGTTAAAAACTGTTTTTAAAGTAGAGTTAGAGCATGTTTTTACTTCAAAAAATGATTTTGAAGTCTTACTTTAAAAACTTTTAAATTTGACTAGTGAGGCTTACCATTAGTTTATTATGCTTAATATAACTTAATTTATAAGTTTAAACTTAATATTAGTTTATTGATAAACCTAACGTTAGTTTATGATAATGTAAATGTAATTTTTCAGCTATCAGAACAACAAAAGTCGAATGAAAGAGTGGGTGAAGAGCTCAATTCGGCCAATAAGGCCAATGAAAACTTGAAGAAATGTATGGACGAATTCATGGAACAAAACCAAAAAGCCGTGGAAGAATGTAAGTTAACATAATTTTGTATTTTATCTTTTGAAGCTTTAGATTTTCATTTTTTTTAAGACCTGGGTTTTGTTTTACTGTCTTTGTTTTGTCAGTTGTTGAGGTTTACCTAGATGTACGCATATTTAAAATATTTTTAAATTGTTCAGGACGTCTATACAAATTTTTCTGGGAGGATGGAAGCTTAAAAAAAATTTTATCCTCAGATACACCTGTGGTGTCTTTTTAGGTCGACTTTACTTTGTTAACTTAGGTAAAGGTAGGATAAAATATAGCTAGTGAATGGCAACACTAGAGTTATCGTAGTCATATGGTAGGGTAGAGTATGGCATGTTATGGTAGCAAGAGCATGATACAGTAGGGCATGATAGGGTAGGGTAGGGTAGATATAAACCAACATGTTTACAAATATTTCTACAAAGTATTTGATTAATGAAAGGAAAGAAGCGATGATTCTCATTACTTTTGAGTCATGTTATGGGATCCGAAGCTCTTTTCCGAAGCTCACATTTATTAGAATAGGTTACAGAAACACGTGTTGATATGTCACGGTGTTTTCCTTGTGATTCAGAATCATTTTTGTTTTAAGGATTGTTTTCAAATGGCAAAATGACGTTTCTTTTGCAGGGTTTTAGGAATTTAAGAGGGATGGCGGGTTGAGGGTGGCTGTAGTTCAATTTTGGGATATAGGCTGACGGGGGTAATAGTACGCGAGGGGTTAATAAAAAATATAGATCTCTTCTTAAAATTTCTACTGCATTGACTGTAACTTACTCCTACCTTGCCCCTGCCTTGCCCCTACTTTCCCTCTGCCTTGCCCTTGCTTTGTCCTTGCCTTGGCTCTGCATTGCCTCTACCTTGCCTTTGCATTGCCTTGCTTTGCTTTGCCTTTCCTCTGTCTTGTCTCTGCCCTGTTCTGCTTTATTCTGGCTTGATCTGCTCTGCTTTGCCCTACTCTGCCTTCCCTACTTAATCTCCCCCCCCCCTCTCTTCTTTATTACCTGCCTTGCCCCTGCCTTGTCTCTGCCTTGTCTTTGCTTTGCCCCTGCCTTGCCTTGCTCCTGCCTTGGCTCTGCATTGCTTCTACCCTGCCTTTGCTTTGTCCTTGCCTTGCCCCTGCTTTGCCCGTGCCTAGCCACTGCCTTGCCCCTGCCTTGCTTTTGTCTTGCCCGTGCCTTGCTGTTGCTTTTCCTTAGCACTGTCTTGCCTTTCCTTTCTGCCCTGCCATTCCCTACTCAATCTCTCTCCCCCCCCCCCCCCCCCATCTTTATTATTATCTTCTTTGTCTTTCTCTGTCTTTTCCCATCAACCTCTCCCAAACCGATGACGTAGCGCTCGCTACACGTTTCTATTGTAACCCTATTACCTTGACGGAAAACGAAAATTTACCTAAAATTTCGGTTATACGCAAGCCCTAAGATCAGATAAGGTGCGCGACAAAATCGAGATTAACACAATAAAAATGAAATAATAGAAATCGTCTTCGCGCCTCTTCAGATGCCTCGGAATCACTCGGCGTGACTTCTTTTTTTGGCATGTCCGGTCGAGTTTTGTTTAATGAGTTTGAAGTTTTTAGAAAAGTTTTGAGGGAAAGAAGGACGTGAAAAGGTGATGATGAATGAGCAAGCTGCGGGTGGGTAGGGTAAACAAAAAAGGTTGTGAAGAGAGGCAGGAATATATATAGGGTATTGTTTATGCCTTTATAAAACTTAAACAGTACTCATAATAAGAAAAGGGTAAGGCTAGTCGTAAAATGGTTTATATAGGTAGTGTAAACACAATATTGTCAAGCGGCTTACCTTTCTAGGATGAGCAGATCTTTTTTTATTTTAAATAGTCAATTTGTAAAGCAAGTAGAGCTAAAGCTAGGGTAGGACAAACGGTAGAGCAATAGGTATCTAAATCTAGAGTTAGGGCTTTAGGCTAGGGCTCTAGGCTAAATCTTTGGGCTAGGGCTCAGGACTAGGGATTTAGGCTAGTGTTCCGGGTTAGGGCTCTGGGCTAAGGCTCAGGACTAGGGCTTTAGGCTAGAGTTGCGGGCTAGGGCTTTGGGCTAAAGTTTCGGGCTAAATGTCTGGCTTACGGTTGAGGTTAGATCTGATACTAGGGCTAGGATAGGGCAATACATGGGAATATGGCGAGTGCTAGAGCTAGGGCTAAGACTAAGGGCTGGAGTTAGAGCTATGGCTATGAGTATGGTCAAGGCTAGGGCCAGGACAAGGCTAGGGCTGGGTCTACGGCTATGGCTAGGGCAATAGCTAGGGCTATGGTTATGGCAAGGGTTCTTAATATGGGATTATTTTTTGAATAAACTAATAATATTTTTATTAGTTACTAAATGTCAAAACAGTAATAAATAACTACTTTAGCTTTAAAAAGGCATTTTGCAAGCTATTGTATATATGTAATGAATAAAAACTGTAGCTGCTATTCAAAAGTTACTATTGTTTTTTCAAAAACAAAAAGGAAGACGTTTATTCATCACGTCCTTTTTAAGTAGGTTTATTGGTCGTAAAACCAGTAGTGATATCTACAGACTAGTAGGGTAGGGTAGGTATATAAAATTTAAAAATACTTTTACTTGAATATATTACTTAATGGGTCATGTGAATTAAAATTTTGTTTTATTGTTGATCTGGCGTTATCTCCGCCGAGGGTTTCTACGAGTTACTTGAGTCGGATGTTTTTAAACCGATTTTTAAACTTTTTAAATTTTAAATTTGGTTTGTTTACTCACAAGCAATTCGTATTTTAAGCAGGAGCCATTTAAAATTTTAAATGTAAAATACGCGCGCTATAGCTATATCATCATTATTACACCTCTCTTTACCTTGAAACTAAATTTTCCTATAATTTTAGGATAATAATTCACATTCCTAAACACTCATTAGTACGGACGTACTAAATAGTATGTCCATAAAGTCCCGAAATCAGTTGCAATTGAGTAAAAAAGCGTTGGGCATCTATGCGACCTCGATCATATTAATGGGAGCCGCCCTTGTGGGCTCGGTATCTTGCTTTACTCATAGCGAATGTCACAAAACCCAGGTCTTGCCATTCTTTTCATGCATAGGAGCTGTAATTGTGTTTGGTGCTACATTTACCATTTTTACAGTAAACAAGAATGCCGAGCAACAGTTGAATGAGAAGATCGAGTTCTACGAGGAAAAGGTGGGTTTTGGAGGTTCAGTGTAATATGGGGGAGGTCATTGTTTTATTGGCTTTAACTTTTTTTTTAAATGAAGCTTGAGCTTTGAAAATTTACTTAATTGTAGCTCAGGTATAGCACAACATGTACAAAGAAAGAAATTTAAAAATATTGAAGAATTTTAGAGATACATCATTTTTTGTTACACCATAGATAATGTAATGAACCATTTGGTTATTGAGTCATAACTGTTTTTAAAATTCAAGATTAAATTTGAAAATTGACATAAGTGTAAATTACTTATAGCACAATATGTACCAAAAAGGAGTTTTAAAAATTTTGAAAAATTTTAGGGACATATCATTTTTTAGTTACCTCATGGTTAATATAGTGGACTTTTTGGTTATTTAGCCATAACTTTTTTTACAAAAAGCTTAAAATTTTGATAGTTTGAGCATTTGTAGAATGTTATGTTTGCTGTTAGGATGGTAAAAACTTAATTTGAATTTTTGTTGTACCTTCAAGTTACAGTACTCTTAACTTACCTTACTTTTTTCAAAATTAAAAAAAAATTGACAATTTTTTTTATTTAGTTTTACGGAATTGTAGTAGAAGCTAAAAAAATCAAGTTTAAATATAAAAGCTTACTTTTTAAAATAACGTACTATATAAACTATCATTTCCAGCTCTCCTCCCAAAAAGACCAGCTCGAAGCCCGAATAGCCCTGCTAGAGAAGCAGTTGGCCGAAGAGAAGGAAGCCAACGAAATAACTCCAGTGGTGGCTTCAAACAAAGAAAATGTTTGTAATGGAAACTGCGAGAATGAAATAGCTAGCCTAAACTATGCCTTAAGTTTGCAAAAAGAAACGACAAAGCAGATTCGAAGTGAAAAGTGTGATTTGGAGCTAAAATTGGATGATATGCAGGTGTTGAGGAATCATTTGAGCTCTACAAAGTCACAATTGGACAGAGTTAATCATGCTTTGGAGCAGCAGAAACTTTATTCTAAGTGAGTTTTGGTTTTTGGAAAAAGAAAGAGAAAAAGGTTTATGGGATTGTGAGTTATGAGGGGTTGAAGATGACCTACTACAATATAAAAAATTGGCTTTTAGCCACTTTTTTAGTTTGAAGCATGCCATAAAACAGCTTAGCTAAAGCAAAAACAATATAAAAAGCTGCATAGCACATTTCTACTTAGATTTAAACTACAATATTTTGTTGTAAATACGGCAATGTAACATGAAAGAGCTGTATAAACTAAATTTACCTTTCAGAGAGCTCCTAAACGAGTTCAACAAGCTAAACAACCGAGTAACGACTGCCGAACGAGAGAAAATCGAATGCCAACAGAAATATGACATCTTATTGTACAAACTAGAACAACGACACCAATTTGCAACAAGTGATTTGGCTACATCCTTCGCTTCTTCTGATAGTGAGCGACCCAAATCAGCAGACCAGAAGAGCCGTAAGTTTTGTGTAAATTATAGATATGAGGACTTTTTTAAAGATTTAAAAAATGAAATTGGGATTGAAGAACGTTTTTTTGATTGTAGAAAGTTAATTTTGACAGTTTTTGAAAAGTCGATAACTTTTGTGACATTTCGTCAAAAGTGTCAACATTTGCAAATATGTGGAAAAGAGTTTAAAAAAAAAGAATTTTTGTGCTTTAAAAACTATTTTTTAATCTTTTTTATTATTTTTAAAAAACCAATATTTTAGTGACATTTCGTCAAAAAATAAAAAATTGAATTCTAAAACTTTTTAAGCATTTTAAAGGTCTTCAAAAGTTTTTAAATGATAATTTTTTTTATTGTACGTACTATATTGTCTTACCTTCAGCTGGTGGTATAATGTCAACATCTCGTCTCTTCGCCACTGTAGCTCGAAAAGTGAAGCCTAAAGACAATGTTGATGAAATCTTCGACTCAAGTGGAGTCGTACAGCTGAATGAGAATGGTTATACGGATGAAAGTCATTCGGAAAGTGAAGGATATTCCCATGCTGACAACGAGTACGATGAGAATGGGCATGTGGTACTGAAAGAGGATGAAGAGTACGAAGGGTATGGTAGTCAGGAGATGGAGCAGGATGCTGGTACTCCTGTCAATGAGGTGGTTGAGGCTGTGCAGTGAATGTTGAGACTGTACGGTAGGTTTAGGGTTGATTTTGACGTTTTACCCTTGGCTTGGCGAGGTAATACCTTGTTTTTACTATGTAAGTGACATATGTTAATTATTAGTTTGATATGTTATGACCATGGTAGGATACAAGTCCTAGCTCTTTACCCTTGTAGAAGTAGGCTTTTTAGCTTTTACATGACTATTGTCTTTATACTTTCTTTATATTTACTGTAGTTATAGCGTGGTATTGTTACATAGTATGCGTTAGCTTTCTTAATTTATTATTTTTACTTCAAAAACTATAAAAAAATTTTTTAAAGATATTTTTATGTCTATTATATAAAATTTATGTTTTATTTACTGAAGTAAATTCTTAGCTTATGTATGCGTAATATACAGCAATGATGATATTACACTTGACAACCTTTTACAGCTTAAAAACTCAATTTTCATAAACGTTGTATTTCATTTCTACGGCTTTTAACCTTCTTTTTGGGTTGATTTTATCATTGTTAGTACTTTGTTTTTAAAGTTTCAGATAATATGTTATTTGTTAGTAGTACTGTCTCATGTTATGCACGTTCATACGTCTTTTTATATTTAGTACGCTGTTACTTTACACTGGACTTTGACAGCACATGGTACAGTTTTACTTCACATAGGACTTTCACAGTACTATGATATAATTTTATTGCTTATATTGAGTTGTTCAAAAAGTTCTGAGCTTTTTACAAAACAAATTTTCTGGGTTAGGGGCGCATAATAATTTGAACACTATTAGTACTAGTAGGTCGTTCAAATAATTATGTGTCTTGTGAACTTGGAAATTTGCTTTTATAGGGGCACAGAACTATTTTGACAACCTAATATTTTCTTTTGAACAACTTAATACTTCTATTTTACTTTACTGTGGACCCAGATAATCCATTTTATAAACTTTTATTGTATTTTTTGATCTCCATTGGCACTGAATTTCATCAAAATTGCATTCACATTCAAATCCAGCTACAAATTTGTCTTTTTTCGCTTTTTCTTACCGTACGTTATATTCATTTACTCTATAATATATGTTATTATGTTTTATATGAAAACGAAAATAAATTCTTTACATTGTACATGGGCAGTAGGTCAATATATGAATACATAATGCATGACAGTATGTTCAACACATGTATAGTACGATGTTATTGATCAGAATTTCCATTTTTCTTCGATATAACAGTCCAATCGCTTTATTGTTGGGGTCTGAAACAAGTACAATATAAAGCAAGGTTAATAATACAATGGAGGCTTTAAACGAAGGATCTATTGTAGCGTTTTACTAGAAATTTTTTTAAATTGTCAAACAATATATAAAAACGTCTAAAGCTCTGTTAAGAAGCCTAATGTTGTCTATTCAAAACCTAAGACCTTTCATCGAAGCCTAAGGCTTAACGTCTTAAGTTCAGAAGGATAAATAAATCAGCCGAAGCTGTGAACACAAAATTTAAAACATGTGCTATAGTTTTAAACTTAAAAATGTTATTTTAAAAAACCTACAATCCTGAACTGCACAGTGTTCACCGGTTTTTCCATTTCAAAAACCGGCTTCTCGGCTTCGTATGGCCGAATGAATTCAGTCTCAGGAACCACAGTATCCAGCAGTAATGGTAAAAAGAAGATGGCATGTGCCAATCCAATAAGAACTACAAATACCACAGTAAGAACGAATGTTCGTATCATATAAGAGGGCACCACACCGAGAATGGCAACACCAACTAACGTTGATGCAGCCGCTTGAATGATTGGGTAGGCCACTACTTCTAGAGCTTGCTGAAAAGTTAGACTTGAAATTGTGGCTTGATATTATAGTCGATGGAAAGCTATTTACATATAAATTTATATGTTAGAGGGCCTTAGTGTTATTGGTACTAGTTTGTACCATTGCACCACTTTAAAGTTAAAAAACATCGAATCTTAGGGCATATGTTGCAAAAACGGCTTATAAAGATCGACCGGTCAATTAATTTAAATTAATGATGTAAAAAGATATTAGTATGTATATGATACAGTAGTACTAATGGCAAAACAATTTTAGTATTTTTGTTATCACTATGTACTTAAACATCACTTTAAAGTCCCTAAACTCCCTTATTTTAAATATTTTTTTTGCCAAAAATCTACCCCAACCCCCAAAAAAAACTTACGACCAGTCGATTATTTTGAGAGATCAGATAATGAAATGTAATGTGTGTAGCATAATCTACAGAAAACCCAATACTCATAACAATTGTAATCATAGAGATAATGTCCAATCTCGTCCCTACAGCTGATAAGGCTCCAACAACGCCAATATTAATTGATATAATACAAAAAGCTATTGCTAGTGCTGATACTGGCCTTGGAATGAGTAAGATGGCCACGGTCAACATCACTATCACAGCTATCGCAACATTAGCTATGACATTTTGTAGGGTGATGGTTAGTTGGTCTACTAGGAGGAAGCTGGAATTGGGATATGGGTAATATAATTTTGTGTTTATTTTGGAAAAGCAGAAATAGGAAGCAGAAAAACGACAGTAATAAAGTGGAACATAGCAGAGCAAAGGCAGAGCAAAGGCATGGCAAAGGCAGGGCAAAAGGCAGGACAAAGGCAGGAAAAAGGCAGGGCGAAAACAGGACAAAGACAGGGCAAAGGCAAGACAAAGGCAGGGCAAAAGCAGGTAGGGTAGTGCGTGCTAAAGCATTAACTTTGCCTCTTGCCGTTTTAATTTTTATCACCCAGCTCTCCCCCCCCTTTCTTTGCGCCTTGTTTTTTAATCAAATTCCTCTATACCTTTTTCAAATTTTTAAGCAACCCACCTAGTATCATACACAAATCCATCATAATTCGAATTCTTAAACAATCTTCTCATCCATTGAGCCCTGGGTGGATCATTCTCCGCCCCCAACTTCCTTATCCTCATGATCATCTTAATGGCCTCGATTGTGCCATTCTTCCCAAACTTGATGTCAGCACGATACTTTGAGTACCTTTCATCCTCCAAAAACCGTACCACCGATTTCATAAAATATTTTTCATTTTGAAAATCCTCGTTTTCAGTAAAATTTGCAAAAGGTTCTAGCCAAAATTCGCCGGGAGAAACCAATCCACCCCCACTTAAGATTTTGTACAAGCGAATCAGTTTTTGGCGCTCTTGTTTCTTGAAGAGTTGAAGGTTTTTGGTCTTGACCACAGCAAAACAGAAGGCACCGTAGTCTGAGAATAGACGTTCTTGAGCTCGAATTTCTAGGGCTGCATAAGAGTTGTCTGGGGTTAGGAGTTTTAGGTCTAGACCTGAAAATAAATATTATATTATATTAGCTACTAAATAAATATATTACAAACACCCTATAAGGCTTACCCAACTGCAGTTGAAGTAAAAAGTTCAGCGACACAGCCAAGTATACCACGTATAACACCACTCCAATTACTCTGACATAACTTTTTTGATAGACTTTGGCTATACGAACCCATATTCGGGTTTTAGAGTCAACAACAGTTTCATAATAATCATGAACGTTAACATACATTGAGTTAAAAGCATCATACGACTTTTTATAATGAATCTGACGATATTTCTCTTCTTCATCAATTACTGTAGTCTTTAGAAATGTAATACAGTTTCTCTGATCTATTTCACGTCGACAATGTAACACCATCAAGCCGGATAGTAAGGTAATTTGAAATAGAAACATGTACAAGATGGCTAGTGAGCAGTAGACACAAAATACTCCTGCAAATGATTTTTAGGCTAAGGCTAAAGCTAGGGCTTGAAATAGAGTTCTGGGTTAGGATTCCGGGCTATGGCTCTGGCTTAAAATTCTGGGCTAGGGCTCCGGGCCAGGGCTCTGGTCCAGGGCTCTAAACTAAAACTCTGAGCTAAGGCTCTAGGCTAAAACTTTGGGCTAAGGCTCTGGGCTAGGGCTCTGGGCTAGAGCTCTGGGCTAGGGCTCTGGGCTAGGGCTCTGGGCTAGAGCTCTGGGCTCGGGGCTAGGCTTGCTTAATATACTATACTTACTAACGGCAATGAAATCGCTCAAACTTCCAACAAGAAACGAAAATCCATCAGTTAATGATGTTATCATAAGTGATACCGACACTTCTGTTATTGAGTACACCAACACATCATCACTTTGGCTAGCCTTACTCAACATGCCATTATAACTATCACAAGCTATACGCCAGGATTTCAACATCAAAAACATGTTGTCTACGCCAATGGCTGAAAACTTTAAATTTAATTTTTTAATTTCAAAAAAATTCATAAAATTTTTAAAAAAGTTTTAAAATTTTTTTTTAAATTAAGCAAAGTGACAGTTAAAAAAAATCAAACTCACATATAATTAAAAATGGCATAATAAGTATCATGTGCAAAAATGGGTACTCCACATATATTAATGTAGCTATAGCTGCACAGACAGCCAAAAAAGCGTTAAACATAGCTGATAGTCCGATGAAAGGCTGAGATCTGATACTGTCGGTTGTAAAACATATTAAAGCACAAAACACAATAAGAATAGCTACCATCCATGGCATCCAAGGAATTAGTAACTGAAATTATTCAGGATAACATACTGGGCTAAGAAGGTTATTTTATTTTGTATGAAGAAGTGGTAAAAGAATAAGGAGAGGAATATACAACCCAAAAAAATTTTTTAAACATGTTGAAACTTGTGTTATCTAAATTTCAAAGAAAAATTTAATTTTTACACCCATTTTAATAAAAATACCCCGCCCAACCCAAAAATTACCCCGCCCAACCAAAAACTATAGATCTTACCTCCCCATTCCGTTGCATTTCATCAGGCAATGCCTTTGAACTTGTAAAGAAAATGTTTGCATCCTTAAACTCAATGTTCTTCATGGCCTTCACGAACTGATTGATCCATTCATCAGCCTCATTCACTGGTGCCAACACATAAACCAAGCGAACAGCTCGAGCTTTAAGAATTGGTCGATTCCCATATTTATCGACCGTTTTATTTGATAATGTAACACCACCAAATACGACGGCATTGTCAATTGTGGCGTTTGAGATCTTTATGAAGGGGTAGCTGAAATAATAAATATATTGTAAATATCTAAAAGTAGAAGCTTTAAAATGACTTCGAACTTTATAAACAAAATGTTGGGACAACTTTTACCCAAACAGATCAGTTCACCATGCCTGATTTTTCAAAATCAAATTAAAAAATATGTTTGAATCAAAAAAACAATCAAAAAGAAGATGTTACTGATCATTCCGCGTAAAAAACAAATGCATAAACGTTATAATTAAAAAACACGTTATAAATTAAGAAAACAAAGGTATAACAATATAAGTTTGCAATCAAATTACCTAAAAAATCTAAAACAATATCAAAAAAACAAAAAAAATATTTTGTTGCTCAATTTTGACACTTTGTCGCTACTTTTTGACACTTCGCAACAAAAAAGGTAAGGCTTTATCTCCAATAAAATGATATAAAACAGACTTCATCTCTAGTAAAGTAATATGAAATTTTACGTTCTTTCTCTTGTTAGTGTCTTCCTGTTTAATATTACAATTTTTTAAAAACCTACAATTTATAAATTAAGAAAAACCATATAAAGTTACAAAAATTTGTTTTTAAATACATTTTATTTTTGAAAAAAGCTTCTGTTTGATATGTTCGTTATACCCTTTACAACATTACCCAAGGCTTTCTTCAGACCAAAATTAACGGTATCGTCCCTAAATATATCACTTAAGATGTTTTCTATAAAAATATCTTACTGTATGTATAAATATGTTTACTGCACCATACTTTACTGTATTTTTCTCCAATTTTTTGTGTTTGTTTACTTTTAACTTTGTTTGTTTTAAAAAAATGCCTCTGAATTCTCTTCGCTTTGAAACATTGAAAAAACATCTCTTTCTGTTTCGTTTGGGTTTGTTACAGCCAGCCGGCTGGCTCTCCGTTTGTTTTTTATGAAACATTGCGACTCGTTTTCTTATGCCCTTTAATCGGGGCTGTACTTTTAAATTGAGGCAATGTACTTTTACGCGGATTCTTGCACTTTTAACACCAACTCTGCACTCTTATTTAAAAGTACACCAATGGAAATAAGAGTGCAAATCGAGACTTAAAAGAACATTAAAAGTGCAACAGTGTTTCATTCGAAGGAAGGAGAGAGGAAGGGAATGTTTGCTGACTAAATGAAACTGCAACTGCGAACAGAGAGAACGGGGAAATGAGAGGGTGGAGAGAGAAGGCTAGAGGGTGAGGAGGGATGGAGGGAGGGGGGTTACTTGTAGAAAGGATAGGGTAGAATAATATAGAGTAGAGTAGGCATTAATCTTATCTAGCTCTTACCTAGCTTCTGTCTCCTCCCCCATCCCCCCCCGCCCTCCCCCAACTTGGTATGCCGTAGTTTTAGCCTGGCGTACTTCCTACCCTATTTGCACCCTAGCCTATATACCACAATAGCCTATCTTAGCCTATATTTTGTTACACTCTAGTTCTACACTAGCCTATTTCACTCCCTCTGCCATAAAAAACATTTAAAACCGTCTTAGGGCAAAAAACCTTAACCTACTCTAACGATTGCTCTAACCAACAACACTATTTCTCGTTTCTCTAACCCACCTTTGATTTAGTTTTTTTTCTTTTTGCACTATAAAGATTTTGCACTCTTATGTCCGAAATGTACTTTTACAAAAGTCCATGTACTCTTATGCGAAGTTGTGCACTCTTATTTAAAAGGACGTTATCGGAAATAAAAGTGCATAGCGCCGTTTAAAGGACAATGGGAGCGGAGTAAATGAAACGTGGTTTCTAAAGATAGGAGAAGGTTTAGAAAATGACGAAGAAGCTTAATAAAGTAAGGGTTTAAGCGTTTGTAGGTATGATACAGCAAAATATTGATATCAAAGACCTGTTCTTCGATCCACCTCCTTCCTATTGTTAATTTAACAGAGTTTACATAATAGCTGTCAAAACTTTAAAAAAATTTTTTTTTTGAATTTTGAAGTTTTTTTTTAAATTTATTTATGAAGAAAAACCTACCGTGCCAAGAATTGTGTAGCCAGCAATGCCTGCGAATCTTCCAATGCATACAAAATTGGATGCATCAAACAAGATGCATTCTGTTCTTCACGGTAACATAGGTCAGTAAATTTTAAGTAGTTATCCTGTAAAATGTGTATTAGTTTTTGGTAAAATACGTCATTGTATTGTTTTACAGTTTTTTTGAAAAAGTGATCAATTTTTGTTATAGGAAGTAAAACATCTGCCCTTGGTTTTTAGCCTTGGCCATAGCCATAGTCATAGCCATAACCATAGCCATAGCCATAGCCATAGCCATAGCCATAGCCATAGCCATAGCCATAGCCATAGCCATAGCCATAGCCATAGCCATAGCCATAGCCATAGCCATAGCCATAGCCATAGCCATAGCCATAGCCATAGCCATAGCCATAGCCATAGCCATAGCCATAGCCATAGCCATAGCCATAGCCATAGCCATAGCCATAGCCATAGTCTTGTCTTTCTAATCCTATTACTATGTATACTCAGACTGTAATGCAGTCTTATTGCTACTAATAGTAAGTACAACTATATTGTTCATTAAGATATCATTATGTAATGACAAACAAATAATGTAAAATACGTTATAAAAGTCTTACTGATCAAAGGTACCCCCTTACCCTACCTTACCGTGACTACATTCTGAACAGTTTTTTGAAGTTCAGCGATGTGTTTCATTTTACTGTCGGTCAATATATTCCCATCTTCTGAGGTATCTTCATAAATGACATAAGCGAATTTCGATCCGAATAAAGAATAACTGTCCCTGAGGGCATTTCGAGGTGGAAATAGGTTCATCAACTGAAATTTGGCATTAATATTCCTTGATTATGCCTGACCCACCCTTTGACTCTCTTTACTTATCAATCCAAGCCTAAACCCGGAAACTACCAACCTCAGCTTCAAAAATAGACCTAGCCGGCTGTTTTTTAGGTCAGTTCAGATCGTTTTTAGCCTAGCCAATACATTCGAAAGAACTCATTTTCACTATAGTTAATAGTTACCTCATGTAAATGCAGCAACGACTCCATTTGATCAGGCAGAAACATTTCCAAGCTTTGTTTTGAAGTATTGAGTTTGGGATCGTAAATGGTTAATGATACAATTGTCATTGTAAACAGTAGAGGTATAGAGATAAACAATAATGGCCAACGAGTCACTACTCGGGTTTCCCACTGAAATATTATTATTACTAAAAAATTGGCTTAGCCTCGGCTTTAGCCAGTCTTCTATTTTTCTACAACACTTCCCTGTTCTTCCAAATAACAAGGAAAGTGCCTGACCTACCCCGCTATGGTTGACTTCAAACTTGTTTTTACAGAAGGTTGATGTAAATGTAAGACCTTCAGAAAAGCAGTAAATCACGCTTTCCAGGAAATCTTGAGAAAATCCAGATTAAAACATTACGTTTTTAATTTCCCGCCAAATTGGCATTGTGTTTCAAGCTTAAAACTTTGTCATTTTTTGACTTTCAATTATTTTTCTTTGATATACTAGTAGAATACCTTTAAATGAACCTACTTTTTTAAATTTGTAAACATAGCTTGTCCGGAAAGTGAAAAAAACTGCTTGAAACACAATGCCAACTTTTTCAAATTGGCGAGAAATTCAAATATTTAACATTTAAAACTCAAAAGCGCGAGTTAAAATTTTTTATGAGTAATATTGGTAGTATAAGGAATTTATATAAAAATTTTAAGCTAATTCTGAGCGGGGCAGGCAGAGTACTTTTCCTGTAAGACGAGCTGTCTAGCACTATGTATAATTCACTGTTAGGAAACGTTTCTTAATGTTAATCTTAGAATTAAAAACTACTGAATTTGTTCTTATACTTACCTCAAAAAACTGAGAAACAGCGAAGTGTAAACTCATTCAAGCTAGTGGGATGCTGTATTACAATATCAATTAAGTGGATTTTTAAATTATGTTATCATAGCTTGAGAGAACGGTAATACAATGCTTGTAAATAAAAGCAAAAAAACCGAGCAAAATACCAAAATACAGAATTCGATGATGAAAAGATACCTTGAAAATCTCCAAAAAAGGGATTCTGAAGCGCCGAGTTTCCTTTCTTAATACCCTACTCGTATTGAAAAAGATACACATAATTACCCCGCCATATATCCATCTGTCTTCTGTTACTCATCCACCGGATTCTGGATTACCCTATAAAGGTAAGTCTTCTCAAAAACTTTATTTACAAAACAAAAAATGACAAGAACTTTCTTTACAGAATAAAAATTGGCAAAAATTTTCTTTGCGAAGCAAAAAATGACAAGAATTTTCTTTACAAAGCAAAAAATGACAAGAACTTTCTTTACAAACTTAAAAATAGCAAGAACTTTCCTTACAAAATGAATATGGCAAGAACTTCCTTTAAATTAGAAAAAATAGCAATAACTTTTTTCACAAAGCAAAAAATAGCAAAAACTTTCTTTACAAACTAAAAAATAGCAAGAAATTTCTTTACAAAACGAAAAATTACTAAAATGTTGTTTCCAAAGCAAAAACTTTCTTTACAAATTGAAAAACGACAAGAACTTTCTTTACGTTATAAATATAGCAAGAACTTTCTTTACAAAGCAAAAAATAACAAGAACTTTCTTTACAGAACGAAAAATGGCAAGGACTTTCTTTACAGGACATAAAATAACAATAACGTTTTTCCATAAACAGAAACTTGCACAAACTTCATTTGCCGAATACAAAATGTAAATATGACCTAAACGGGTATTCTGTAGCATTGGCTGAGGATGTAAAAAGTGTTTGTTATACCAAGGTTTTGCTATACATAAGTTCGTTAGATCATTCCAGACGAGTTCGTTATACATCATTGTATAACAAACTTTTAAGTTTTTAAAACAAAAATTTCTTTGTCATCCCAAATCTATTTGTTACTTAAACCAAAATATCAACTGATCTCCAACACAATAAACTTAATTAACTTTATATATTAAAGAACATTTGGGTGGCTGCGAGAGAAAAAAAAACAGTTTTCATCCGAGAATCATTGTGATTGATATCCATTCTTAAAGCTGAATCAAGTGGCAAGAGAACGAGGTAGAAATTTACAGTAACTTTCGGCTTCTATTCGTGCTTGCTCGAGCAGAAGCCGTGCAGGGCGCGGCTGGAGAAGCGGTCGAGGCGGTCGGCCAAGTCGTCGTTCCATTCCATTATCAGCGAGTGTTTGTTGAAGGTGAGGCCAGAACGGGTCGTGTCTGAGGGTAGCTCGCGGCCTGGAATTGGGGAAACATGAAAATTGCAAAATGTTTAATTTTAAGAGCAGCTTGCGCCCTATGGTTAGATTATGGATTTTTCAAATAATTCTGTGCCCCTCGCCCCAAAAACTTGTTTTGAGGGGGAAGAGGGCACATAATTACTTGAACAACCCAAAATATTAAAAAGCCTTTCTATTATGTTATTTAGTTCAAAAAGTTGTGAGCTATCGTTTAAAGCAAATTTAAAAGTTAAAGGGCTTAAGATTATTTGAACAACCCAATATTAAAAATATGATTTTTAAGCACAATATTTACCAAAAAAATTTTAAAAATTATCCACGACAATTTTGAAATCGTATTTTACCCACCCATAATCAAGTAATCCTCTCGCTCCACCAGCTTAGGACATCCACATTTGGTGGCCTGGCTTGGTACCCACAAATACACCTTGCCATATCGTATTTTATAAGCTCCAGAAGCCATTTTCTTTGTGATTTCATCGATTTTCAACGTGAATCGGTCGAATTCTCCAATTCTCTCCTTACTCATTATGGTCGCTTTGACCGCTGGAAACAAAGTTTTTGTTTATTTAACACTTTAGGTATCAATGTTGCTTTAAAAAATTTTTTAGGTAATTTTATAGGTATAAAATACCTTTTATAAGAGATAAAGGTTTTACTTTATCCTCCCCTCTCCCTATACAATAAAAATCACCCCTCCCTGTAAAAATAAATTTATCCCTCCCGTTTTAAATTTAAGACCAGCAACTTCTTTGCATCAAAAAAAACTCCTCTTCCTACCTTTTATCCGAAAAAACACCCCCCCCCCATACACTGTTACCCCTTCCTTAATCTTTGATATTACACTAGCCTCTTATAAATATTATATTTTCCAGCTGTTATTGTAATGTAAATAAGATTGAATTGCGTATATAACCTCATTTACATCTCCATCCAAATCCCTGTTTATATTATTACAATAGAAACTGTAATAATCCACTTACCGTAATCCCGGCGACAATATTTCTTTTGTGTCAACCTTGATGGAGTGGCACGACATTTCTTTTCGCAAACCGCTAAAATATGAAAATATACTAAATTTTGAACTTTTAATTTTTAAAAACGTCTTTATTTTAAAATTATGCTTTTATACGTCTAAAAACTAAAATTTAAAATTCAAGTTTTCGTGGTGACCCCAAAATGAGTTATCAATGTAATGAGTAAAAACACTACGTTTTATGTTATTTCATCAGTAAATAGCATAAACGTTCTATAAATCTTGCAAAATTCAACTTACGAGTTGGAAGTTCTGTCACATGCGATGTTACAATAGCTGAAAACATGGTAAATTAATGGTGGAATACGATTAATTAATTTTAAATTAAATTTAGAAAAAATTGAGTGTCAATAAAAATCAAAGAAATATGATAAAAGTTCATAAAAAGAGCTATCAGAGCCTAAAGTGATAAAGTATTACTATTATGTTGTTCAATTAATTCTGAGCCATCTAACCATGGAAATTTGCTTTGACCGAAAGCACAGAACTATATGAACAATTTAATATTTAAAACTTTTTTATTTTTTTTTATTTTTAAAATTAGATTCTAAAAAGTTTAAATTTTTAAAATTTTTTTAAATTAGATTTTTAATTTTTAAAATCTTCAAGCTTTGTTTGCTTAATTCGTATATTAATCATGGCTGTTAATCTGCGTGTGCTTCTGCTATTCACAGCTGCAATTCATTAAATTTGCAAAGTTCCCCAGAGGCGTTTAAACCCGAAAAGATATCGAAATTGGAACAAAAGTTTTAATTTTCACGCCTAAAGGGCTTTGATATTAATCTATAGAAGCTAAATTGATATCTTCAGCAACAGGATGGTAATGTACTTAAAGGCAATGTTAATATACAAAATAATAACTTACGAATACAAGGAGTAATAGGGCTCTGGCTTTGTTCAAAGCCTTTGGCACAGCGATTACAAGTTAGTCCAGTCACACCAGGCTTGCAAATACATTGACCGCTGGTCTGGTTGCAGTTCTTTGACAATGATCCTACTGGGTGACAGTTACAGGCTGAAAGTAAACATTTAAAAACTGAAAAAATATTGATTTTTAGACTGTTTTGACAGTTACAGTACCCCATTTTCCTGCCCTGCCCAACTTTTTCCAAAATCACCCCATCCTTACCATCACTACTACGTCTCTTCACCTTCTACATGGTCTGCCGTCCCTACTTACCCTAAATTACAGTACTCCGCACTTTTAAAAACTATTCTTTGAACTTTTTTTTTCAATTTTGAATGTTTCTTTTTGCTTAATAGACCACACATCCTAATTAGGTTTCAAACATGAAGAGACTATTGGAACGCCGCCAGATAACGGCACGGCGTAGTCCCCTCAAGGGAATTACTTTTCCGTGCTGTTCTGGATTTCAAATTTTATAGGCTTTAAGCTACCCTACCCTACCCTACCCTGCCCTATGTGAAATCATCATATATATTAGGATAACGTAAAGTAACTCACGTTTACAAGCCTTTCTGTGAGTAATCGGCTTTCCAATGTCTCTAAAGTATCCCGGTTTACAGTAATGGCAGTTCCTGCCAGCGGTGTTATGTCTACAATTGATACAAACTCCGCCACTTTTGTTACCACTCAATCGATACAACTCCATGTTGAATCTGCATTTTCGGGCGTGAAGGTTACAGTTACAAGCTAAAATGGCAAAAATTAAATTTTCAAATCTTGAAAAGATTTTTTTCAAATTTTTATAATATAGATAGATCTAAAAAAGTATTGTCGCTTTTAAGCACAGTTTTATCCGTTCAAAAACGACAAGACCTTTTTAGAAGCCTATATCCTTACTATTAGTATATTATCTTACTATAAGGTGATTCAAATAATTCTGTGCCCCCTTTTAAAGAAAGTTTTGGGTGTGTAGAGGGCACATAATTATTTGAACAAACTCAGGTAAAAATTATTGTGACAATTTTAAAAACTTTTATTTTCATTTTTGTGATTGATGTAATTAACCTTGTTATTATACCTGACTGTAGACCAATGTTTTCCCTGTATTTTCTCCCGTTTTGTTTGCTCGGACATTAAAAACCCATTTAACACTTTTCGAATTTGAATGCGGTTTATAATGACTTTTACGCAAAATGACCTCATGTATATATGTATTGGTTCGAGGATTACTTTACAATAGGATTTTACTTTAATGTTAACATAGTATTTTATTTTTTCTTTACAACACCAAAAATGGCAAAAAGTTTCTTTATGAGACAAAAAATGGCAAGAACTTTCTTTACAAAGCAAAAAATGGCAAAAACTTTCTTTACGACGCAAGAAATGGCAAGAACTTTCTTTACAAAACAAGAAATGGCAAAAACTTTCTTTACAAATTGAAAAATAGCAAGAATTTTCTTTACAACCGCTTTTGTCTCTCTTTTTTTTTACAAATCTTGCAAAAACTTTGTTTACAGTTTTTAAATTTCCAATATTTTCCGAACTAAAAACGCTATTTTATTTGGCAACAAAGTTTCTTCGTTTTTTTTTCATTTTTCGCACTTCCCTAATCCCAGTGCCATTCATAATCTTGGGCATCGCCTTCCAGTGGGTATTCGCATCCATTATTTATGCAAATTAACAGGCGCCACTTGTGGCGGCCATAAACAACAAAAGACCATAAATACACAACAGTTTACTGCCGCCATAAACATAACAACAGTGGTTACTTTGAAACATAATACCCGGCTGTTACGGTATGTCTGGGGGTTGTAATTTGGTTGCGATGTAAATTACAAGCCTCTGGCAGTTTTTTGGAAATTTATGGGTTTTGGTGACAGAAAATGGATTGTAAAGAAAGTTCTTGCCATTTTTCGTTTTGTAAAGAAAGTCTTTGCCATTTCTTGTTTTGTAAAGAAAGTTTTTGCTATTTTTTGCTTTGTAAAGAAAGTTTTTGCTATTTTTTGCTTTGTAAAGAAAGTTTTTGCTATTTTTTGCTTTGTAAAGAAAGTTTTTGCTATTTTTTGCTTTGTAAAGAAAGTTTTTGCTATTTTTTGCTTTGTAAAGAAAGTTCTTGCTACTTCTAGTCCTAAAATAAAAGTTCTTGCCATTTCTTGTCCTGTAAAGAAAGTTCTTTCCATTTTTATTTTGTAAAGAAAGTTCTTGCCATTTTAAATTTTTCTAGACTTTTTAATTCCAAGAACTTTTTTTTCACACGTAATTAAAATTTTGTAAAGAAAGTTTGCGGAACGTAATTAAATTTTGAACCGCCGAAAAAAGTATATTATACTGGGCATTTGTTGATGTTCTCATGTCACGCTTTTCGCCTAATAAAAGGAAATTAAACCCTCCGATAAATTTGAATATATTTACGCAAATCTCCACGTCCTTGATTGCTTTTTCCGTTTTTCTCTGCTGTCTGTGTGTTTTGCTTGTCCTCTCGCTGCGCTCTCGTTTATTGCGGTCTTCTTGACCGTTGTCTAGCCACACTCTTCGAAACGCGCGCTCTCTCTTCCCTCCTCCTTTACTTTTGGTTTTCTCTCACTATCTCTACTCGCTCTCTCTTTATCTCATACTCTCTCACTTCCCTTCCATATTTCTATGCCTCTGTATGGCCACACTCTCGATTTCGCGCAATATTTTTGTAAATGTTTAGCTTTTTAAACGGCCAATCAAATTTTATGAGTTGTTAATGGTTCCCAAGCCCACCCGTAATTCTCGACCAATGTTTCGGCATCCGGTGGCCAAGAAATGCGCAAAAATTTGTTAAAATTACCCGCAGGGCAAAATCATTTTAAAGTTGGAAGAAACAAATAGATGGAAAAGAAAAAATAAAGAAAGGTTAAAATGACGTCTAGTGATAGAAGATAAGGTAGAACAACAAAAATTTCTTTGTTTCTTGTCACTCTATCCCAGATTAGATATGGCTTTGAGCTGAAACTAAAGGCCATACCCTGCGAAATTCAAAGGGTACCCTTTAGCATCTTATGGCCCATACCGTCCCCAAAGCTATAACACTCATAAAAACACTTATGTTTTACGTTAAAATACTGTAACTTCCGTGCCAACTCAAAATTACCGTCAAATTAGGGTCAAAGTAAGGTAAAAGCCAATAAAAAAGGGTGGTCAAAGAGCTCATAAACATGTTTAATTGTATTTTACTGCTAAACTAATCTTTAGTTTTCGTGTCAAAACATTTTTAAATTGTAAAACATGTTCTTTTTCATCTAAAAAATAACTTTTTTAAGCAATAGTCCATCTAATTTTGGCATTTTTAAGAATAATCGACTTTTTTCTGTAAAAGATAGTTTGAACTGTTTTTAGGGCTTGTAACTTATTTTTTGGACTTAATGTAACATTTCACGAGTTTTAAGATAAAATGGTATTTAATTTTACAAAAGATACTGTAAAATCAGCTTTATCACAAAACGGTCAAAAGGTCATGGCACTTTCAAATATACGACATGAAGTTGAAATTCAAAAAACACACTTTGAAATACGAAAGCTTACTCTGCAATGAAAAACTATAACTTTTACATTACCCATTTGAAAAGCACACTTTTTACTACAATCCTTCGTAATTTCACCTCTATATATATTGAAAATGGCATAAGTTACATTAAGTCAAAGCTCGCCTACCAACACAAGCATTTGCGTCCTCAGCCGTCGCCCGACTCCACGGTCTGTCATAATGGAACAACTTGCACTTTTCGCAATCAGCTCCAGCTGTATTGTGTCTACATTGACATGTATATTTGCCGGTTTTGTCAAATACACATCGAGATGCGTGTCCATTACATTTACATCTTCCTCCTACCGCCAATTCTGATAGAGCGTAGAAGTACTTCTTTTCAATTTTTTCAAGACTTTCAAATTCTGTAGAGTTTGATGAGTCTTCGAGGCTGTAGAGATCGGCCTGGAATTGAATTATAATGAGGATAAAGAGTAAAAGGAACTGTGCGGTAGAGCAATATTATAAAATGTTGCTTTTAACTATCCTATAGCCTAACAAGTATGTAGCAAAAAACTTTGCTACAGTGCTGTTAACAAAGGTGTATCCTTTTAATATCTAACTTAAAAACACCTCTTATCTACCCCTATCACACTCCAAGACTACCCTTTTAAACACCGTTTGTCACGCTCTTACAAAACCCATAGAAAACCTCTTATAACTTCCTCTATAACTCTTCAGAATGCCTTATAACACGTCCCATGTTACGCTTTTTAAAATCTTAAAAGAAGAGCTTATTATAATAATTCTTCTTGTAACCTTTAAAACAGATCTTATCAGCCAGAAAAAAACCCTTATAAAGACGTAGTACTACTCTGGTACCTTTTAAAACACTGACTATCACCTTTTTTATAGCCCTTTGAAACATCCTTTATCACCTTTATATTACTCCAAAACCACTTTTAAAACCACCTTCAGCACCCTTTAATATACTTAAATCCTTCTCTCTGATATTTCTTTAAACAAGCTTTAGCACCCTTTAATATTTTTTAAAAACCTTATTATCACTTACTCCATAACCCTTAAAAACACCTTCTATTACTCTCTAACTTAACTCTTTAAACACCTTTTATTACCTCTTCACAGTAGCCCGAAACCCTTTATCACTTCCCTACAGTATCACCCCAAAAAACAGATTAATAAGCCCGTGCCGTAACGTGATTTCCTTACTTGTTCCGGGCTGTGGCGATTGAATACCACCCGGATGTCGGTGGCCGTTACCCAGTCCTGTAAGACGGGCGAGTGCTCAAAATTATAAGCGCTTGGTCGATTTTCGAGTGTCGCAAAAGCCACCTGATTATTCGATTTGGTGGTAATGTGAGAGTCCGTGCATCTGGCTTCCTGGAATGGCATTTTTAACTCAATTTTTAAAAATATCTGGATTTTCAGGTTTTAATGTGATTTTGGATAAAAAACACGAAATCTTGATTAGTTTTTGTTATAAAATACGACTTTTTAATATTTATTTTTCATTTTGTGGGCTTTTCGAACAAATTTTTAAAATTCGAAATTTAAAAACAATTTTTTTAAATTAAAAAAATTCAAATTTTTGATTTCGCGCCAAAAATTCAAAATTAAAAAATTCTAGTAAATCCTTCTTACCTGCTCATTATGTCGTCCAATAGCCACTTCAGGTACCCTATCGTAGATTTTTTTGCATTCCGAGCTAAAATACTGGAACGGGGTCCAGCTTTTGCCGAAATTGGTCGATTTATAAATGGCCAAAGAGTCTGCGACCTTTGAGCAGAAGAGTAGTGAAATATAAGTCAATTCGAACTTCTTGCCCAACGACAAAGTCAATGTGACGTTATGAGGGTATTGGCTGGTCGGTTCTGATATCCAGCAAGTTCGGTTTTTAGCCGAATTCAAGTCAGTTAGGTAGGAGGCTGGATGGGAGGTTCGAAAATCTTTGGAATCACAAATGTCACAGTGCCCTTGGGTCGAGCGTTTTGGGTCTTTGGCTATGCAGAAACTGAAAATTTTGAATTCAAATTTTGAAATTTAAAATTTTTAAAATATTTTAAAATTTTTTTAATCTAAAATTAAGCCATTTTAGGCTATTTTGCATCTTTTTAAATACCTATATCATATATTTTTTTTAATTTTCATTTCAAATTAAAAAAAAATTTTATATTGCAAACGCCTCTCATTACACTGTATCAAAGCACCCAATAACGCTATTTTTTGCATAAAGTGCCCTTGATATTTGCCTGAAATAAGGGATAAAGTGCGATCTTTGTGCCACTTGAGCCCTGAGAATGGCACTTTTGTCCTATAATCGAATCTCGGCCTCGCGTTTGATCGCCTTTTCTGGGATCGCATCATCCCCTAAAATACGGGCTATAAAAAACAAGTGCTACAAATTGCGCAAACCCACTCCAAAGTTGTCGCCTTTTGTGGATACATAAATATTTCACATCAAAAAGGGGTTTATAGATTATGTAAGATAGGTTTGGGTGTAAAAGTTATAAAAATTGGAATATTTTTTCGTTTTTTTAAAAGTATTTTAGGATATTATGTAAAGCAGCTAATATAAATAGTGATAGTACATCAAGTAGCATAAAATAAGCCATTTAAACTCAGATTTTTAAGCCTTAAGTTAAGATTATCACCAAAATAAAGCATAAATGACAAAAGTTTTGAAAAAAGTGGTCGTATCTGCCAAAAGTTTGTGGCCGTATATCTAAGTTTCTAAAAGTACAAATACCACAAATTTGTGCCTAGAGCATTTCCAAGGTATGCTAATACACAATGTAAAATATGAAACAATTTCATTAACTCATCGTTTTAAAATGACTAAAAAAATTGGCAGAAACCCCTAAATTTGCTTTAAAAATGGGTATTTTTCAATCTTTAGGCTTGTCTTTCAAACTAACCTGAAAATTTTTTATGGCTTGTTAGCGTAATTCACTGTAAAAACATAAAGCGATGGTACTATGTAGTACCATTGCACAAAATTTCTTGAAATTGTCGTGTTAACTACAAAAGATATGAAAGTTCAAAGAGTTTAAGTTTTTCTTTTTAAAGAATCATTTGTCTTGTTTATGACATTTTTGCTTTACCATACTCTAAATTTCATTCCTCTAACTTTACTATCTTCTATTTGTCATTCTTCTAACTCTACTGTCTCCTAAAATTCATTCATCAAACTACACTACAGTACCAACTTCTCACGGATTTCGTTCCAAAAATTATACTTTTCGAACCTTTTCTGAGAACGGTAACCTGCTGAGCGTCCTTTTCTTTGTTCTTTTTTTTATTTTTCGCCTCCCAATTTGCAAGTTTTTGACAAATTGCGGCCGCAAAAAAACAGCCGCAAATTCTGAAGCGGACTAATTACTGCTAGGAAAAACTAGCTAAACTTTGAGGTGGAAAAAAGTAGGTATGAAAAGGATACTACGAACGTTGATGAGGGTATTCAAAATTTTTTTTTGAAAAAAATGAAGTTTTTCTTAGTATTTTGTAGTTTGAATAAGACTAAAAATGATGACAAAAAAGAGATTTTGGGTATGACAAAGTAAGAAATATAGGAAAGGAATTAAGAAAGTAAACAAATTTTTCGTTTTAAGACAACAGGGGGAACCACGTTCAAATTTTCTCAAAAAATATTGTGGTTGTCCCATACCCGACCCTACTAGTACCAAAATTAGTACTATTAGTATCCCTAGTCCTAGAAAATGAGTAGTCCTAGACTAGCAAATTAGTAGACCTATCCTTATCTATTGGTACTAATGGCACCAAAATTAGTACCACTAGTAGTCCTAACCCTAGAGAATAAGTATAACTATCCCAGAAAATTAGTAGACTTAGCCCTATCTATTGTTACTAATAGTAATAAAATCAGTACCATCAGTACCAATAAATTTACCATAGCATCCTACCAAAAAAACCAAATAATTTTGCAAAAAATTAGAATATAGATTTGTCATTCGACTCGTGTTTCGAATATACTACGGCCATATGTTTAGTGACTGATTGTGGAAATTACGTTACTTTTTTTGTTTTCTGACAGTACACCTCAAGATAAATGAAGAAAGACATGTGTAGATAACTGATAGTACTCCTTAATCAATGGTAAGATCAAAGAAAGAGTATATTTGATTAGAAATGTTAAGATAAAACTGTAATTACCTAAAAATGTTAAGGTAGAAGTTAAATTTGTGGTTTTTAGGCCTTAAAAATCTATATTTTTATGTTTAAAATCGGCGTTTTAAGAGCTTTAGCCAGTTTAATAGCTAGATTTTGTTCTATATATCTTGGTTATGGTCTTGTACTTTATACAATACAATTCAGTACTGTACAACCTTTACATCTGTCTCACATTGAATTAAAACACTGCTTATATTCACCATCTTTTCCTTTCCAAAAGTTCATTTTTGTTTCAAAGCCCGAAACCCGAGAACATAATACCCTATATAATACTACAACTTATCAGGTGTTGAACTAAACATTCCTCAAACCGACAAGCCCTTTCATTTTCGGCCGAAACTCGCCCAAAGCCCAATCCATTTTCATTGAACATGACCCCGGAGGGCTCACGTCTCTTATCACCGGGCCCCTATTTGTTTGTTGTGTAACCAATTAGTGACAAATTGCTCGGACAAGATGGATCACCGCGGCCAAATGGTCAGCGGATTTCCGTCCGATATGTTTGGGGATCAGGGGGGATTAGGTTTCGGAACAACCAAACGATCGGTATTACAATGTAAAATACATTATTAAGGAGGGGGGGGGGACATTGTAATAACATTATAGGTATAACAAAAGTTTAAAAACGCGAATTTAAAAAATTTCAAAATTTTACAAATTTTAAAATAAAATTTTTTTTCAATTTTTTTTTCATTATAAATTTTCGTATTTTACGTTTAAAATAAAATTTCTACTCTTTTTAAAACCATTTTTTATAAAAATAATTTTTTTAATTTTCAAATTTAAAAAAAAATTAGTTTTTTTGTTAAAAAATACCAACATTAACTTCCGTATTTTACTTTTAAACCCCAGCTTCTAATATTAAAAAATCATTTTTTAAACAAAAAAAGATAAATTTTAAAATTAAAAATTTTTTAAAAAAATTAAAATCCACCCCAAAACCCCAAAAATCAAGCCCAAAACTCACGGTGCAGGTCCATTTTGGCCACACGTGCTAGAAGCCACAATCGGCTTCCCAAACGCAGCGTTAATAAAATCAGGCACACATCGTACCGGCCGACCGGTGGGATCGTAGCATGGATCCCGATCCAACTCTTTCCTCGAAAACTGAGAGAAATAGGCCGAATCGACCAGAAACAACGAATTCCAGAGTAAAATACAATTCAAAAACGGCTTGAGCATAGTTACATTGAAGTTGTTTGCTAAAATAAGTCGAAAGGTTCTTTTCAGGCCAGCAGAAACTTGAAAAAAAGTGGGCGCGGCCTTTTTATCCGCACTCTTGGGGAGATCCGGCGGAGGGAAGAGCTTATAGGTTGGGGGAAAAGAGGGCGGAGTTTGCGCAAAAAATAAAAAATAAATGTAGTTACATTACACATTACCCTAGCTTTAGCCAAGAGACCTAGCCCTAGACTAAAGCCCAAGCCCAGAGCCCTAGTCCAGAGCTTTAGCCCAGAGCTTTAGCCCAGAGCCTAGAGCTTTTCTAGTCCTAATATTAGTCCCAACCCCAGCTCCAGGAAAAGGCTTTAGCTCTAGATTTATCTCTACCTATTTCTCTAGGTCTAGTCCTAGCCTAAGCACCAGCACCAGCCCCATGACGACTCTTATCTAACATTGCCTTTATATTACCTAACGACAACGTTATCTAACCTCATTGCACTGCACCCCCGCCCTAAACCCAGCCCTAACTGCAGCTTTAGCCCAAGACTCAACCCCAGCTCCAGCCCCAGTCTCAGCACCAGTCCTACGACTCTCCTAATCTAACGTTGCTCTAATATTATCGAGTGATAACATTAATAACATTACCTTCCTCTCTTACCCTAATCTCCAATACACTTTTTTCTGACAACCCATACCAAGACCATGTTTATAAAAACGCGAGAATCGACCGCGAATTGCGAGTGAATGCCCCACGGACATTATTTTTATTGAATTTGCGTAAGAAACGAGAATATTTGCCCGAATTCGAAAAAACTCAAGGTACACGCGCTACTGGACACCATATTTGCATACGCCGCACACTTTACTGCACAGTAAATACCAAATGTGTGAGTTTAGGAAATGACGTGACAAAAGAAGTCTTTTTGTCATTGATCTTGTACTGTACAATCTTAACATTATTTTTATGCAGAAACTTTGTTTACAAGTTTTGAAACTCACTGAGAGCTGGATACCTTAAGCCTAAAAAGATTTTAAGTCTAAAAACTACTTTTTCACGTTGTAAAGAAAGTTTTTGCATAAAAAACCTTTTTTTTAATATTTTTTATGCAAATTCCTTTCCAAAAACGAGAAAATCTGTAATTAAAACCACTTGAGTAATTTATGAGTTCTCACTTGTTAATTAATCCTTCTTAAAGTGACCTAGTTTACAGCGCCATGAGACGTCCAGGATACGCAGATTAATATATACATTGATTATTACTGTCGCTCTAGAGTCGTATTTTAAAATTAGTTACAAAGAATCGCAAACTACAAAAATTTTTATAGCGTTAACTTATTCTACCCTACCCTACCCTACCCTACCCTACTTTACCCTACCTTATTCAACCCTACCCTACCCTACCCTACCCTACCTTATTCAACCCTACCCTACCCTACCCTTTCAAAGAACGGCTTGAGAAAGCCACAATCAGTTAATATTACCTTACCTTTTCGTATCCTATTCTACTCGTGTCTAAGATAGCCCCTACCTTGCCCTACTCAACCTTGCCTTATCTGACTAACTTATATTTCATTATTATATACATGACTTCAAAATTCAATTTTTTAAATATTTTTAGGTAACAAACTCTGATTAGTTCCTGTTTCTTTGTGTTTTGTATCCAATTTTATAAAAACACGTGCTTTAGAAAGAAACCCTTGTTGTTGTGAACCGAAAATTGGTTATCAAGTAACTTGTTATCACACTACAAAGTTTGCTTTTCAAAGAAAAGCATTTTATGCTTTAGAGACTTTAGTTTTAAATTGCTTAAAAATTAAAAAAAAACGACATTCTCTCCCCTTTCGTCTCCAATACTACCAATATACTCCGCTTGGCATGGGCATTATTATTTTTTTTTAATTTACATGCAATATACACATAATAATAAAAATACAGTTTAATTAACTCATAGATACATATTACAACTTTGCTTTTTCAAGAGCGTCGAACAGTGAAGCAGTGACTTCGCCTGAGTTGTCGAAAGCGACGGCTCCAGCTTGGTCGGTGATGCTAGCCCAGTTGTCTCGGACTGAAAATCAAATTTTTAAAAGCTAGAACTGCAAAAAATTTCTTTACAAAATAAAAAATAGCAAAAATTTTCTTTACAAAACAAAAATAGAAAGATCTTTGTTTACATAACAAAAAATAGCAATAATTTACTTTCCAAAGCAAAAAATGGCGAAAATTTTCTTTCCAAGTACAAATTTTTGCAAAATTTTAAAATTCGTTCAGATCCTCTACAATAACATACTTTTCTCAGCAGTAGCGTCAGGAATAACTTTTCCCTTCGACCGGTAGTGTTTGACTTGACCGTACCAGCCAGCTCCAGCCTCGTAGATCTGGCCAGTGTTTTCGTTTTCCTTGGAAACTAAATAAGTGACCAAAGGAGTGACAAAGTCAGGTTTCAATAACTCGACCATGTCCTCAGGCAATACAGTTTGTGTCATTCTGGAGCCAGCTGTTGGGATCAGAGCATTGGAGAAGATATTGTACTTCTTTCCCTCTAGGGCAAGAGAATGGGACATGCCTACTAGGGCTAGCTTGGCTGAAAAAAAGAAGTCATTTTAAAAGTTATGTCAAATTTATGTGCCCTTCCTCCCTACTCTACTCTACCCTACCATATATGGCTGGAGACTTATACTTCAAATTTTTTTTTCTCAAAAATATTTTTTTTTCTCAGTGAAAACCAAAAAATGGCGCAGGAAAATACAAAATTCTGCGCCGTTTTAAAAAAGAGAGCACAATAAAACGGGAGACACTAGAGAAAAGCCTCTCTCTCTTTCAAACGATATTTTTTTCAGATAGCGCCGGATTCTGTATTTTTCTGCGCCATTTTTTAATTTTCACAGAGAAAAAAAATATTTTTGAAGAAAAAAATTTGAAGTATAAGTCCCCAGCCATATATGCTACCCTACCCTAAATTTCTCCGCCCTACTCTACCCTACCTACTTTCCCCTACCCTATTTTCTCCTACTTTACCTCACCCTACTCCAACCTGTCTTATTTCATCTTATCCTACAATATTTTAAGTCAACTCACCAGCCGCATAGTTCACCTGACCGAAGCTACCGTACATGCCAGAGTTAGAAGATGTGAAGACGAGACGGCCGTACTTTTGTTTTCTCATGTAGGGCCAAGCAGCTTTAGTACAAGAGTAAGCTCCATACAAGTGCACCTTCATAATGAGGTCTAAATGTTATTTTAACTTTAGTGTTTTACTTATAAATAACATAGTTTTATAACTTTGTTACCTAAAATCACAAAAAATTCAAGAAAAACCGATAAATTTCAGTGTTTGTTATCTAAAATAATATTTTTTTTTCAACCATGACGTTTTTTAGCAACAAACCATGACTAAAATATAAAAATACAAGCCAAAGTAAAGTAAACTTACTCCAGTCGAGCTCTTTCATGTTAGCAAACGACACATCTCTCAAGATACCGGCGTTGTTGATAAGAATATCTGAAAAATAAAGTTAAAAACGCAAGACAAAACAAGAAAAGGCAAGAAATTTCTTTCCAAAACAAAAATGGCAAGAACTGTCATTACAAAACAAGAAATTGCAAAGACTTCTTTACAAAACAAGAAAAGGCAAGAACTTTCTTTCCAAAACAAAAAATGGCAAGAACTTTCTTTACAAAACAAGAAATGGCAAGAACTTTCTTTCCAAAACAAAAATGGCAAGAACTTTATTTCCAACATTGAATTTATAAAATTTTAAACCCTCACCAATTCTGCCAAAGTTGTCGATGGCCGTTTTGACAATTTTGTCGCCAAACTCAACACTGTCATAATTAGCGACAGCCGTTCCACCGGCTGCCTTGATCTCAGACACAACCTTGTCGGCGGCCGATGTGCTCTGTGACGTTCCGTGGCGATCTCCACCAAGATCGTTAACCACTACTTTGGCTCCACGTTTGGCTAGCTCCACAGCGTAGGTTCGGCCGAGACCACCGCCAGCACCGGTAACAATTGCTACTTGACCGGCGAAACTGATTGACATCTAAAAATTATATTTTAAAGGTAAAAAATATAAAAAACAATATTTAGGTATGACATACCCTACTCAACTTCACCCTACCACCCCAACCTTACCCTACCCTATTCTGTATTGTCTTGCTTTGGTCTGTACTGCCTGAGCCTAGACTACCCTATCATACAATACTCTACCCTATCTTGTCATACCCTATTATGTCCAGTCTTCCCCTGCCATGAAATGGCCTGATCGACTATAACATACTCCAAAGTGTTTTAAAGTTGACTTTCTTCCTCCGCTTTGACCTGCTTCACCTAGCTTTGTTTTTAACAATCCCACTCCACCTTAACCTTACTCTGCTTTATCTTTATTCTGTTTTAAGGTAGCAAACCTTAATTTACGCTACCGATAGAAATTACCCTGCCTAATCTTAACTATACACCCACGACAATAACGCTCTAACTGATATGCAAAATTTTTAAAAGTTATAAACTATTTTTGCTTTTAAATTTTATAAAATAACGATTTGAAAGCACTGATACCCAAGAATATCACCCGAAAAATCATAACAAAACTTTTCTTCAAATCAATACGAAACCACTACTAATATTGACTTTTGTGACCAAAAACAGCCCTTGTAATAAGATAAGCAAGCAATCAAAATTTGATTTTCCAAACGAAACGGAGCCTTTTAAAGCAAGAACTATAAGTTCTCTAGCCGACTTCACAACTTTCGACCAACACATACTTGCGATCACTCGCATAATATAACATATAAAGCATAAGATAACATATAAAACATAATATAACATATAAAACGACAGGCAAAGCGTTTTTCATAAGGCATTACATAAATATTGATTTTTAAACACGATTTTGTTATTATAGCTATTAGGTTTTGAAGGTATAGCAAAAGGCAAGAACTTCTAAAAGACATGAGCAGAGAAGAAGGCAAGGCTTGAAAAGCTGCCTAGTTATAATTACTGAACTTACATTATTATTTTTTTTAATTAAAAAAATCCATTGATAAGTTACTCATAAAAACAGTCTAAAACATTTTTACACAAGACCCTGTTTTATAAAAGTAAAAGTGCATGTATCAAAATCATCGATGTAGGTCTTCAACTCATAAACTCTTCGTTGATTGTTTTGTCTGCAAGCTTTTAAATGTTGTAATAAAGAAATAACTGATTTTACATACTTTACCCAGCCCTATCCTGACAAAGCATGCCCTGTTTTCTCTTACCCTACCGTACCATACTTTACCCTACCCTACCCTACCTACCCACTTTACCTAAAGAACCCTATTCTATTCGATCCTATTTTACTATACTCTATCGTGCATTGCCCCTCTAATCAAAAAAGTCCTTTGCAATATTAGGTTTTTAAACTCTTTATTTTTATTTAAAATTTAAAAATTGTCATTTTACACACAAAAAAAATAGTTTGTAAATAAAAAAATTTAAAAATGTGTCATTTTAAAATAGCTCCTTAAAGAAATTGAAAAAATAAGACAAAATAAAAATGTGTGCTCAATTACAAAATAACTTGTAATTTTACTAAAAATTGTAAATTATGTCATGTAATGGCTATAAAGACAAAATATAATGCAAAAACTTTTAAAAATTTAAAAAATACGTCTTTAAAAAATCAAATTAGGCCTCAAAATTAAAAAAATACATTTAAAAACCAATAAAAAAATTTAAAAATAGGTCATGAAAAGTAAAAATTCGAAAAATAGGTAATAAAAAGAACAGAAATTAGTAGTGTTTTGTGTTGAGTCCGCTGACCAGTCGTTGAGTTAGCGAGTCGATTTCGTTGTTTGAGGTGGACTGGTTTTGGCGTCTGACTTGATCGATTCTCGAGCTGAGGTTCGGGTCTTCGTTAACCACGGACTGAAGGTTTTGGTTGGCTTGGCGTTGAGTGATAGTTAAGTCTGGAAAAGATCAATTTTATGACATTTTTAAGGATATGATTAAGATTGATCAGATAATATAGTAAAAGAACAGTTCTCATTTACAGCAAAAGTAGATAGACGTAGTAAAAGTGAAGATAGATTAAAACTCCATTAAACTCCAGACCCGTACTTTTTGAGAACGGAGCTTTTACTTTCCTTCAAAAAAGTTTGGACACCCTGTAGTGCACAAGCCGGGTCTCCAAAAGAAATCAAAAATGCCGCCCAAGCCATTTTGAATAGTAAAGTGAAAGGCAGGGTAAAGTAGGTCTGTGTTTTAAAGTTTTAAATCCAAAAACTCACTTTGATCACGTAGCTGTTTCACAAACTGATTTGGTTTCATTGAGTTTGGACCGGCGGCGTATGGTGGGTATGGGCCGTAGCTACTGTAACACAATATTCTTAATTTAAAAAAAGTTGTAAATTGTAATTTTAATTATTGATACATCAAAAAATGAAAAAAATTTTTAACCATTTTAAAACAAAAAAAATTAATTTTTAAAACAAAAAAATTTAAATTAAAGATCCAATAAGACAACATACGTCTCCTCAGTAACAGTAGAATAGCTTTGTTTGATGGTTCGAATGCTCTCCTGTTCGAAGCCGGGGATCGTTTGAATTGGCGTGGTTGTAGCATATTGATGGATAAGTTCTTTTGGGTTGGTTACCTGATAATCTTTTTTGATCTCGTAGCGATAGCCTGGCTCACTGAACAAGTCGGCGGTGGCTGAAAGCGAGTTGGAATAGCTAATAATTTTTAAAAACATTTAAAAATATTGAAAAATTAAAATTTTAAAATAATTTAAAGAATATTGTTTGAATTTTTTTAAATTTAAAATATTTTGAATTGAAAAATTTCAAAAAATTAAATTTTTTTTTCAAAAAAAATATTTTAAACTTACTGCTAGCACGACTAGCTCGTCCGGAAGCAGGATAGTCCAAGACGGAGCCGGCTCTGCTGTTGGCTTTGCTTCCCAAAGCTAAAACGAACAATATTATCTATCATTATCATTAGATCTAATGCTTAAACTCAAATTTGAACATTTTAAACTAAAAAGTCTCTTTTAGGTAACATTCTAGGTAATTTACAACAACTTCCTTAATATAATACAAGAATTAAGAGATTAAACCTAGCTCAACTTACGATCATATGGAGCGGCCGACGATCGTTGTGATCCCAACGTACTGTACGGGGCATAAGGCTCGGTGGCTGGTCTCGATGCCAAAGTATTGTAATTCGACGATGGGGCGCTGTTCAGTGTACCATAGTTTGGAGTACTAGCAGCTGGTCCACCCAGTCCAAGTGGATCACCCAAACCAGCGAACGGCGATGGACTTACCGCAGCTGGTGCAGTTGGAGCCGGAGTACTGTTGGCACTCTGAGCGGCTGGTGCTGCTGGTACTGGTGCCGGAGTGCTGGCTGCTGATTGCGAAGCGGCTGGAGCAGCCGGCTTCTGAGAATAGCCACTTTGAGTCAGCGAGTCTCCGCCCGCGCCAGGTGCACCACTGCTCCACGCACGTTCGGTCACACGAACGCCGGCCTGTCCTGGCGATCCCTTTTCGACCACACGTTGTTGGATCACTTCCACTTTAGGCGTCAAATCGACCGGTCCTCGCTTCAGCTCGATTCCATCCGCCGCCACAACACCATCCCCGATAGGCGAGTAGAACATCTTCTTGGGCTTGATTCCGTACAAGACCTTGTTCACGGTCTCCGCGTCGGTCACAAGCTGACCGCCCTTCCAATGGTTCGGAGCCAGCTCGACGCCGGAGCCGACTCGGTCACCGTACCCACCGAAGCGGGTCTCACGCTCGGCGGACTCGCCACGGCTCGGCGAACGATGTTGGAAGTTGCGCATTGATTTATGAGCCTGTAAAGTGGTATTTCTAAGAATGTAAAATGTGACAGTAAATAGTTTTACAAGCTTTTCGATTATGAAAAGATAAAAGAACGAATTAATAGTAATTTTAAAATTCAAAAAAGTCTTGTCGGTTTTGAACCTTATTTTTCACGTCAAAAAACGACAAAACTTTTATGCCAATCTGAAATAAGGTCAAAACTGTGCAAATTACTACAAAATTCAATTCGAACTCAAAATGAACCCAAAAAAGTACTGTAATTTGAAAAGTTTTTCGAATTTCGGTGGGAGAAATTTTGAAAAGCGATCGGAGAAAGAAGGGCCGAGAATCCCCAAGAGTTGGCAAAATCAATTCCTTTTCCCTTCGGCCGCTCTCTGTTTCCGTCTGTTTGTCCGACAACTCTCTTTGATTTGCGTTATATTTTGCCTTTGGATCTTTCTCTGTCGAGTTATAAATTGGATATGCTCTTGAACGTGATTTATATAAAATTATAAAGTTTAAAGTGGCAAAAGAGGAGTTTTAAAGCAAGAAAAATAGAACTGTAATTTAGTTTGAGTCTTTCAATGGTCAGATCACATTTAGAAGCTTTTAAATTTTAAATAGTTATATAAAACAGCTTCATTGGGTTTCATTTTCCCTATATTAACGTAATATACCGGTTTAAAAACAAAATTCTCATTATTATAGACTGTAGATTACATTTAAGCCAGTGTATTTACAAAATTATATCATTTTACTTTCTTCTCCTACTTACTTCATGTTTGACGGTCTGCCATTTCTTGCATTCACAATATCTTTTGTCTAATTTCAATTCATTCCTAACGCTATTATTTCATCTGTCGCCCTCTCCATTCTCAGTACTGTCTCATTGCCCTCTTCAATCCTTGCACTCTCCCCAATCAACACACTCTCTCATCCGGATCGGCCTGAGTAGGCGGAAGAAGCCGATAGGAATGTCTGTCCTAAAGAATCGAAACAACAACACACCCTCGAAATAGCCCCCGAGGGCATCCCAAAGGCAATCAAAAGGAAGTATAATATTATTCATATGCCGAATCACTCGGCTAACACCAGGTTATTCATAGTAGTTAGAGTGTGAATAACATATATTTTGATCCAAACAAATATTTCCACCAAACTGGTCAAAAAGTAAAGCGAAAGATCAAAAAAAGTTTATCAATCAGAAAATATTACCATTAGTTTACACAGTAGTTAGAGGTTAAAAAGTTCACAAAATAAAAATTAGTTACAAATATATTATAGTAAGTAGAGACAAACATTAAACTGAAATAATTTCTAATCACTGTTACCCCAAAAATAACAGTGATCAACTAGTATACAACCAGAAAAAGTTAAAAAATGAAACAAAGTTAAGAGATTAAAGTTACAAACATACTAAACTATTATAAGAACAATCTTACCACCTAGAACAATATAATCCATAATAATACAGTCGAAACTACGAAGAACATGATGCTACGGCCGATGGGTAGTCACAAACACTGAGATTCGGGTTGAAGACCGTAGTCGGTGGACAACTCATGAGCTCAGCCCGACCCCATACACATCGGTAGAACCTGGTGCAGTCGGTTGGGTGAGGAATGTGATCGCCGTGGTTGTGAACAGTACATACCGTATCTTGCTCTGGGTTCGAGTCGTCCGTACGAAGTTGAATGTCGTTTTCGGCCGAACATTCAGGAACGTTCTCCTTGTAGTCACAAGCATGCCGGGCTTCGTTGAACACTAGGCCTTGAGGACATGTTGGGTACTCAAATATCTCGTTACGGTAACACTGAAAAACAAATTTTAATTTAAAATGTTTATAAAATACCAAACTACAGTAAAACCTCAACCAAAGTATCAAAATATACAGAGAAAGTCCAACATATTGCTATAACAACATTAAAACTTACTTGAATGACCCGAGAGCAGTTCTGTGGATGTCTGTAGAAGCCGTCCGACTTGGTCTCACAGAAGAATTCCACGTCGACCTTCTTAACATCTCCAGTCTTGGCATCAGATCTTGGTGCTGTAGACACAGTACATTCCTCTACTTTGTTGGCTGGGACACAAGACTGAGTCTGAGCCGAGAAGATTTGGGCTTGTCCTGGGCATACCATGAATTTGGCTGGTTTCGAACACTGGATGTAATCTCGTGAACACTTTTTGATACCAACCAGCTCCCCTTCTGCTTTGTTCTCGCATCGTGGCTCAGGGCGGAGACCGACTGGGACGTGTACTACTGGCTTCTAAACCAAAGTATTGTAAAGAGATTACAATATAATAAGTTTTATACAAGAAAAACAATTTAAAATGCAGTAAGGTTAAACTATACCCCTATATGAACATTTCAAACTTACACTGTGTTTCTTACATGGCCGCTTCTTCAACGAAATCTTCCTAGCCAAGTTGGTACAGCCAGCCTTGGCCTTGTCCACACAACTGCCATTCTTAGCCACAAACACAGAGTTCGAGTTTAGACACCTGAAGGCACGGACTGGAGTGCCACAAATAAAGAAATCATGCTGACATTTCTTCAAAGCAATCACATGGCCATTAGGGCGGGCTTTACAAACCTCTACAGCGCGGTCAATTGGCTTCTAAAACAGATTTTTAAAATTGAAATCAAAAATTTTTTAGAAAGTTATAAACAACAGCAGGATTTGGTTTATAATCTGATAAACAACAATAATATTAAATATTAATTCTACAACATCACCAACAATATTGTACTCTGCAATACCCACAAAAAGTGTGATGTAAAGAATGTAACAAACATAAACTTACAACATATTCCTCGCGAGGTTTGCAAGGTCTTCTAGGAACGGATCTCTTCTTCCTGTAGGCTTGGTCATACCCGTCATGCTTTTCATCGTCCACTAGGAATTCATCGGCAACGTAATTAGCATCAGATGGTGGGATTTCGAACGCCGAATGAATAAATTCAGTTTGTTCTGGCAGCTCGAAGGCATCATCTACTGGCTCGTGTTCGATTGGCCCGACAAAGTCACTGTGTGCCTGCTCGTTAACATCGTCTGGAACATTGAAAGAGTCGTGAAGTTCACCTGAAACTGAAAACCGTTAAAACTTATTTTTAAAATTTTAGTAAGAAATCCAAAACATTGACTAAAATTTAAAAAATTATATAAAAATCTCTTAAAATTTTAAAAATTATGACCTGAAACTTAAAAATTCAAAATATATAACGTTACCTGAATCCGGTGTGCCAAAGAAAGTCTTCAGAAGTTGACCCAGGTTCTCGTAATCGTGTTCAAACGGATTCCAGAAGCTGGGCGTCTCGTCCTCGCCCTTATGTCCCAAATCTTCTGGAGTATCGAAAGAATCCGTTAAACGTTCTTCTCCAGAATCCACATCAACCAAGGGCACTGGTCTTTCCGGGTCTTGCTTCGGCATCAAATATCTAAATTCCACTCCAGGATTCGACGCTTCCTTAACTCCACCGTGGCGTTCGTAGAAGTTAGCATCAGCATCTGAAGGATAATAGACATTGTAATCTCCATCGTCAACTCCATTGTAGTGGTTTCCATCGTAGAAATGTTGGTTCGAACTGGGAATCCTTTGAGTCGTTGTGGCAACAGTAGATGACACAATTTGTTGAGTTGAAGTTTCTACCAGGTTAGTCGTTGAGGATTCTCCTGAGTTTGCCTCCAACTCTCCCAGGTACTCAAACGGCTCTGATGTTGTAGTAGGTAGCCACTCACCAATAAAGCTGAATTCATCTCCCTCTTCTTGGCTCTTCTCTGGCTGTGCAGCATTGAAGATTGGAGAACGAACAGTCGATTTGCCTTCACATGGTTCTAAAACAAAAGTTTTGTATAAAAACCAATAGATTCACATTAAAAAGCGTAAAATAATAATTTTAAATCCACAACAACCAAAAACAATTTTATATTAACTTACTATCCGTTGATGCACCAAAGTACTCAAAGCCACTGTATTTACTTTCGACTTTGCCCAAATACTCAACCGGAACTTGAGGTTGAAAAGTAGATTCTGAAGATTCCAACGTCTTACCAGTAGACGAAGCTTCTTGTCCCAATTCTCCTAATAACACGAAAGGTTCTGATGTCGTACTCGATTCTGGACCTGCTGAGTCCTGTTCTAATTCACCCAGAAAGTCAAATTGTCTTGCAGTTGTGGTACGCATTGGTCCCAAGTACTCGAACGCCGATGTGCTGGAGACTTCTGAGTTTACAGGTGCTGTGATCGGTGTTGAAGAGGATTCTGAAAAGGCAGTAGAAGATTCTAAGAAGAGAAAAGTAATAATTAATTGCTATTCTTACCTTTTATTGGTCCAAAATATTTGCCATCAGCATCGGAAACTGCAGAAGAAGCTACGATCCGTTGCGTCCAAGACTCGACAGTCTGTTGCGTTGCAAAGTCTACAACGTTTGCAGCTAAAGATCCATCAGATACTGGAGCTTGTGATCCCTGTTGCAATCCAAGAAACTGCGTTGATGACTCTACAGCGTTTGTGGTCGAAAATGCTTCTGAATCCACATTCAGTCCTCCAGATTGCCCCGTGGGTTCTGAGGTTGAACTCGCTAATTGGCCTAAGAACTCGAACGAAGTAGTTGGAGCTTCTGGTCCCAAAAATTCAAAATCTGGAGTTGGAGAAGGCCCAGAAGAAACAGTAGAAGATTCTAAAAAAATGAAAATAAGAAAAACCAACTAATTGTTATCCTTGCCTTTTATTGGTCCTATGTAATCAAAATCAGCACTAGAATCTGAAGAAGCTACAACCAGTTGCGTCGATGACTCAACAATGTTTGTAGTCGAAGAAGTTTCTGAATTCAATCCTCCTAACAACACGAATGGCTCATATGTCGTACTTGCTTCTGAAGCTCCTGATTTCTGTTCTAATCCACCAAGGAACTCAAATGGTCTTGATGTTGTGGTAGGTACTGAACCTAGGTACTCGAATGCCGATGTGCTATGAACTTGTGGCTTTGAAGATTCAGCAGTGAGCGTTGAAGGAACCTCAGGTAAGGCCGTTGACGATTCTGAATGCATTAAAATATAATATTTAACAAAATAACATTGTAACCGACCTAACAAACATTTCAATCTCAAAAGCCAATAACATCGGTCTAAAAAATATAAATGTACTTACCATCAAATAATCCGCCCAGATACTCAAATCCATTGTATTTACTCTCGACTCTTCCCAAATATTCGACAGGTAGTTGAGATTGAGCAGCAGATTCCGTAGACTTAAACGCCTTATCAGTAGATGAAGCTTCTGTCCCCAATTCTCCCAACAATTCAAAGGGTCTCAACGTGGTAGTGAATACTAAGGCTTGTAACTCCTGTTCTGATCCACCAACAAACTGTGTCGATGACTCTACAGCGTTTTTGGTCAAAGATGCTTCTAAATCCACATTCAAACCTCCAAAATTCTCTGTGGATTCTGGGGTTGAGCTTGCTAATGGTCCTAGAAACTCAAACGATGGAGTGCTTGGAGCTTCTGGTCCCAAAAATTCAAAACCTGAAGTCGATGAAGGCCCAGAAGAAGCAGTAGAAGATTCTGAAATAATGAAAACAATATAAACTAACTGACTGTTATCCTTACCTTTTACTGGTCCAAAAAATTCGATATCAGCGTTGGAAACTACAGAAGATGATACAATCTGTTGCGTCGAGGACTCTACAATGTTCGTGGTCGAAGATGCTTCTGAATCCACATTTAATCCTCCAAGATACTCTATTGGTTCTGATTTTGAACTTGCTAGTGGGCCAAGGTAATCAAATCCTGAAGTGCTGGCGACTTCTTGCCCAAGATATTCAAACTCTGGAGTTGAAGACACATCAGGCGTGACTGTCGATGATTCTGAAATCATAAAAATAATAACTTAAATCATGTTAACAAGCCCATAAATCCCCAATTACCATAAAAATCAAGTAAAATTTAAAAATATTTAAAACTCACCCAATAGTGGGCCGAGGTATTCAACAGCTGATGCAGTAGGAGCTTCTGAAGCTTGAATGTGCTCGACCAGATCGTGAGGCACACTGGTGGTCGTGTCCAAGCGTTCCACTGACTCGGTGTCCTGGTCTAACCGTTCTAGGTATTCTCCATCCTCTTTAGAGTCGTCCAAAAGAGGCAGCTCTTCGAATGATTCTTCACAATCTTCGTCTTCTTCTTCTTTGAACGAAATCTCTGCAAAATTACATCATTAAACCTTAAAAAAGGCGTTTTTAGACAAAAATCAAGTTTAACATAAAATACCAAAATCCATACAAGTTGTAAGTGACACAACTAAACTAAAGCTTTAAAATTATATAAACCATCAAAAATGCTTATGAAAAAGCAAAAAAAGATTAAAATCAATTAAAAATTGAGGAAGAATAACAAAATACGACTTACTTTTCGCAAACTTCTGCTGCGACAAGTCCGGAACGAACGAGATAACATGATGCACTGGCTTCGGAGTTGTTCTGCCACGTGACCTGACCTTGTAAGTTGGGTAAGTCTTCATGAACAACGGATCTTCGGTCACTTGTGGCACCGTCGTCGTAGTAGTCGATGGTGTCGTAGTGGTAGTCGTCGTGGTAGTCGTTGTGGTTGTAGTGGTCGTTGTCGTTGTGGTGGTGGTCGTCGTAGTGGTTGTAGTTGTCGTGGTCGTCGTTGTAGTAGTGGTCGACGTGGTTGTAGTCGTCGCCAACAAGCTAAAATCATATAAATTTTGTTGAATTCGAAGAATGTTCAAAAATTTTACGAAATACGCAAACCACAAACTTTTATCTCCGTAACCTTTGTTTTCACAAAGAATTCAGCCCAAAAAAAAGTTCAACGAAAAATTGCCGATATTACACACAGAAATTTTTGCCAAAAATAGTCGAAAACTCCAAGATTTTGCCAAAAAAACATCCCTAATATATTTCCTTCAAAACACAATTCAAAAACACCTCTAATAATACCTAAAAATCAAAAAAGCAAAAAAAAGTAACTTACTGTTCGCATTCAGTCAAATTCCCGAAGTATTCACATCTTTCGAGTGTTTCGGAGAACGCCGTACCACTGGGACAATCGAAATCCGTCTGGATCTTGTTTGCGCACATTCTGAACAACTTCTGGCACGGGCCCACGGCATAGATCCCATCAGGTTTGTCTGCACAACTGAAGTTGTCCTCCGAAAACTGGATCCAACTTGGTGTCGCTTCTTCTGCTGATCCCTCGACGATTCCACTTGCTTCCAGGTCGTAGCCAGAGCTTGCCAACTCGCCGCTTCCAACGTCGAGGCCGTAGCACACGGTGAAGGCTAGAAACAGCCAAGATAAGGGCCGCATTTTGGGTGCGACGCCAAAAAATTCCGCTCGCGGGTGGAAAAACGGAAAAAGGGTTTCGCGAACGAATAAGAGCGCCGTTCCTCGAGGCAAATCACGGTCATCGCTGACGCCATTTTCTGGATTCTTGGCAGTTTTACGGAATTTTCGAATAATTTTGTTGTAAAATTGAGTATAAAATTGCAAAAACTATGAACATATAGAGGTAAAATTGTTAAAAACTTTAAAATATGTTTATTTTGGTTGTTTCAATTTGAAAAATGGTAATCTGAACATTGTGCTTTTGTTTTATATGAGTTCATATACTGAAAATTTTTGTTACGAGTCTTGTGAATGCTGGTGAATGTAAATCTCTCTGTTTCAAGCTTTGAAACATGCATTTCTGTAGCTTTAAACATGGGAACCACTATAACAACATGTCGGCTAGAACTAAGACCATTGAACGGATTTCTTGGCCTTTCTACGACTTTTAACATGATTAATATGCTTCTTCGAATTAGAATAAACTTTCTTTTTTAAAGGATACCTTATAATAGCTATATTACCTTTAAAAATTCATTTTAAACTATCTTGTCACAATTTAGGTAGAAATTCACATAAAATACCATTTTTATCACTTATTACATCTACACTTCGCACAAGCTTAGCATCTGAAGGTAGATTAGTTTATTTGTAGCAATTATACGTGAATAGAGACGGTAGTTAGGAAAACAGTCTTAGTTTAACATGTACCGCGACTCTATGAGAAATTATACAAAATGTTAAAATATAGTACAAAATGAGTAACTTCTAACAAGAATGATACAATATTGTAACATATACGTCAATATGAGGATAAAGCAGACTATAATGTAAAGTATTCACAAAAATCTGAAGATACAACCTTATCACATCGAAATCAGACCAAATAATCAATCATGTAACACCAAACAAATAACTTATGGAAGACACTAACTAAATATACATAATATAACGTGGTTATGAAGTTAAATATACAAAATACATCTCTATACAGCATAGGTTAGTGATAAAGTTAAAGGTTATAACGCGAAGGTTAGAAGCGCCATCTGGGATCCTCGAACAAACTGATGGGGACGGGCATTGGCGACGCCAAAGAATTGCTGTTATTAAAGCCGGAGCCGATCAGTCCTGCCAGATATGGCTGATAGGCGTTGAAGGCTGTGTCCAAGTCGTCATTCTCCTTTCTCGGCTGAAATTCCTGGCTCTTGGCCGTGATTTGTTCGAAGAAAGGCAGTCGAGACGTAGTCCGGGGCAGGGAAAATGATATTTCGGGACTCTCAGTGTGGAACAACATCGGAGACTTAGGCTTCGGCGGCTCAGCGTTCGGAACGGTGATCTCTTGGACGGTGTGCTTAGCAAAGGCGTCCGACTTAATGTTAGCTATAAGCTGGTTCTCTGCCTGTTCCAGAGCAACTAAAAAGACTAAAATTAATATAAAAAATTAGTGATTGTTGTTACCCTAGGCTTCTGGATCTTCCCGCTTTAATAAACCGCATTTTTGAAAGCGCAATTTATATTAAAATCATAAAATTTTGATCGAAATGTTTAATATGACAACAAAGAAGGTCATGATTGTCAATCTACGTATCAATATTATATGAAAAAACGCAATATACCCCGATCTGTCCAGTTATTACCAAAAATTACATTAGTCAAAAGACAAAACTCACTTGAACGATCGCGTGAGGGCGGAAGGCGCTGAACCACTTCAGCCAATGAGATGCTCGTCGCAACAGGGTCTTTATCCAATCGGGGAACGTGCCTCAACTCCACCGGACCATGAGCATACCAGCAATTGAGACCGAACCTAAAAAACAAAATGGACTCAACAAAGATTAAACCTAAAACAACATAGCTTCAGCATAACAAACAATAAAAACTTGGACAATCAATCTTAGCCATATAAACGATAATATCCTTCAATAACTCTCATTTTTAGCAAAATCGCAATGAAACTACTACTAACTCAAACGCTACTTACTTGCAAGGATTGCCTGTGCTCCAATAATCACACAATCTTGTCTTGTACAACGCTGGGTTTTTCCAATTCAACTTCCGATTCTTACCAGCAGAATAAGCTGCCTTCTGTTGAGAATTTGCTGCTATTTTGCTGAAAACGCCAACAATAAGGTATACAAACTCAATTGGCATAAAACTTTGAACTAAACCAACAAATTAAACCTTTTAGTGCTTGCTTTCAACCAAAGGAAATAGTTATAAATATTGTATTCTAAACTTTAAAAAGAATCCAGCAAAAGTTTTTGTCAATTTTTGGTGTTAAAAATTTGTTACCTAAAACTTTTTTGCCAAACACGTTTTATTTGCTAACAAAAAACGCCTAGACTTTTAAAATTATCAATTTATGCCCCTAAACCATTCAAAAAATTTCTTCTTTCGAGAATACCACCAATTATTCTCCAAAAACAACATAAATTACTTAAAAACCAAAGAAAAACAACGAAAATTAAAAACTCACGCTGACCACAACAATGCAGAGCACAGACGATCATTGTTTTGGAGAAAATCCGTGATTCCGTCGCCGTTCTGTGCTTGCCGAAGAGATTCGATGCTGTCGCATTCGCTGGCTCCGATTGACGATGTTAATGATCCCGCCTCCATTGTTCAAGGTTCCAAAATTCGGAAGCAAAAAAAAAACGTCAAAAGAAGTTTAAAAAAATATTTTCGCTCCGACAAAAATCACTAACTTTTGCCAAAGGCGAGTTAGAGACAAGATTTTCGCTTGAAAATTTGTCGCCTGCGAAAAGAATAGGTGTCGCAACGAAAACCACAAATGCCAGAGATTGCTGTGATTTCCTTATTTAGTGAAAATTGTTCTTTACACGTTCGGTCCGCTACTAAAGAAAAGGATTTTTAAAACGGCAGGGAGCTGCGTCCTAAGTTTGCGACCTGCGTGTTTTTGTGTAAGACATCTTATACGATGTTTGTTGCACGAAAAATTATTAAAGTACAGTAACTTTCTACAAAGTACAAAAAAATACAAAACCGAATTACAAAATTAAAGTAATTTACAGTTAAAAATTTACTTAAAAAATAAAATTTATACTTTTCTTAGTTCGGCCAACACTCATTGAAGTAGCTAAATTTGCACCGTATCAAAAACTTTAAAATACTGTAAGAATTTTTTAAAGAAACAATACAATAAAATGTTTTACTAAGTTTATGTATGTTGTAGAAACAACGTTTGTACAAAATATTAAGTTAATATCTTGCATGCTTAACTTGGTATCTATTAAAGTGCTATGTGAAGTACCGTAAAAAGCGTTAAAGTACTGTAACTTTTTTTAAAAAGCAAAATCTAAAAATCTGTCTTTCAAATTTAAAGTACACGTTATCATTAATAATTGGTATAAAAATGAAAAGAAGCAGCGGCTTGTTGGTTCCAGCATCCTTCGGAGCAACTTTTTTTGCACTGAGAAAAACACTTAAAGTACTGTAACTTTTTTTAAAAGGCAAAATCTAAAAATTTGTCTTGCAAATTTAAAGTACACGTTATCAGTAATAATTGGTATAAAAATTTTAAAAATCAGCGGCTTTGTGTTTCCAGCATCCTTCGGAGCAACTTTTTTGCACTGAAAAAAGCACCTAAAGTACTGTAAATTTTTAAATGACTAAATATTTAATTTTTTTTCGCAAAACACGAGTATATTTTGAAAATATTAAAATTCAAAATATTACAATTGGTATTAGAAATCCAATATTTCTCTGTATTATTCAGGCGCGTAAGTTATGAAGTAAACCATGTAATATCGCAGATTACACAGCTGGAACGTTTTGTATAAAACACAATGAAGTTTGAATATCTGATCACAAACGGAATCAACTTTTTTCATGTAACAGAATATTTATAAAGAAACCAAAACTAAAAATACATTACTAGCTCTATATAAGAAACCCGAAGAGACCAACATTTTGTGTTTACTATAGAAGGTGTTAGCTTTATAGAGCGATTTTTTGTGTAAATTAACTTGGTAAGGCCAAATTTTTTGTTTACTGTAAAGCGAGTTGCTTATACAGATCTTTCACTATAGAAAAATCACTGTATTTCACTGAACACGTTATTGAACATCGTCCCTAGGGAATCGGTCACCTCTGGATAGGTCTCTTCCAGGAATAGGTTAACATAAAAAGTGGCTTGCCTTACAGAACAGATCATCTCTAACGTAAATCCCAAACTAAAGTCATTTTAGCCCTACCAAACTTACCTCCGCTTTTTTAGCCTTACCTGGGTATAGCTAGGCTCAGGAAAGGGTAGGAGTAAAGGTAGAGATAGGAGTAAGAGCAGGGAAAGAGGTAGGGGTATAGGTCAAAATCAGGGCACCGGCGGAAGAAAATATAAGAGTAGAAGTTAGGGTAGTAAGGACAGAAGCAGAGGAATGTAGACCTAGCTCCCAAGCCAGACTTAACGTAACCTTCAGCGGCTTAGTTTTTGGCCAATGGCCGGTCAAAGATTCTGGTCCGACATAACGCGGTAAGAGCAGGGGCAAGGGCAAGAGCAGGGGCACGGGCAAAAGCAGGGGCAAGGGCAGGAGCAGGGGCAGAGGCAGGGGCAAGGGTAAAAAAGCGGGTTTGTCTTCTTTTGTGCTAAAAAAGGCGGGTTAGGCTTGTGTTGGGCTAGAAAAGGCGGGTAAGGCTTGTTTTGGGCTAAAAAAGCAAGGTAATATTTTTTCAGCAAACTAAAAAATAATTTAATAAGACAAAAATATTTTTAAAAAAACATAAAAATAATTTTTTCCAAGGATTTTCAATACAGTGCAATGGTCATAATCAATCAATTTTAAAAATTTTTTTATACACACAACCCTGTAAAATATCCTGCCACGAAAACAAATAAGCGCTAAATTATTTGGCATTCTGTTTCTCTGCCGCCTCAATTTCCAAACGGACCGAACGTGTCTTTACATGTAATATGTTCATGATCACTATACGCAGTGTTTCTTAAAAATATATTTTACTGGCAATTTTTAAAACAGTTTTATTAAAATAAAAAAAAAATTTTGGGCCGGTCCGGGGCTTTTATTTGGTCTCGGTCCGCAGGTTTTTGGGTCCGGTCCTTCAAAACACTGACTATACATATTCGTGTTTGTGGTCCTCTTGATCACCGAAGAATCTGCAGAATGTCTAGAGAACAACCTTAAACATGAGGAACGGGCCGGGCCCAACTTTCAGGCCCGACCTAAGTTTGGGTCAGGCCCGGGCCATTCCTCATGTCTACCAGGGCTTGGATTGGTGAAAAACAACGCAGAAAAAGACGCGCTTAAAATGTAAACGGAAGAGTTGCAATGCTAAAATAATAAAGCCATATCGTAGAACAATATTTTTTTATTAATTTACGTTAGCTATCACTGTTTAATGTTTGAATATTGGATATTAATTTTTCCAGGCCTGTTAGGAATACTAACAAATATATATGTGTATCATGGTAAGTGTTGACTTTTATTCAGTAGGTTATGCTTTGTAATATTTAAAATAAGTGAACTCTTAATATAACGAATCGTTGGGGGATTGTAAAATTGTTCTTATATATCGGGGTTTTGTTGTTTCTAGAGTCCTGTAAGAACTAATTTCATATTTTTTGTGGTGGGTTTTAAAAAATTCGTTTTAACTGAACTTTTAAACTAACTTTAATCACTTTTATATGATTTGTTACTGTTGATATAACATTTGGTAAGTTTGCAGATTTCAAAAATACTTTCAACCAAACTGTAGTAAAACTGCCCGTAATAAACTTTGAAAACGCGTTGTTTTACGTTGAAGCATACGTTGGTGGATCGTTGTTTGAGTTTTTAGTAAACACAGGTAGTGCGCTGACTTGGGTTTACAGTAAACATGGAGACTCAACTGATATGCCTATTTATTGTCGGAGAGAAGAATGTCTTAAGCAAAAGTTTTTTACTTTGCCAAAGGTACCATTAGACGATAAGCCAAAGATACTGAATTACATAAGTGGTACGATACATTATGTTGATATTAATGAAAATGTAACGGTGAGTTATATCTTTGTGTTAAACATTTATTGAAAAAGGTTTCGTGTCTTTTAGACACTACTTAGCCCTACCATGTATTTTAGTTAAAAATTTGATTTTTAGTTTGGTGGCGATTTAAAACTAAGGTTGACAATAGGCGGTGTGGTCTACAAGTCTGTACGCATTCCTATAGGTATTCTTGGACTGAGTTTTAGTTACCCACCTGATAAAATAAACATTTTCGACCAAGCCAATGAAGTCGGGGCTTTAACGCCAAACATTTTTACTGTGGTGTTCAACCACTGTTATGTAGGTAAATGTGATAACGGAGGAATGCTCACACTTGGTGGGTTTGATTATGAAAATTGTGAAAGGGTGGAACATTGGATTAGAAGTTTACCTGAGATGCCGTTTTGGTATTTTGTCAGTGATACATTAACAGTTGGAAATATATCACACAATGACGTTTGCGTAGGTTTATTTTAATTTAAAGCAGTTAGTCGGTGCCAAAACAAAACATTTTTTTTATGTGAATTTCAGATTTTAACTGATACTGGTAGTTCTGTCATTTCACTGCCTGAGGATATGAAAAAGTACATTTACAATTACTTGAAAGTAGAAACGGATGAAGAAGTTGACTGTTTTAACGATATGGAAATCACAATCACCAAAGATGGTTTCACATACTCTTTCAATATCAGCCGCTTTTATCAATACTCTTTCAACACTGATACTGTGAGTCGAAAGTGCTACCTTTCTTTGCTCACAAGAGATAAAGTTTGTTTGATTTTTGGTTCTGGATTCATGCAAGATTATTGTCATGTTCACGATTATGGAAACAGAAGAATGGCATTTGCAAAAAGGAAACGACCTTATATTGGACAATACCTTGATTTTCAGATTTTAAACGGTCAATTTTGGAAGCATCAAACGAAACTGTAGTAATTTGATTTATTTTTGTATCGTTTTGTTAAATACTAATTAATAAAAAGTTGTTAAGTTGCTGATTTTTTGTTCGATAGGATAAAACGATATGCAAAAGAAAGTGTGGTAATGAGATTTTTTATCTTTATTTGTAAAAAGTGGCATAACTAGATCGCTTATTGTTTATAATATTTCTTGAAATGCCTTTTATTTTTATAGTGCTGATAAAAAAGACGTTACATTTTAACATCACATGACGCTCACAACGAAAACAAGTAAACAAGCGCGGTTTCTTGGCATTACGTTTTTCTAAAGTATTTCACAAAAAATATTTTTCGAACTAAAAAATTAGATTTGGACCTGAATTCAGAAGCATGGACGGTGATTTGTACGATGAATTCGGAAACTACATTGGTCCGAGTTTAGACAGTGATGAAGAAGATGATAACGATGAGATTGTGCAGCAAGAAAAGCCGGAGGACGAAGATGAGGAGATGAAAGATGAGGTAAGGGGTTTTGTTTTGTGTTTTTGATTTTAGGTTGGTATTTGACGAAGGAATGTTATATTTAATCTTTTTCTGGTTTGACTGAAGAATGAGCTTAAACTTGAGATTTTTGTATTAAATTAGAGGTGCAAAAGTGGTGCACTTGCTTTTACTTACATCTTTTGAAAAGAGTCATAGTCTTGAAAGTTTTTGTGGTTTTAGAATATGGTTTTTGCTAATTGATGAAGAAAGAAAAGTTTTGAAATTTATTTTACTTTTGGAGTTACATAGGATTTATGTTGTAGTATAACTGACAGGAATTTATTCCAATTGGTTTTGTTATAACTAGTTTTGTTACTGACAGATGGACACTTGAAGTTTGTTGTGTTTTTAGATTGCATTTTTTGAGCCAATTTTAATAGAAGGTTTTCTAACATTTACACTACTTTTATCTTGTGGTAGTTTTATTGGACAATTGTTTGTTTTGTTTTTTGGAGTAAAAACATTAACTTGTTTTACCATGTTAATGTTAATATTTAGTTATTTAACATATACTAGCTTATACTTTATACTTTTTTTTTAAGTATAAACACTATATTTACTTATTTCCAGACGGAACTTCAAGTTGAAGCACCGGGAAATCGAATTGTTCTTCATGAAGATAAGAAGTATTACCAGACGGCGTTGGAGATTTATGGTGAAGGAGTTGAGACGCTGGTACAAGATGAGGATGCTCAGCCTTTGACTGAGCCGATTTACAAGTCTGGGAAGATAAAGCGCTTTGAGGTATCTGAGCAAGATCTACCTGCTACTAATTACAAACCTCAATTCATGGTGGACTTGATGCAATATCCACATATGGTTAGAAATGTTGTCATTGCTGGGCATCTTGGGCACGGAAAGGTATTTTGTTAGTTGTTACGGACTGTTTTGTGGATTTATTGTTATGTTTTCTGATTTCGAACACATCTTTTTGGTCAAATATATAGTTATAGTCGGCGTTTTGAATGATTTTTAATTATTTATTGACTAAAATCTATTTTAGACAACATTTATGGATTGTTTGATGGAGCAAACTCATCCAGGCTTTCAACGACCGGAAGGAAGTGATCTCCGCTACACTGATCATCAGTTTCTTGAGATTCAACGTGGATGTTCGATCAAATCTACTCCAATATCAATTGTAATGCAAACACTGCGAAACAAGTCGTATTTGCTGAATATTGTTGATACTCCTGGGCATGTCAACTTTTCTGATGAAGTTACAGCGGCTTATCGGTTATGTGATGGTGTGGTTTTGCTGGTAGATGCTCATGAAGGGGTAAGTTTGATAAAATGTTATAATTCATGTGATTTAATAAGGGATTTTTTTATTTAGTGAATAGATCTTGTGATTCTTACCGTGTTTTTTGAATCAAATAAGTTCAAGAAATCACATGTTGACATTACAGATAATGATGCAAACGGAGAGGCTGCTGAAGCACGCGATTCAAGAAAAGCTGCCAGTGACCGTTTGCATAAACAAGATTGACAGGCTTATATTGGAGTTGAAGCTGCCTCCAAGTGATGCCTACAGTAAGATCAGGCACACATTGGACCAGTTGAATCAAATTATCAAGACTTTTGCCTTGGCCGATTATCCACTATTCTCGCCGTTGAATAGAAATGTAATTTTTGCCAGTTCACGCTACAATATTTGCTTATCAGTGGATTCGTTTTCTGCTCTTTATGCTACCAAGTATCGTAAGTTGCTCGGTGCTTTAAATTAGTAATAGTCTTTGATTTGATGCTGTATTGTTTAATTTTATAGGAAAAATAATGTTTTTAAGGCTTAGAAAGCTATTTTTTAAAATTCATTTACGAAAATAGGCTTAAAATTTTAATTTTTATACAAATGTATCCAGAAGACTAATAATATTGTTGTAGCCACGATTGATGTCCAAAAGTTTGCCGACCGTTTATGGGGAGACTTTTACTTCAACACAGAGACCAAGAAGATTACAACGAAAGGTGGCATTGGCATAAACAGAACGTTTGTTCACTTTATATTGGAGCCTTTGTACAAGATTTTTGCTCACGTCACAGGAGATGTGGATACGTGTCTACCAAGATTCACTCGAGAAATGGGCATCAAATTGAACAAACATGAGCAGAAAATGAACATTCGACCGTTGATTGCACTGATTTGTCGACGATTCTTTGGCGATTTTACTGGTAAGAACTATTTTTTAATTTGAGGTGAATGTTGCTTAGAAAACACTTTGAACATTAACCAGGGGAGGGATTTTTGGGTGTGGTTTTGGCTATATTTAATTTTTTACGGGCTTTTATGGTTATATTATTTTTTAATTTTGACTAGAAATCTTATTCTTTAAATTTATTTTTTAGCTTTTGTTGATATCGTGGTGAACAAAATCCCATCCCCACTCGAATCGACCGCCAACAAAGTTCGCCACAACTATGCAGGTGTAACTGAAAGTCCATTAGCTCAAGAAATCTCGAAATGTGACAAGAATGCCGTCCTCTATGTTCACACAACCAAGAACTACCCAACAACAGATGCCACATCATTCCACGTTTATGGTCGCATTATAAGTGGCACATTGAGGGCAGGAGAAGAAGTCAAATTGTTGGGAGAAGCATACTCTATTCAAGATGAAGAAGATTGCCGGATATTACCTGTGGGGAGGTTGTGGCTGTCTGTTGGTCGCTACAAGGTTGAAGTAGACGCTGCTCCAGCTGGATCTTTGGTTCTGATTGAAGGAATTGATCAGCCCGTATCGAAGACATGCACAATCATTGAAAAGGACTACAATAATGATGAGGTAGGTGGACTTTGTCGAGTAAAGGAACGTTGTGCGAGGAATCGATGAGAAACGTCATTTTTTAAAACTTTGGTTTATGTTGGAGATTTTTATTAAGATTTTTATATAAAAAGCATGGTTAGATTACTAAAACAACATTTTCATCCTTATATTGGGCTTTTTGATTAAAATGTGTATATAAAAAGCGTTGGAAGATTACTAAAACAACATTTTCAGATCTACATTTTCCGTCCACTTCGATTCGACACGAAGTCCGTGGTAAAGCTGGCCATTGAACCGATTAACCCATCCGAACTGCCAAAAATGCTGGATTCGTTGAGAAAAGTGAACAAATCTTACCCATTACTAACGACCAGAGTCGAGGAATCTGGAGAACACGTTATGTTGGGCACTGGTGAACTATATCTGGACTCGGTTATGCACGATATGAGGAAAGTCTTCTCGGAAATCGACATTAAAGTAGCGGATCCAGTGGTCAGCTTTTGTGAAACGGTCATGGAAACGTCGACTTTGAGGTGTTTTGCTCAGACTCCGAATCAAAAGTAGGTTGTTATTATTGTACTTTGGGAAATGGGTTTTGTATTGTTGTTTTTTGTATTTATACGGCATGTTAGCGATTTTTGGGAGGCCAAATTTATATTACAATACAGTTATAAGCTTAAAAATGGCATTTTATGTTGATTTAGGCGATAATTTTGGCAGGAAAAGAGTTTAAAAAGGTTTTTTAAGAAAAATTTGATGTTAATTTAAAATATGATCTGAAAATGTGTTTTAATTTTAAACTTGGATGTTTTAGGAACAAGCTTACGATGATTTCTGAAGCATTGGAAAAAGGATTGGCCGAAGATATTGAAAATGAAGTCATTAACATTGGTTGGAACAGGTAACACTATTTTTTACATTAAGGTGGACTCTAAAGTATAATACAACAAGATCACAATGCTTTTTTTAGAAAACAGCTTGGCGATTTCTTCCAAACCAAATACAATTGGGATTTGTTGGCCGCTCGATCGGTTTGGGCATTTGGCCCAGATCTTACAGGCCCAAACATTTTGGTAGACGATACCTTGCCCTCCGAAGTCGATAAACAATTGTTGGGCACGGTGAGAGAATCTCTGATCCAAGGCTTTCAATGGGCATCGAGAGAAGGCCCATTGTGCGAGGAACCGATGAGAAACGTCAAGTTCAAGTTGTTGGATGCCAAGATTGCGGATGAGGCTTTATATCGAGGTGGTGGTCAGATTATTCCGACTTCCAGGCGGTGTGCTTACTCTGCTTTTTTGGTGAGTTTGGGGTTTGATAATAAGGACTTTGCATCGACGTAGTATAAAATGATTGCCTTATGAAGAGCCTAGCTTAAATTTTTGGCATAGACAAGAGCTTGGTTGGAATATTTATTACGACATTTATTTATGGCACCGTGTTGGGTCGGGAATTTTACAGGTTTTCCGATTTGGAATAGACTAATCGTTCGAATTTTAGATGTCAACACCACGTCTAATGGAGCCCTACTACGCGGTGGAAGTGATCGCTCCAGCCGACTGTGTTAGCGCCGTCTACACAGTTCTCTCGAAGCGTCGTGGTCACGTAACTCAAGATACGCCCATACCAGGCTCTCCACTCTACAAAATCAACGCCTTTATTCCGGTGATCGACTCGTTTGGCTTTGAAACCGACCTTCGAACTCACACCCAAGGCCAGGCCTTTTGTATGAGTGTCTTCAACCATTGGCATCTGGTTCCGGGTGATCCGTTGGACAAATCCATTGTGATCAACCCTCTAGAAGTACAACCGGCTACACATTTAGCCAGGGAGTTCATGATCAAGACCAGAAGACGAAAGGGATTGACGGAAGATGTGTCTGTCAACAAGTTCTTCGATGATCCAATGTTGGTCGAATTGGCCAAACAACAAGATCTCTTTGTTCTTTAGATTATCCCTAATTTCTGATATTGTTATTGGCTTTGATAATGTGTGGAAGCTTGATACTGTTGTGAATCTGATCAATTTGAATGTTAAATGAGTTGATTTTGACATTGTTAACATAAAGTTATGAATCTGTTATTAATTATTTTTAATTTAAGAATAAAATATTGAGTAACTTATCGTAAGCTTGTCGCTTGGAGAGATTAATTTTGTTTTATAACATACTTTGGGGTATTGTGTTATGTGGTACATATAAGTTGTATTTTTGTGTCATTAATATCTATATTATTATGTTGGTTATCATTTTGGTCTTGATTTAGATGTGATTTCTGGGGAGTATGCTTGATCCCGGTTGATTTTGACGGCCGGAAAGCTAGACTATATTTTTATTTGTTACGGTTGGTAGTTTTTCACTTTTTTGGTGATTTTTAAGTTAAAATCGAAATTTCGAAAATATTTTTAAAATTTTGCAAAATCTTACATTTTTCGATAAAACTTTTTAAAAACCTATTTCTCGTCATCAAACTGATAAAAAATCATCTTCACCACGCGATTATTTGATATATCCGGACGTTCGTCGGCGCTTTCACTCGCGACGTCTTCGCCACGACCTTCAGGTTGTTTCCCCACCCGCCGAGTTTTATCTCTCGTCTTTTGACGAAAAAACGAAACAAAAAAGTGGGCTGATCCACGTGAACTTGAGGACTACAGTAGACGGCAAGGTTACGAAATTTCGCGAAAAAGTGCGGGAATGAGGGGAAATTTTGGGTTTTTGAGGTTCGGGAGAACTTGAAAGGCTTTGTGGTGGGTTTTGGTACTGTGAAAAGATGGTGTTGGCTATGGAAAATGGGATTTTGATTTGATGTAGCTCTTGATTGGGAAGAGAGGATTTTTATGTGGAAAGGGGTGGTTTTTTGTTTGAGAAGGAGTAATTTTGATGTGGCAATAGCTGGTTTTTGAATATGAAGTGGTAATTTTGATGTGGGCAGAGGTGATTTTTGTTTAGGAAGGGTGACTTTGGTTCAGAAGGGGGTGATTTCAATGTGGAGAGAGAGGGGTGAGTTTGGTTCATAAAGGGTGATGTTGTTTGAGAAAGGTGTTTAAGATAATACATCTACGTTTTATCGAACAATCATACAGGACTCTTGGCAACTATTTTATTTACTTTATAAAATGGGATTTTAATGTTAAAATGGTCAAGTTTGGTCTAGGGAAGAGTAGTTTTGCTTCGGAACACATTTTTCTTTATTATAAGGCTTATTTTTGATCATTGTTTTCGATTTTTCGCAGAAGTTTATACAAACGATGACAATTTTGCATTTTGGGCTGGCGTGAACAATGTAAGGTAGAGCGGCAAGCACTGTCAGTCTAAAAACGATTTCGTACTATACAGTTCTTACTATAGTACGATTACAGGCTTAGTCAGAGTATGATGAAAACTTGAAAATAGTATGATCACAAGCTTGATAATATCACACTAAACTCGTAGACCATTCTCAACAAAAGGCTATTCAAAAATCGTAGACCATTGAGAACATAATATTGTTTATAATCTATAGGCCGGTAGACACAAAAACGACCTTTCTGTGAGACCAAAGTCAACGAAGTAGCACGCAAATTCCAGAGACCACAAACACCCAAAATAGCACTGGAATACGAGAGAGCACGAGAGCAGTTGAAGCGCCGAATGGCCTTGCGACGAGCCAACACGCGAGGCATTCACTCGCCCCGCCGGAAGAGAGCGCGGCCGGCGGAGAGGCCGCAAAGAGGGGGGCGCGCTGGTGTCGCGGTGGGTTTGGTCGCAGTGCCTGGTACCAGCCAACACTTCACCCCCTTGCTCTTTCTCTCCCCCTCCCGTCGCGTTTCTTTTTTCGTAACGTGGGGCGAGGAACGTCGCTCACAACGTTCCGTTCCGTGTTCACCTGTGTCCTCAGCACCGCTTGTTTTGAATATTTTTTGTTATTTTACGTGTGTTAATTAGGCCTGATTAGTTTTGCAATCTGGGCGGATATTTTGGTGTTATTCGGGATTTTTTGGTTTGGCAGGTTTGGTATAGTTTGGGCTGATTTTGTCGAGTTTGGAGGGGTTTTACTGTAGGTTTGGAGGGCATTTCAGTGGGGATTTTAGTGGTTTAGGTAAAGAATGACCTCAATTTTAATGGTTTTGAATTTGGAAATGTTATCATGATTATAGCTTTGGGTTTTTAAAAATTTTTAGTGATTTTCCTCTTAATGATTAGTTTTTTTGTTTTTTATAATTTTTAAAAATTTTATTTATTCCTTATAATTTTTTAATTTTTTTTGTTTAAAATATATTTATAAGTCAAAAATTCATGTACTTCCAAACTCATTTTCGACGTTTAATCTTTAAACCATTGCCGGAGGCTTTTACAATTGTTTTTACAACACTATCGAATTCGAATCCGCTTATCTTTGCTCACACAAACAACATTTCTTTACAATACTTATTGCAATGACATTTTAATGCCTATGGCAAAGTTGTGAAACATTTTTTTACAAATTTTAATAAAATTTGAATATTTATGACATTTTTTAAAAATTTTATTAAATTTCCGGTATTTATGAAATTTTACTATCGACGACATTTTGACGCGAATTTTTAGTATATTTAATGTTAACTACGATCCCTTTTTCAATACTAATTAAAATAACATTTCAGTTGTGTTATGCTACAATGACTACAATGTACATCTCGAAACTGTTGCTGATCGTCGCGTTAATCGGCGTTGTTCTCTCAAAAACCGATGTCCCCACCTTTAACAAAGATTCTACATTAAAGGCTCAGAACCCAGCCAAGAACCTTGATTTATCGACCAAAAAAGCCGACATCTCAGCGAAGAATCCGGCTGTATCGTCCAAGAAATCCGTAGCTAGCACGGATACCTGTCAAGAGATCGAAGCGGCTTTCCAATCGGTGGTCGAAGCCAACGAAGAGCCGGCTTGTCGTTGTATGCCGAAAGGATTCGGCGGCCACGATGACGAGGGATACGTGTTTGTTGGCTGTACTCGCCAGAACATGCCTTCCATCTACAGGGCGTTGAACGTGCTGAACGAGACCAACATGACCCAGTTGAAGATCTGGAACTCGTTACTCAATATTCTGCCGACTGATCTGTTTAGCAAGGTAAGCTTGACATCAGATAACGATGTTTATTTAGAGTAACAACAGGTTTTTATTCATTTTTTGTAATGTTATCCCACTTTAAACTCGGACTATATGTCCGAAAAAGTGTTTTTTGATCATTTCAGTATAACAACTCATCTTCCTTGATCTAGTTCTTTAGTTGTTTACTAAGAGTTTTGAAATTTTCCATTTCCGCCTATAATAAATTGTAAAAAATGTAGATTTTATAATACAACAACATAAAATGAGTTTTTTTTCAATGAAAATATAAAACAACTCTTTCAGGTCCGACCAAAGGTCTTGTCCATCGAAAATTCGGGCGTAAGCGTCTTTCGCAAAGGCGCCTTCTCCAACTTGGGCTCCCGCCTCCAAAGCCTCTACCTCATGAACAACATCCTCAAGAACTTTGACAAACACACCTTCAACGAGCTGTCGAACCTGGAGATGCTGGACATGTCCGGCAACAAACTCAGCGCCATCAAAGCCGACCAATTCGGACCATTGGCCAAGCTGGAGCACCTGCATTTGACCAACAATCAGATTCAGGAAATCGAGAACGGAGCTTTCGCTTTGCTGAAGAACTTGAAGGTCTTGCATTTGGCTGGGAACGCCTTGAGCAACATCACCAAAGACACTTTTAAGGGATTGGAGAATTTGGAGGTCTTGCAGTTGGAGAACAACAACTTGAAGAACATTGATGCTGGTGCGTTCAGTGGAATGAAGAAGCTCAAGGTTTTGGACTTGGGTCACAACAGCTTGCACAATGTAGGTTTTGGATTAGAAGTTTAATAATTTTTGACTAAAACTTCAATTTTATTTTTATACAGCTAAAACTACTGAATCCATTATAAAAAACTACATTAAAATCGATATTAACCAAGCCTCATTTCAGATCCAACTCGAATCCCTTCCTCAGCTCGAGACCCTCCTTCTCAACAACAACAAGCTCCAGTCAATGAAGAGTGTCACCCTGAAGAGCATCCCCAAGCTTTCTACCCTCAACTTCGACAACAACAATATCGTTCAAATCGCTTCTAATGACATGGACTATCTGACAGAGAGTCGTGAACTGAACTCATTGTCCTTCGTAGCCAACAACATGACACACATCGACGCGTCGGCCTTCCGCTACTGCCCAAAACTCACCATTCTGTCACTTCAAAACAACAACTTGACCTCATTGAGCAGTGTACCAAAAGGCGGTAATGGTGCCGTTTCTTGGCTGAAGCCCTTGACCAACCTTAAGAGCCTGTTCCTCACCTGGAACCAGATCTCGGTCCTGAAGAACGGTGAACTGAACGTGATTCCGTCGTTGGAAGAGGTGAGCATGGATCACAACAAGCTCGGTACCATCGACAAGGAAGCACTGACCGGTCTTCAGCTGAAGAAGTTGTTCTTGAATGGGAACGAGCTCTACTACCTGCCCGAAGGTCTGTTCCAGGGCTGGAACACCGAGAACATTTACTCTGTCGACTTGGCCGAAAACCCATGGGAATGCATTTGTGGCCACGAATGGATCGGAGAATGGCTACGCAAGCTCGGCGACCGTAGCACACCTTCCGGTAATGTAGGGTGCTTGGCCTATCACTGTGGTAATGATGTGGAGGAGACTCCGAAGCACTCGGCCTGGATCACGGTAGTCGCCGGCATCCTGGCCTTTGTCGCTCTACTGTTCTTGGCCGCCATCGCCTATCTGTATATTCAGGAGACGTGTGGAAGAGCACCAATCCCGCTGAAGAGGATCCCCAGCGATATGGTACGACTGATTCCGTCGATGGAAAGCCTATCGTTCCCGAATCCGGTAGCCGGCGAGCTGGGCAAACCCATCATCAAGCCCACGACGCCGCCAGAAGACGGCAAGAAGGACGAGAACGACAAGAAACGAGTACGATTCAACGGCGTGTAATAGTGTTGTGGTATGAGATGGTACTTTTTGTGAAGTAATCCTAGGTACTTTTTGTTAAATGGTACTTGGTACACTTTTGTTAAATAGTCGTAGGAGCCTTTTTGTGAAATGGTCCTACATACCTTTTTATCACAAGCTACTCGGTACCCTTTCTAAATCCTAGTACTATAACTAAAATACCATCAATACCCCTAACACTCTTATATATTTTGTTTTTTTCGTACAAAAGTCATACCATAGAAAAATACGACCAGAAGCGTATGAAATTGCCAGTGCGGTAATCATTACCATGGTTGAGGTAGGGACTTTACCGCCATGTTCTTCTTTAATAGGCACGCGCTCAGTTTAACCAATAATCTCTGTTTGAGAGCGTCAAGATCTCCACTCCTCGTGTATTATATATTGTTGTACTTTGGCTGAATGCCAATATTGATTTTTAAAAATATTACTTGAAATTTACGAATTTTTCGGTTTTTAATTATATTGTTGTAGACCTATTATCTTTTAACTATATTATTGTAGACTTTACTATCTTTTAACTATATTACTGTAAACTTTACTAATTTCTTTTTTATTATTATCCATTCTTTGACTATTATATTGTTGTATATATCTTATTAACCGGCTTGATGTTGTTTCGCAGGGCCGTCGCCTTGTTTCGTATTTATTATTACTTGTAATTAAGAAAACTGGTCAATTGTTACATAATATACATTTTATGTATTATTTACATTTATAATCACCGAATAAATTTATTTGTTGAGATGTGTTTGGAATCGTCGGGTTACAGAATATATCTTTTGAGAAAATAGGTAAAAGTGGATTTTACAGTAATAAAATGAACTTTAAGATCATTACCATACTAAATAACAATCGACAGGTCTATATGATTATAAAGAAGGCCCTATTTAGTCGATATCAGTTGATTTCACATGTAATTGAGACCATAGAAGTAAGGTGATCCGTTAATATACAAGTGATCTGCAATATAAACTAAAGGTATATACAATATTTAGTACATTTTGGTGCGTTTCATAATGACTTTGAAGTCGTTTTCAAACACCTTTCCACGTTTTGTCAGGTCAGCAAAGTGGATCATCTCCTGTAACACAAAAGGTTTACAAAAGCAGTAACTTTCTTTACAAGAAATAACACAAATTGACTTAAATTTAATTTAGAAGTAAAAAAACAGCAAAAACTTTCTTTACAAACCAAGAAGACTAAAAAACATGGCCTTACCCACAAATCCTTGTCCTCAATCTCATCTTCACCTAACTCCCTTGCCACTCTTTTCAAGTCCGTGAAGTTAATGAATCCTTTGTTCTGAACATCGAACAACTCAAAAGCACTTCTTATTTCTCTGCTACTGTCGTCTCCATCAGATAACTTGTCATCCAGAATGTGAATTAGCTCTCCCAGTGTAAAGGAGTCTAAAACAACATAAATTTTAGGTTTTACGATGGTTTTTACGGCTTTAAAGCTTTTTAGTGGCTTCGAATTACCATTTTAAACATTTTTCATGTTTAATATAGTCATCGTGTGCTCAAAAATAATTTTTCATGACATCTTTCTCAAATTGAAACCTAAAATTAAAGAAAAACGTCAAGAGATTCATACCTGAACTAACTCCTCTTGCGACTTCATTCTCGCCCATTTTCTTGATCAACCCGTCGATTTCCTTTTGCCTCGGCTCGAATCCCATAGCTCTCATCACAATCTGAAATTCCAAATTGATAACACTATTTTCATTTAAAAAATTTGAAGAATGTTTAACAAGAGCAGTACCCCATACCTACAGTAATATTTTTATCCCTTTCTTATTATAGAACAAGTAAATTTTGGAGTTCAGCTAAAAATCTAGGCTTACCTTCAAACGCTTGATTGAAATAAAGCCAGTTTTGTCCTTGTCACAGGTATCAAAAGCTTTTTCCACTTCTTCTTTTGTCAAGACTGGCTTGTTCTTCGTGCTCACGGACCTTCCACTCATTTTGTAGAATGTTTAATACCTTTTGACTAAAATACTATAAAGAATATAATTTTACAATACTTTAGTTAAGAAAACCTAGCGTTTAAAACGCTTTGACCGGCAAAAAATGAACTTTAAAAAAGTAAATCACCTTCAACCAATATCACAAGTATCTTCTGACGTTAAAACGCCTTTTCCAACAACAATTCCCCATTATTAATCGATATTTATTTACAAATCTTTAAAGATAATAAATATACAAATGCTTATAGTTGAATAATTATGCTTCGGTTTTTTGAGATCGATCGCCGTTACTTTGATTCTGATTCCTGCTTCTATTCGGACGCATAGTCTTCATCTGATTATCACGACACTTTCGCAAGAAGTTGATTCGCGACAAGGCTATCATGACTTGGCCAAAACAGCCTTGTAAAGAAATTTTCGCTTCGTTTTTCGTAAAGTTCTTGCCAACATTAATGTCACAGCGATGAGACATTCTACGGAGCTCGTTTATCTGAAAAGTTAAGGCCTTCTAAAGTAAGCGACAAAAAGTAACGTTTCAAAAGGATTAGAGCTCGAAAGCCTTCAATTTTTGGAACATCTGACTAACACTACCCACATTAATATCATTACTCCCTTATAAATCCATTTTCAATATAAACTTTAACATTATATCCTAAAAACTAAAAAAAGAATCAAAGCTTTACATGTTGTCCATTTTTGCCAATAATCAATCCAGCCAATGAAGACGGGACCAGGAACTCGACTCGCAGCACCATATTTCCAAATGGAATGTTTCGAACTTCAGCTGATCGTTGATAAATCCAGAACAATGCCTAAAACCATAAATATAAACCAATGTTCGCTTTTACGCCTTATTCCTTCAAGTTATATTAAAAGTAGTTCGTAAAATTCAGAAAATCTTAAAGCACGGCTTTTTAAAAGCAAGTGTAATATCAAGCCACAATTAAATCGTCTTCTAAACTAAAAACCTTAAGTTCACAAAACAAAATATGATTAACTTACTCTAATAATATCGTCGTCATAACCAGCAATAGTAACCAGTCGTTCAAAGTCGTCTGACGAATTACTGGCCTTGGCAGCAGCCGCCGAATCCAAAGCCTGATCCAAAATTAATCGACTCAAACGTTCGCTGTATTCGTCAATTGTGTTTGGGATAACATCATCTTTGCTTTCTTCGTCTTTGCTTTTCTCTTCTTTCGCCTAAACATCAACAATCTATGAATAAACCCAACTTACATTTGGGCTTTTAGATCTGATCTTGTCCGGCTCAACTGTGACATTGGCGCAGGTGAGTTGTTGAAGAAGTTTGACATAAGCTCCCTTAAAAGAAGTTACTAATATCTACAATATCCTTTCCTTCAATTTCACAAAGAAAAAGAAATTAAAATCCGCTCAAAAATAGAAAAGAGAATATTAACTTACTTTGCTGCCAATAATAGCTCCAATCAAAGAATTAGGTATAAAAACGCATACACTTTTAAGTGCAATTTCTTTCCGCAACTGTGGTAAATGCATATAACCATTTTCCAATGGATTCATGGCTGTTGACTTGGTCTTTTCGACTGTTTATGGCCAAAAAAGCAAGAATTCTCGGCCAAAAACAAGGCTGAAGCGGAACGCCAAAAAACAAATATTGTGTCGAATAACGCGGAAAAGCGGGTGTTTGAAACAAAAGACGGAATTTAATGATTACAAATATTGAAAATTTTTTATTTTTTTTCAACTTGCTATCTTTGTTGGCTTAAAAGGCTAAAAATGATGTTTTACAGTTTTCCTTCAATTAACACACTTTTCAAGTTTAATTGCCATTCTTTATTTGAAATGCAAATTGAACCCTATGAAAAGCAGTCTTCAGTAACATTAATGTTGTTATTTCTCGTGGTTTAAAATGAATTTCAAAGCTTTGTCATTGCTTTTTCTTTTGGTCGTAGGAGGTTATGCCGAAACCTACAGAGAATATTGTTTGTCGATTGCCAAGTTGGTAGATGCCATAATTAATTACACAGAAAGTCCGGAGATCCGTGATCAAAAATTGCAAGAGGAAGCCAATGTCTTTTTGGAGTACAACAAGGTAAATTGAAGTTATTGTTAAGATGGATTTTTTGGTGGGGTAGGGAGAGGATAGTAGAGGCTTTGAAAGCTTTACGAGTATATAGACTAGGGCAAAGGTTAAGGCTAAAAGCAAGGCCAAGTCAAGGCCAAACCCAAGGCCAAGTCTACGGCTAGAGCTAGTGTTAGGGCCAAAGCCAAAACCAAGGCCATGACCAGGGCTAACATTGGGTCCAAAGCCAGGACCAACGCCAGGACCAAAACTAGAGCTGAAGCTAGGGCTATAGATATAGAAGTTTAATGATCAGTATTATACTCATAACCAAAATTTTTTTCATAGTAAGAATATGTTGTAAAATCATTTCCTTAATTGTTTCTTATCAGATACACCCAAAAGAAGAGCCAGATTGTGTGAAAGCTCAGGCACGAGTACCGTCAGTTCACATCGGCCGCAACAAAGTAATGAATTTTGAAAAGTTGTGTGATCTTTGCCCGACTAAAGAGCTGTTAGTGGAGAAGAGAGTAATGTTATTGTAATAATTTTAAATTTTAATAAAGTTTGCTTTTCTTATTTTTTAAATTTTATAGCATTCTGTGTTTGTCAACTATGATAATATCTTTATTATAATATATAATACTGCAAAGATAACATTCTTATAACAGCCCTTTTAACCACAACAGTAGTTTTGTGTTTATATATCAACATGGCTACGTTAATATTAAGGAATATGCAGTAAAAACTGTATTTTTTTGTAAAAAACATATAAAATTAGCAATTGTAAGGTGTTTTTGATAGATTCTCAAACTCATTAATGGCTTTGAACGTTTGAATTTTAATTATTAGATGTTTATTAACAGTTTTATAAGCTTTTGTGCAAAATCATTAGGGCAATTTGCATTAAAAGTCTGTAAAAATTGATGTTTTTAAATTTAAAGCTCAGTTGAAACTAAAAATTTTGAAAAGATTAAATTACAGTAAAGTAGAAAGATTCAAGGTAGAATAAGATCTAATGTAAAGCTAGGACTAAATCTCCAGCTGGTACTAGAGCTAGGGCTAGAGATAGAGCTACAGTTAGAACCAAAGGCTAGAGTTAAAGGCTAGTAAGGCTGAGAGAATATGGCTGAAAACTAGGACGAAAGGGTTAAGTCTCAACAAGACTAGAGCTAAAGCTAAGTCTAGAGCTAAGGCTTAAGATAAAGCTATGGTATTGCTGAGGCTATTGCTCTGGGCTAGGGCTCTGGGCTAGGGCTAGGGCTAGGGCTAGGGCTAGGGCTCTGGACTAGGGCTCTGGGCTAGGGCTTTGGACTAAAGCTTTGGACTTCGGGCTTTGGACTAGGGATTCGGGCTGGGGCTCGGTGCTAGGCTTTAGGTTAGGGATCGGGCTAAAGCTAAAAATAGCATTTGCACTCAAAACCTCCACTCACCTTCTCATGACCTCCAAACCTCGAAATAACTCGTTTCAATCCTCAAAGACGCTTGTGAAAACTTATTAAAATCCGAAAATGAGAGTGAAAAACAGAATTAAGCCCGGAGGGGAACGTGGATGCCGACGGCGCTTCTTTGTCCGACGCTCAACTCTTCCGGAACCCTGAACTGAAGGTATTGTGGGGGTGAAAGTGACGGTCATTCGGTTCCGAGCTTTCGATCCGACCGAGTTTATGCAGATGCGGCTCGAGATTCTACTACTTTTATTCAAATTTGGACTTGTTTTTGGGCAAGCTTTACGTAAGTTTTGGGGTTTTTAAATTTATAAGTTACTGTATGTTAGGTATTGTAGGTTTAGTATTTCATGTACTAAAATTTTTATATTTCGCTTGATCTAGAGAACGGTCTGGCCTTGTATCTAAAGTTAAGGCCTTAAAAATTTATTTTTTTAAAATTTTTATCCCCGTGCTACATATTATACCTTATCAAAAATGCTTTTCAGATGACAGGTATGGTCAAAAAGCAGATGTTGAATCCCCTCAGAAGCCTCCGCTCTCTAACACACTCTACGAAGGCTTTATTCAACCAATCTTCAACATGATTGATGCTCAAGACCCAAAGAAACGAGATCAAGTCATGCGAGATGTAAGTACAGAATGTACCCTTAAAAATTAGACGGAAGAGGAAAGAAGATAAGAGATGTGGGGGGGGAGAGAATTAAAAAATTGAAATTTAATCAAAATTTTGTATCTTTACAGGCCGAAAAATCTCTTGAAAAGTACTCAAGATACCCTTCGATATACCCCAACAGGCCAATCGTAACAACAGAGCCTCCTTCCCTTATGGACACTATCTTCAAACCCTTTGAACCGTTGATGAATCCTTTCAAAGAACAGCTTGATAGAGTTACAGTAAGTTAATATTACCCTACCCTACTTTACCCTACCCTACATTAAACTTGTCATACGGTAAGCTATGACATCCTTACTGCAGCTTGGCTTTCCCCCCTGACCTACCCTACCCTAACCTACTCCGCCATGAATTACACTTATCTGGCTTTGTTTCACTGTATCCGACCTTACTCTACCCTGAAGATACTGTAACATACTAAGCATTCAAAAAAAACTTTTTGTCAGAAAGATCAGTCATTCTTCACGAATCTTCTCGATGGAAAGCCGACTTTCACTCCTTTAAACTCGGAATCGCCTAGAAAATCACCGTCACGGTCTTCTGAATCATCGAAAACTCAACTTTCAAACATCAACGCAATACAACCGCCTCAGGCGCCTGTATTGTCGTTTCAATTGAGTAGTCCGAGTTCTTGGCCAAATATTTTCCATAATACTTGGCCAAACTCTAACCTACTTCAATATAATGCTCAAGCTTCTGTGCCAAATCAAGCTCAATATGGTACACAAAATTCAGTACTAGATCAGCAGCGATATGGTACTCAAAAGGCAGCATCGGACCAGTATCGATATATTACCCAAAATCCAGTACCAAATCAACCACAACATACCCCTTCAACTCCATCGCCCCCAGCCCTACCAATCCAACAAATCAGCCAATTCCCCACTCCGCTAGCCTCACTTTTAGAACCATTAGGCTTGAATGCCAAGCCAAGGCAAGACCTTCAGATTGGGCGTGACAAAAGTGTGTCAATATTGGGAATGCCGGTCGGTCGAAGAGATGGCATTCAGCTGAACCCACTTCAAGGTCTCAGCTTGGGCGGCCAAAACATGTATGGGCCGATTGCTGTCAACGACAAGTATAATGTAAATTGGAACTTCTTGGACGGGCTGGGCAAACTTTTTGGCGGGGAGATTTAGGGTTTGAAATTTTTTTTTGAAATTTTTTAAATTTAAAAATTTTTTTTAAAAAAATTTTTGTTTTTCTAAAAATAAGTTACCCAGCCATTAAATTAGACCATATGTATGTTTTAATAAGTTATAATTAATAAATTATTATTTTTCACTAAAAAGTCTCAAAATCAGTATAATACAATATATTAGACTAGACATCTTATTATACAAGAAATTTACCCGACCTACCGGCTCAGAATCGATTCAAACTTTTACATGAATCCCTTGTACCACCAATAGTACCCATAAAAAATTTTAACTCGCGCTTTTAAGTTTTTAACTTTTAAATTTTTCAATTACCCTTCAATTTGGCAAATTTGGCATTGTGTTTCAAGCCCTTTTTTGACTTTCCAGACAAGCTACGCTTACAAATTTAAAAGTTCAGGCCCTTTTAAGGGCTTGCTATTATCATACCAAAAAAAATTATAAAAACTCAAAAAATAGCAAGTTATAGCTTGAAACACAATGCCAATTTAGCGGGAAATTCAAAACGTAATTGTTTGATCTCGACTTTCTCGAGATTCACTGGGAAGCGCGATTTTGTATTTGGGTCTTACATTTTCATGAGCTTTCCATATATTACACTGAGAGAGGGCACAGAATTATTTGAACGATTTAATTATAAATTTGTATTCAATCAGAGCGGGCAAATTTTCAAAAAGTTATTATATTTTTTCAAATTTCAACTTGAAAAAATCTTCAAAAAACTGTATAACATAATTTATTAGACTCGATAGCTCAGAACAATAAAAAAAGTGTAATTAATGTGGATTCCCAAAATATAAGAATTAATGCCCAGAGGACTTGAATCTCTTTAAAAAATATTGTTTCAAATCATGGCGAATCGAAAAACAGCTGTTGGGTTTTAAAAAACCCCTCGGGCAATCCGAGTGACCATTCGAACATAACACAAGATGTACTTAAATACCGCTAATTTGGTGGCCTATACCTTACTATTACTGGGTACCGGGCTGGTTCTTCTCGCTTTTTGTACCGACTTTTGGAGCGAACATACTTCTGTTGATGTTCCTAGTAAGTGACATTATGTTATTGATAAGATGAAAGTAGGATAAGTAGATTAAGATAAAGTAAAGTACAGTAAAGAATGGTAAGGTAGGATAAAATTGAAAATGGTAGGGTAAGATAGAGTAAGGTAGAATATTGTAGAGTAGGATAAGTTAGGGTAAGGTAGGGTAGAGTAGGGTAGGATAAGGTAGGGAAGGGTAGGATAAGATAGGGTAGGGTAGACTCGAGCGAAGCATACCGGGCAAGGACTAGGGCTTTTTTAAACTGAAAACTTCAAAAAAATTCCTTTTTAGACGTAACCTACCTCCACAGAGGTCTATACCGCCATTGTCAACTAGAAAACTATCAAAAATCATGTTATAGTCGATATTCAGACTCAAAAACGGTCGATAATTACGAAAATCTGCCAGTTTTTCGGAATCGTGGCAAAATAAAACCAATGAAAAGTAAGTTTTGACCAATTTAAAATATTTTTTTAAAATTTTTAAAGCTAAAACTAAAAAATAAAAATTTTTTTAAAGTGAAAATTAAAAAAAAAAAAACTTTCAGATTTCGAAAACTTGCTAATAATTTTCGATGGAATTTCACTAGTTTTGGCGTTAAATGCACTTTTATTTGGATTATGTGCCTGTGCCAACAAATGTGCCTTACTTATACTAATTATTCAGATCTTCAGTGCTGGTAAGTGTAATATCTCAAGCACAATATAGTTCCAAACCGCATAAGATTTCAACAAAAAAAATTATTAGGTTGTTCAAATAATTCTGAGCCACCTAACCCCCAAAAGTTGCTTATGAAAAAAGGGCACAGAATTATGTAAACTACCTAATATTAGGTTGAACCAAAAGTAGTGCGACACTTTTCATTTATTATTCAACAAAAAAGTGTCCCGTTACTTTTGACTCAACATAATAACAAGATATCTGTAGAAAAACAATGTAAAATAAGTACTACCTACTATAATATACAGTAAAAAGGTGCTTTTCAGCTGCATTGTCAAGCATTTGTGGAGGTATTTACTACGAAAACACTAAAAATGGGCTGACGTTCCCATTGGAAATTCGAAATGGCAAGACTGTGGTGCCAATTTTTACTGTAAGTTAGCTTCTATAACAAAAAGTATTAACTTATGAACCTAAAGACATAACATATTACCTAAGGTTCAACAAAAAATTAAAAATATTGATCAAAAACGTTGAAAAGGCATAAAAATGATCAAAATATACCCAAAATCCACCAAAAAACCATTAAAAATAGCCCAAACACCCTATTTTCAGCGCAGTTTCCTCTCCTGGTCCTTCTTCATGTCCATATTCGGCTCTTGCCTTCAGTACCTCTCCTGTACCTTCTACATTTTCGGCGCAACTTGTTGCCGGTTGCCGATAGAAAAGCGAGAAAGTCGCTCACGCGGGATCCATCGACCAAGTGTACCATTGAAGAATGTGTATGTTAACGAGAAAGAAGTGATCCAATCAATGAGTCTTAAAAGTACCAGACCTGTACCACCCTCATCGCCAGTACCAAAACCTCCGAGACGGTTTCAGACCGTGCCAACCGCACCAAACATGACCATTTCGGATATTATGGAGCATTATGAGGACATTTGTGAAAAGAATTAGGTTTTTTTAAATTTAAATTTCAAAAAGGTTTTAATTTCAAAAACATTTAAGTTAAAAATTTTTGAATTTTATCATTATTTGCCATGTATAACATAAGATAATCATATTTGTATGCTTTCAAATGTCGATCGGTGCCATAAACAATATTGTTTTGAACGTTTTGTCACTTTTTTCGCCTTCAAATGTCCATCAAAAGATAACCCAAGCCCAAAAGCAACAAAAGATTCAAAAAATATTAAAGGCAAAAGACTTTGCAGCGTGCGGTTGACAAGTTATACGAAGGTGATCAAAACCGTTTTTAGCCTTGTAAAGAAAGTTTTTGCTATTTTATTTGTTTATAATGAATGTGCCATTTCGTAAAATAACCTAAACTTTGCGTTCTGCAGCCTGCGGATGGCAAGTTATACGATGAATAACATTTTATAAGAATTTTTCGTTTTGTAAACAGTTCTTGAAAATTTTTGAATTGTAAACATAATAAAGCTCAGCTTTTGACATCTACAAAAATTTTGTACCTTTTCGACTTTTATAAACAAAGTTCTTACCATTTCCATATCTAAAAATCGTTTTTTTTCAAAAAATTCAAAAAATCTCGATTAAAACAATAAAGAACAACTTCCATATGATAAAGGTTATCAATGACCTTTCAATGACAAGCTCTTATCGAAATATATTTTTATTCGTATAACAAGGAACAACAATTAACAATTGATAAAAAATTAATTAGCTCGCTAACTAATTTGACTATGATCGAATAAATTGGTGGATCTTTGGAAAAATGACAAAAGTAACCGTTTTGAGATATAAACTAGGTTTAAACTTTAAAATCTTTGGCGCAGAACCGTAAATAAAAGCAATAACCCTACTGTCTTTAAATAAATCAATACCTAAAACAATATAAACCTCTAAAACTATAAAAAATATGACAAAATAAACCAAAATACTATAAAATCTGACAAAATACTCAATATACCACAATAATAAACTAAATAAATTAGATATGATAATATCAAATACCAAGATATATTACCCATGACTAAACATATCTAAACTATGCTCTAAAACAACTTTTTTAAACCCATACAAATTTTTTTGAACGATCAACAACAAAAAATGCTTTAATTTGATATTCTAGCCATAATAAATACTAGATCAAGCACTATACCTAAAACAATTTTTTAAACCTTGCAGCCTGCGCTTCAGAGGGCGCAGTTTGCAAACTCTGCATCTTCCAAGAACGACCAGTATTTTCTAAAATAACAATGAAAAACTACCAAAGATGCTATAAAATAACAAAAAACTGCTACAAAACAACAAGAAAAGACTATAACAGTAACGAAAAAGTTGTAGACCAGCTAAAACTTTTCAAAAATCGCGGAAATATCTGGCGTTACAGTAACCCGTAGGACCTACCGCCGGCACATCAACAATCGGATAGATTTGGAAACGGCTCAACTCTTGGTCGTATTGACATTGAATGTAGGCTGTTGGATGAGCTTTCGAGGTGAATTTGAGGTGATGATGAGCCAAGTTGAGACGCTGACATTGAGATAAGAAGTCATTGAAGAAGTGAGAATCACATTGAGTTACATAGATTTGGAAGAACGGCACTTCAGAGATTTGAATCCAGGACTGAAAATGTCATACGTCACCCAAAAAATAGCAAAAATGTTGTTTACGGTGACATAAACATCAAAACTAACAAAATTTGAGTTGCGCGGCCTGCGGCGCAACTCAAAGTTATACGGCGCTTATGAATATAAGGGACGAGCTAAATACATCGGATGGAAAGTATCAGACAAAAAATGCAATTCCTTGTCTGATATTTTTTTTCAACGATCTTTTTTTTCTCTAACTGCCGTCGGCAACGAGAGGAAAAAAAAGATAGCGGAAAAATGAGCTCGTCCCTTATATGTTCGTTTGTAAAGAAAGTTTTGTCTTTTTGTTTTGTAAAGAAAATCCTTGCCATTTTATGTTTGGTAAAGAAAGGTCTTGCAATTTTTTGTTTTGTAAAGAAAGTTATTGCGATTTCAATTTCAATTATAAACCCCACTCCGCACCCCCGTGGGGGAATTTTCGTCTTTTACCCCTCCCAAGCCCACAAAAAAACCGTACCTTAATGAAATGACAAATCTCTTGAACAGTAAGATCGGGTGCTTCGGCGTAGAATGGAACACTTTTCTTGTTGCTGAACCTCATGTCATAGGCGAGTTTGCTCAAGTACTTGTTCAACAAGTTCAATCCATTCAATGGAGCACAATCCTTGACCGTAAACTGACATAACTCGCCCATTTTGTCGGCTTGAGTCTCCGAGAAACCACACGCAAGTTGACATTCCTCCAAACTGATTGCCTGGAATAGAAAAAAGGTAATAACATCAAGGAAGATGAATAAAATGATATTATAGTAGATCAGCTGCTAGAAAACGTCAAAAAAATTAATATTTTCGTACAAAACCTAATGAAATCTAAACAATATTGAAGCATAATGTAAAAGCAAGCTCACATGACAAGTTCCATTGGCCAGCAGTTGGTATAATCGCTCACACAACCGTTTGCTTTGGATAACCACCTTCTTCATGCGGAACGACTTGATTTTGAACTGTTTCGAGCTGTTCATCATTGAAATTAGTCGATCCAAGGCAGCATCGTCGCTCAATGGGCCAGTTAAAGTCAAGGTGGATACTTCAACTTCATTTAGAAACTCTTCGGAGTCTTCCTGAAATGAAAAATTATGTCAAAAACAAGGAATTTTGGACAAAACACCTGATTTTTAATGTCAAAACTGTAAATTATTTAAAATATAAAGTAAAATACGTTATTATAAGCCAGAAAAGGTATATCTTTGTCCCAAATAACCTAATTTACATTCGATTAACCTATCTTTATCAAAATTGTAAAAAGATATCATTTACAAGCTGCGCCCAAGCTGCTTCGCGCCAATCCTCCCAGAATTTTAGGTAATAAAACAAAATTTTGTTCTCCAAAGCACGTTCATGACTTACCAAATCACATTGACACATGACTTGATTCGAACTGGATTCGCGACGGATCCTACATTGTTTTTCATTCAGATCAACATCAAGATGCCGGGTCCATCGAGCCAAGAACTTTTGTTGCGCTTTTACGAAAGAGTTGAGATCAGAACAAGTCTTGGCCAGATTGCTAACATCGTTTACATTCAGATGTTCGAAGATTTGAAGCTGGATTTCATTGGGAATGGTGGATAAAGTAGGAATAGAAGTTCTGGATTCTGAAGCGCCCATTATTTGGATTGTGTTACCTAAAGTAAGTGGTTTATATGTTTTTTTTTGCAAAGTTTAGGTAAAAAATAAGGCTACGGAGCAAGAAATCTTAATAAACTTTAATTTTCATAAAGAATAAAATTTGAAAAACCCCGATATTATCCATGGGACATATCACGTTGCCCATGAAAAAACTTTGATCCAGATGAACACGCAAAAACGATGGGAATAAAAAGTTTCTCGGAACGCTGGGAATAAACAGAATGTTACAAAAATGTGATAAACAAGCGGTTTTACGAGAACGTTTTATGGAAAACCCATAAAATTGGAAACTTTTCGCCTTTTTGAGGCAAAATTGAGCAAAGTCAGCATTTTAGGTAGGAATGGATTGATGGGGAGGAGTTGAGAAAAGTAGCAGTAAATTGTATTATCAACTCGATAGGAGTATCTTTTTGTTTTATTCCGACTGATATGACCTTAACAAGCTGTTTTGATTATCTTACACACTTTTAGTGTGAGAGAGGTTGCTGTGATGGCTAATATTATAGAAATGGGATTATCAGTTGTAGTAAAATTTTGTTTACGGCTTCATTAGATACATATCTGTAATATAATTTGGAAGAAAAAGAGAAGTTAACATTAATTTTTAAATTCCGGCCAAAATCGATATTACACTTGATCACTTAAGCTAAATTAATGTTTAAAGTCAAATAATTTTGGGATAAAATTGCAAATCAGACTTAATGTAAAAAAATAAAGTCCAACGTGATATTGCATTTCATTTTTGCAAAGATCCGCTTTTATACCATGCGTTTTTCACGTTGTAATCGTTCGGAATGTTCCGTGGGATCAAGATTGAAAAAATTCAATTTTCAAAGACAAAATTTGAACAAAATTTGATAAGAAAGTATAAAATATGATGTGATAAACATAATGAGACATTTTGGGAATTTATAACTATGAAAATAACTAGGAAGGTTAAAGAAGGTCAAAAAAGAAAGAATCTTACTAAAGTTTACCAAAAAAGAGGGGTTCGTTAAAACTACTGTAACATGGCAATTGCTGCGAATAAGAAAAGACTATATTTAGGTTAGATATACAATACAATAGTCTAATGTCACACAAAGTTTCAAGATTTCAGCTTGTGTTTAAAGAGAGTCCTAAAGCTCACAAATTAACAACTTGTAGGCGGCTATAATATACAGAACTTTTAACTGTAAAAAGATTACAAAGCATAATATTACAAACAATATTGGTATAAAATACAATCTTATATACATTTATGGCAAGATAAAAAATTTTCCAACTTTCCCGCTCCATCGTTCTAGAAAACCCTCGCCGTTCCGCCGTGTTTCATGGACGTTGCAAGATGCGGCGATAAGGAACGGTGGGAAAACAGTTTATAAATGCTTATCTCCGTTGATAAAATGGTGGTAAAACCCTATTCAAGGACATTTAAAGTACGCCGAAAAGAACGTTGTTATTGTAAATCAGTTGCAAGATTATTTATTTTGTTCGTTGCACGTTGTAACAAAAGTCAACAGAGTGTTTAACAATATGAAACTTTGGAGGGTGGTAGTAAAGTTGTGATCGTAAATCACAACTGTAAATCAAAACTTTATAGGTCATTGTGGAGTGTTAGGCGATGATAGTAGGAGGAGGTCAGTCTTGGTTCAGGACGTGGGGGTAGAGGTAAGAGTAGGGTTAGCGGTTGGCAGGATAAAGTAGGGTAGAGTAAGGTATTATAGGGCAAGAGGCTATGATATGGTGGGCCCAGAGTCATGCTTTTGCGCCTTAGTTAAGACAATACAAGAAAAACAGTTACATTGACCAAACAATAAAGTAAATCATTACAATAAAGATAGTGAAAGATCAAAGTAAGGTTACTATAGCTATAGTAATGTTGTAACATAGTAAATTAAATCAATACAATAAGGTCAAGAAACAAAACATTGGTTTAATATTGTGAAGTCTCTGTTTTGTTAAAGTAAACTAATTTTACAGTGTAATTTATTTTTAATGTAAACTGTTTTTACAGTGTAAAGTTTTGTTAAAGAAGAGTTGCTTTAGTTACTTTATATAATAGTATGTTACTTTATATAATAGTAAATATTGTTAGAGTGTTGTTCATTTGTTTTCCTGAAAAAAATTAGCGTACAACGTCCATCTTACGATCATAAATAACTAAAATTAAGGTTAAAGTACAGTATGTTTCTAAAACTTATTATTCGTATTTTATCGATATGAAGGTGTAAAATACGTATGCTCTTTTTGGTGGGTAAGACACTATTTTTCGTCTTTATGTTTGTATAACAAGAGAATAATTTACAAAAAATCAGTAATAGGTCAAAAATATTTTTTTTTATTTTTGAACCTTAGTGATCACGTATGATCGTGGAATGCATCTGTGTGATCTGAATGAACTCAAAGTTTATAAACATTCAAGGGGTTTTTTTCACTGTGAAAGGGACATCAAAGAACGTTTAGTTGGCTTGAATTGGAGAGTAATAGCAAGATAATGCAAGTAATAGTATATGACTAGGCTAATATAATATAATGAGAAAGTAAAAATTTTGTGAAGATTTTGTACTTCTTCGATTCATTAGGTTAAGTTCATGTCATTTCTATAGTTGTCATTACCTCAATTTTAGTAGTATAATAATAAAAAATATTGTAAAAATCAATTACAATGTAAAAAGAGAAAGAAATTCAAATGAATGTAACGTGTTACACGATAAAAATTTAATTGTTTTGCTTTCACAGTAGTTACAAATTGAAACTCAATGCTTTTCAAATTTGCTTTTATATTGTTCTGTATAGTATTAGCTACTGCCGCTGTGGTATCTCATCATAAGGCATGTAAAGACTACTTTACTACACTGTCGATGGTTCTTGATTTGCCAAGAGAAACGAGAGATCAGCTACTTCGCAGTAATATCAGGAATTTTGAAATTGACGTGGAAGTAGGTATTATCTCATACAGTAGTCTTGCCTTGCTTTGCCTTGCCTTTCCCTGCTTGTGCCTTACCTTTCCTAGCCTTTTCTTGCCTTATTCGGTCGTGGCTTACTTTGGTTTGGATTGAATTGCTTTGTACTGCCTTGCATTGCCCTACCCTACCCTACCCTACTCTACCATACTTTGCTCTATTCTACCCTGCCTTGCCATGCCCTTGCCTTTCCCTTGCCTGTAATTTTACTCTTGCTTTACCCTACCTGGTCTTCCTTGCTCTTCCGTACTCTATCCTACTCTTTCTTATCTTACTTCACTCTGCTTTACTCTACTCGGCCTTATCTCACCTTACTATACTACGCTGTTTTAGAACATGAAAAACACCCCTTGCTTAAAATACATAATAAAATGTATTGAAAAGGCACTACAGGACCCAGATTACGTACCTACAGTAAAAGATTGTTGTGAAGAATGTTCAAGAGAACTGGTTGAAGAACATAACGAGTTGTAGATGTTGGTGATTACTCTTTACCTTACATAATTTTTTTGTCTTCATGACATTATTTATAACTTTTTAAGCTTATTTTTGATGTTACTGTATGATATTTAAAAAATTTTAAATTTAAAAAAAAGTTAATTTTTAGGTAATAAAATGAAACCAAAATTTTAAAAACCATTTATTTAGTTCATATATACAATATAAAATGTACCTGTTGTTTGTAATTGCGTCACAGTAACGAAACACTATGTGATAGACAATGATTAAAGCTGTGGCTACAATAATATCAAAAAGATGAGTTCATACAACCTAAAACAATATGATCAAGATAAAAGAGACTAATCTAAAGTAATATATATAATAAAGAAGACTCTAAAGTAATATAATTATTAATAAAAGAATAATCTAGAGTAATATAATCACTAAAGGAGACTAATCTTAAATTAATATCAGTCTTGGTCAAACAGTTTATAGAAAAACGCTAAAATATTTAATTCTACAATTTTTTGACCTATATTGATCTGATTATAAAAAATTTATTAAAAATTTTTAAAACGACAATTTGTGCTCTAGTTTTGAACAATAACGATTAGTGTTACCTATTATAATATCACAATCAATATAGATCAAACTCATAAACAACAAGATTCTCAAAGTGATTGAAAGTCATTTTAAATAACAATATAGCTATGATTATAATAAAATTGAAACAAAAAGGATTAAATACGATCTAAATGTTGTGAAAGACTACGTGGAAATCTCCGACGAACCGTTTAACAATTGGCTGATATTCAAACCGGGCTGGTGTTTTGTTTGAGTGGACTGAGATAGTTGGGCCGTGAGTCTGGTCTTGATGATCTGGTTAAACTAAAAACGTCAAATTTTAAATCTTGGTTGTATATGAGTTCGTTATATGTACAGGAGTTTTACCGCATTACGTTGAAAAATGTTTTCTGATTTTACGTAATACAGTAGAAGAAAGGGAAAGGCTTGACTAACGGTACAGTATAACAAAGTAAGGTAAGACTAGGGTAGGATAGGGCAGAGTAAGATAGGGTAAGGAAGTGTAGGGTAGGGTAAGGTAGGGTAGGGTAGGGTAGGGTAGGGTATGGTATGGTAGTGTAGGGTAGGGTAGGGTAGGGTAGGGTAGGGTAGGGTAAGGTAGGGTAGGGTAGGGTAGGGTAGGGTAGGGTAGGGTAGGGTAGGGTAGGGGTAGGGTAGGGTAGGGTAGGGTAGGGTATGGTATGGTAGTGTAGGGTAGGGTAGGGTAGGGGTAGGGTAGGGTAGGGTAGGGTAGGGTAGGGTAGGGGTAGGGTAGGGGTAGGGTAGGGTAGGGTAGGGTAGGGTAGGGTAGGGTAGGGTAGGGTAGGGTAGGGGTAGGGTAGGGTAGGGTAGGGTAGGGTAGGGTAGGGTAGGGTAGGGTAGGGTAGAGTAGGGTAGGGTAGGGAAGGGTAGGGTAGGTAGTGTAGGGTATTTTAAGGTACAAACACGCCAGTACTAGCATTAAGTTGGCTATGGCAAAATCTATTTGTGAGTAATTTCCAAATTAAAAAAAGTTTTAAAAACCCAGCTTACCGAAAAATTCTCCAACTTCCTGATCTGCTCATAGACCAACCTGACCTTGCTCTGGATATTCGACTCTTCAGCAATCAAGGTGTACAATGTTTTCACAAAGAACACCCAGATGCCATGCTCTTCAGCATCTAGAATCTGACACAATTGAGCATCCAAACCCTGGAAGGTGAGGTCAAGTTCATCCACCAACTTCTCCATGTCTCTCAGGTTCTGATCGTTCCGTTCCACCAATGGTTTGATGAATTCTTCATCGTGCGCGTCAGCAATCTTGGCCTCCAGATTCTGTTTGTTTATCATGAGCCGCGTCTGGACTTCGTAGACGGTTTCGAAGCGTTTTATGAATCTGACGAATGGTGCTGTTGGTACATTCCGCTCTTGGGCAATGTTGAGGATTTGTTGGAAGAACTCGGTGTTCTTGGACTTTTCTTGTTGAACGTTCTGGAGATCGTCCAGTCGGCCGGAGACTAGCTTGTACAAGGTCTTTAGACGTTCGACTCTCACTTTTTCGAGCTTGTTTAGGGACTCACTGTCAAGGCTGTAGGTATTGCCTTCTGGGTCTAAGGTGCCTTGAGTTGAACTTGTCATTGATGTCGTTGTCGAGTTTAAAATTGAGTTTTGAGTCGAATTTTGGTCGGTTTCAAAGCTATTTGACTTCTTATCATTTTCTATGTAAGCCTTATCAGTTTCAGAAAAGCTTGTATTCCTATCAACTTCGGAAGACACGCTACTGTTGCTGAGCTTGTTAATCAACTGTAGATTCTTTGGCTTCTCAGGGATTGGCGGAGGCTGAGGTCTTGATCTTGGAATGGGTAGAGGGTGAACTTGAAGCATAGGCTTATTAGAAGACGGTGGCAATGGAGGCGGCTGATCTAAGGAATGATTCAACGACGAAGCGAAGGAATCCGTCACGGAGCCATTGGCGGAATCTGAAGTCATTTCCTGAGACAGTAGCCGTTCATGGTGATGGGAGAGTATTCTGTCATCATAAGTTGATTGTAAACGATCATTGTGGTTGGATAGTAATGTAGAGTTATGTGATGAAATTCCTGATGACATTACAGTATCTCTTGTGGAATATGCTTCAGAATCCTGTGTGTAATTGGTCAAGTAATCCGAAGGTAACCTTGTACCGTAAGCAGAGTCTCCACGATGACTATAGTCAGTGTTATCACCATACCTAGAGTTATCTCGATCATAGCCGTGAGCGGGCAATGTTGTAGTAGCTGTGGATGAATGTTGACTATACTCACTAGCTGAAGATGAACTGAAGTCAGTTACAGAAGCAGGCTTCTTGCCAAAAGTCGTGGAAAACCGTGATGATTCCTTAAAGTTGTGTAGCAAGGGCGATGAATGTTCTCTGGACGATGGAACGTTGTGTAAAGAACGTTCTGGAGCATTGTTGTACGGTGAAGATGCTTCATGGCTACTGTAAGAAGAATCATGGCTTTTATTGTATGGTGAAGATCGTTCTGGAAGAGTGAAAGCTACAGAACGTTTGCTGTCGTTCTGTGAGCGTTCTCTATCGTTCTGTGAGCGTTCTCTTTCGTTCTGTGACGATGAATCTGGATCGCTGGAACTATCTCGAGGTCTTGACGTTCCTCTGATATTGTTAACGCCATTAGGCGATACGACGTCTCGTAGTTGATTAATGACGTTTTTCATTTTACCCTGAGCACCATCTCTGTGCTCTCTGTAGCCTTGTGTAGCTTCTTGACCGTTTTCTGTGTAACTTTGTGTCATACCGTCTTCTCTATAGTAGTTTTCAGCTACATTAACATCTTGAGTTCTATAGTTTTGAGGTGAATCCCTAGCTGTAGATGGGGAAGATCGTTCGACTCGAGGTAATGGCGTAGGTTTAGGTTTGCTCATATTGAAAGTCTGAAGTTGGATGGTGGAAGTAGAGGTGGTGGATTCGGCTGGGAATGTGGAAGATTGGAGATTCCAGTCTCTAAAATAATATTTTATGTTACGCCATAGTATTAAAAGACCCTACTTTACTGTATCTTACTTTACCCTACCCTACATTTTGCCTTACTCTTTTCACCATGCCCTCCAAACCTCCAAAATCAATGTCTTACCTAAACTTGTCCTCCAATTCAGCCCTCTGAACCCTCTCCACCTCGATCCTTCGTTGCTCGTCCAGTCCAGGCAACAACGACCTGTAGCCTTGATTGTCGACCAGGCTGCGGTATGTTTGTTGTGGTTCTGTCCCAAATTCAGTGGATTCCGGAATTGCGGGCTGAGTCACGGGCGCCAAGTTTTCGGTGGACGTGGAGAGCTGGTCGTGGTGGCCAAATTTTCGTTCAGTCCTGAATAATATAATTCGAAAATGATTTCTTTGGCCAAGATTTTATTGTAAAAAATAGTTTAAAAACTAAACGTGGAATCCTTTTTCGGTACTAATTGCACCAGTCTTAACTGCTCTTTTTCAAAATATTTTTCACCTGTCGTCTCCACCCCTATCCTTCCCTCTAGAAGTGAGAAAGGGACCGGTCTTGAGCAAAAGTGAAAACTGGCCGGGCTCAAGAGTTAGGCCTTGAGTCTGAGGCTGTACTAAAATATGTGTTAGGCCTATTTCTTACCCGTTCTTTCCTTCCTCTCACAAAAAAAATTCAAAAAAATTTAGCTTGGTCCCCCCTGTGGCTTTTTTTCTCAAAATTTTAATTTTTTTAATTCACCCCCACCCTATACAAAAATCACCATTTTCTACTAAAATACGTTTTCAAAAAGGTCATTTTCTTCCAAATCCACCATAATTAAAAACTCACCAACCCGGTCCCTTGACCTTCTGAATCATGCGTCGTGCACCCGACTGACTTCGCCGCAAATGCCCGGAGTTCATGGTTGTTGGTTCAACTGAAAGTCGATGAAAATTGGTTATTAGACATTCATTTTTGGGTCAGCGAAGGGAGGGTGCGAACACAAAGGAAATCGTTCAAAAATTACATTTTCATAACAATTATAACCATTAAATTAACGCGGAACGTTGGGGAGGGGGGGGACGTCTTGTAAAACAATAATACTTGGAATGGCTGGGAAAGGGTTTAAAATTATAAAATTAGGTACGGAAAAGGATTTAAAAGGTAAGTTTAGGTATAAAAAAAGGCTTGAAATGTAAATTTAGGTAAGAAAAAGCCTTAAAAATATAAGTTTAGGTATAAAAAAAGCTTACAAATAGAAATTAAGTTATGAAAAAGGTTTTAAAATGTACATTTAGGCACAGAAAGGGCTTTAAAATATAAATTTAGGTATCGAAATGGCTTTGATAGACAAGTTTAGGTATGAAAAAAGGTATAAAAATCTAAATTTAGGTATAAAATCGTAAAAACCAGTCAAAATCTCAAAGAAAAAGCCATTTACTTTAACATATTGTAGCAAAAAACAAAAAATTTTCAAATAAAAACAAAATTTGTTACCTAAAATCAACAAATCTATTCAAATTTCCCCCAAAAATCGAATTAAAATGACAGCGGCGCGTTTCCAAATAAATAAATTACTCAAAAAGAATTTGGTGGCGAACAAATAAGAAATAAAAGGTCAGGAAAGGTAACCCCCTCTCTCGAGAATAACCTGCTGGCCTTTCCGCGCCTTCGAGAAGAGAATAAGGTCGGGATTGGAATAGAGAAGCCGAGAGTTTCATTTACACAAGTTATAATAGGTTGTGCGGTTGGAAAGTGGTAAATATTGACAAAGGGGTGTAGAACATTCGAGAAAAATTAGCCCTAGCCCAGAACCCTAGCCCAAAGCCCTAGTCCAGAGCCCTAACTCAGAGTCTTAGCCCAAAGCTCTAGCCAAGAGCCCTAGCCCGAGAGCCCTAGCCCGAGAGCCCTAGCCCACAGCCCTAGCCCAGAGCCCTAGCTCAGAGCCCTAGACCAGAGCCCATGCCCAGAGCTTTAGCTCAGAGCCCTAGCTCAGAGCCCTAGCCGAGAGTCCTAGCCCAGAGCCCTAGCTAAACATGAGAAACATGCCGGCTTTGACCCAAATTTAGGTCGTGCCGGGTCTGAAAATCAAAGCCTGGCCCGTTTGCACGTAAAAAAATTCGGGCCTGGCTGAGCGTGAGCAAAATTCTGTTAGGGCCGGGCCTGAAAAATGGGCTCAGCCCGTCTCTCATGTCTAATCCTAGCTCTGACCTCCTAAGCACCAACCCTAGCTATTCAAAAAACTAAAAAAATTTAAAAAACTTGATAAGCCTTACCTTACTATTCAAAAACCAAAGCTTTTAGCAAAAGCCCTAAGGGAAAAAAATTGTTTTTTAAACAATTACTTTTCGACCCTTCAAAGAGCCAACGGCTAAATTATAGACGGTCGCAGGTGAAAGGAACCGCCAGAGGAGACGAAATTTGCATAGAAAATTTATAATTGCGTCGAAAATGAGGGAAAATTTTTAATTCTTAAAGGGCATACACACATGGATTTTTATGTTTTACAGTGGGATATGATGGTTACAGTCAATGGCATATGATGGTTATAGTCAATGGTATATGATGGTCATTGGCAACGGTAATATAGTCTTATGAAGATTATTTGGGCCAAAAAGGCTTGATATTACACAAGTTTGATACAATATATGGCGGCGATTATTAATATAGTTAAAAATAAGTCGTGTCGTCAATTTACATGTACTTTTCACTGCAAAAACGACAAGACTTTTTGGTAGCTTGATGTTAACTTAAAATGCCATTTTTTTGTATGTTTTTGCTCTTTTTAGTACTGGAAGCCTAAAAAATTTTAAAAAATCATAATTTTTTTTATCACTTAAAACCATTGAAGCTCAATTTTAAACCTTTAAAATAAAATTTCAAACCCCAAAACTCAAAAATCCAATTTCGAAATTACACGACCACTGACACACCCTCGCCCTGTTCCCCTGCCTTAAATAATAATATGAATGTACCCAAAAAACGATTTCAAAACACTGATAAGAGGCTGGAATTCCACGAAACACAAAAAACAATGTCATCGAATTGGGGGATGACAAAGTACACAAGTTAACAGGATAATGCGCGACGCCGTTGTTGCTAATGCCTGCGGAATTTTAATTCAAATTTTTTGATTTTTAGGTTTTTGTGAGATTTTGGGAAGGCTTTGGGGTGGGCGGGGTAAAATTGGAAAAATTTTTAGGTGGGCGTGGTAAAAGTGAAAAATTTTAGGAAGGGCTAAAGTAAAAGTTAAAAAAAATTTAGGGCGGGCGGGGTAAAAATAAAAAATTGTTAAGGCGGGCAGGGTAAAAGTTTAAAAGTTTTAGGACGGGCGGGTAAAATTAAAAAAAAATTTTTAAGGCGGGCGGGGGTAAAAGTAGAAAGGAATTTTGTGCTATTTTTCTATATTGGACAGAAAAAAATTATTTTGGGCGAGGTAAATTGAATTTTTTTTTCAAAATTTTTGCCTGTCGCCCTCAGGCTTAAATAATTGTTATAAATTTCTAAATTTTCAAAAAAATTTTTTAAATTAAAATATTTTTTAACATTAAAAAATTTTTTTTCACGCCGATCTGCCCTTTAATCCCAATCTTTTCATTATCAGTACAAAACAATCCTTCTTCGAAAAACTTATTTGGTCGTAAAAGTCGGAATGAGTCATTGGAATAATACTGCATTTTATTGACATTCCTTTCTCGTCTCTCCCGACCTTGAACAAAGTTTCTCACCTTTCTAATATGGAGATAACGAAAAAAAAGGTTTTTGCAAAAAAAAAACGGAAAAAAACCAAAAATCAAAAAATGTAAACTGCCTTGCCTTGCCTTGCCTTACCTTGCTTTTGCTTTACCCTTACCTTACCCTTGTCTTACGTTTGCCTTACACTACCCTAACCTAGCCTACACTTGCCATCCTCTTGCCCTGTCTCTGCACTATCCTTGCCCTACCCTTGTTCTGCCCTCGCCCTACTTTTGCCAATTCTTGCTTCGCCTTTACCTTACCCTCTTACCCTTGCTCTGTCCTTGCTCTACCTTTGCTGTACCCTTGCTCTACCCTTATTATTTAACATTTTTTAAAAGTAAAATGTAAATTTTTCGTTTTTAAAATTTTTTAAATTCTACCCCTCAAGCTCACCAACCTACGTCAATAAATCACTAAAACAACTGATAACTGTTAAGTTAAATAATTTCTGCACGAAAAAACTGATTTCGATTGAAATGAATAATGAAATGAGTCGAATATGAAAGAAATGATTATTAACGGGTCTTGTGACTTCTGTGGACTCTTTTCAACGTCAGTGTATATTGCAATTACAATGGCAAACACAACATGACATTATCCAACATGATTTATATGTTATGGTTCAAGGGAGCAAGTTCACGTCATTTTACACGTGATAGAGATGTGGGGTAGGAGGGATGGTAAAACTAGGTCTAATTTACGAAGAAGTATAAAAATGTTTAAAGTTTAAAAATTTGTTATATTTTCACATAAAAATTGAAAAAATTATTAAAAAATTCTTTTTTTTTCACTTTTAAAAGACAAAAATATTGTTTTTCTAACTAAATGACTTAATTATACAGAAAAGACAGCTAGCAAAATCGCTTTTTGAAAACACATTAGCCTTACAAAACGGATGTTTTTGGTCATTCGTAATAGTCTTAGAAAGTGAAAAAAAATTTTACAAACTAATCAAAGATTGGATTTAATTTAGTACAAAAATTGCTAAAATATAGTTTTTAAGCTTATAAAAGAAAGTTTTATAATATGTATAATATAAAAAAATACAAAAAACAAGCCAAGCCAGGGCTATATCTTACAATTCCAGACCTAGTCTAATATAAAATTTCACAAAACAAGTCATAAAGCCCAATCCTTATAATTTTGAACCTAGTTTAACATGAAATTTCAAAAAAGAAGGGCCTATTCCTTACAATTCTAAGCTCAGTGCAATATATTATAAAAGCTTCAATAAAACCTTCAGGCCCAGTCCTAACAGTTCTAGACCTAGTCTAATATAAAATTTCACAAAACAAGTCATAAAACCCAATCCTTATAATTTTGAACCTAGTTTAACATAAAAGTTTTAAAAAAATGCTTTAGATCCAGTCCTTTCAGTTCTAGACCCTACTTCAATATAAAATTTAAAAAAAAACCCTTACGCCCATTCCTTACACTTCTAGACTTAGTACAACACAAAATCTCAAAAAACAAGCCATAAAGCCCACTCCAGTACAAGAATGACAAAAAACTGGCTCAAGAACGAGCAAATCCCCGGCGGTCGAAGCGGCTGAGACCATTCTGTTAAGATGACTCAGCTGCTTTCCCTCCGTATACCTTTACTGGTGGGGGATCGAGTGTGTGTGTGCGCGCTCCAAGGTCAGGGGTGGTGAATATTTTGAGTCACGATTATTGTTGTTTTTTTTCGAACACTCGCAATGCTTGTCATATCCCCACCGATTTTTTGCAATTAATCCGCCTCGAGGCACAAAAACAATAAAAACAAACGTGGAACGAGACAATTATCAGCTTTTGTGGTACAAATTGTTATTGCTTTTGTGGTAAAGGTTTTTATGGGTTTGGGGGGGGGGATTGAGGGAGGGGGTTGTCATTAGAAATACCGTTTAGTGACAAAAATTGTGAAAAAATCGACAGTTCCCCCTTCCTCCTCCATCCTTCATAACTACCCGCCCAACGCTGATAGACTTCATAACTAGCCCCCAACGCTAATAGCAAAACTTTGAAAAATGTTTAAAATTAAAAAAGTTTTTTTTCAAAAAAAAAATTTTTTGCAAATTTTTGAAGTTCAAAATATGAAACACTTCAAAAACTATATCTATTGTTAATATAAACCATCCTTCCTACCTAGACCTAAAAAGAA